CCACGCAGCTATAACAATATCCTATCAGCTGTTTCGACAAGTATCCAGCTGCATCAGAAAACACCCACCATGCACAAACTCATGAATCTTGTTATAAATGAGTACGACTGATTACTCATCCAGAATGGGACAAAAGGGAAGTTGAAGAGCGATGACGTAGCTTTTTTGGCCGATGGGACCTCGTATAAGGGCAAGCAGCACTCGCAGAAGCCCAAATTTCCATACAATTGCAACAATTGTGGCTGGAAAGGTCACAAGAAAGAGGACTGCTGGGAAGACGGAGGAGGCAAAGCTGGTAAAGCACCGAAAGGGTGGAAGTCGCGTGGGAAGAAGTCGAAGTCGAAAGATGACGACAAATCCAAGGCTAGTGGGTCAAATGCAGATGCATCGAACTCGAAGGACAATTCTGAACCTGATGGGGTGTGGTTAGCGAGCACTGAAGATATTTGGGACGACGAACCCAAACCTCGAGACACATTGTCGATATCGTTTGACAGTGCCCAGCTTGCACGAAACAACATGAACACACACAGAGCATCTGTTGATCTCTACGACAGTAGTGCATCACAACACATGTCCCCATACTGTGACCGCTTCATTAATTTCAAATCAATTCCCCCATACCCGATCGAAGCAGCCGATAAATGTACCTTTGATGCCATAGGCAAAGGTGACCTTCCCATCGAAATCCCTAATGGTAACACCAAGACTCGCATCCTGTTGACAAATGTCCTTTATGCGCCGTCAATGGGAGCAACTTTGGTCTCGATCAGCAGACTCACTCGCGCAGGCTATGCGGCCTTATTTCGTGGAGACTCATGCCGAATTCTAGATGCTAAGAACAAGACACTAGGCGAAGTTACCATCAGTAGAGGATTATATCGCATTCGAAACGAATCTACCCCAAGTGCAGCGGCCACGAACACGTTTAAGGTCCAGTCTATGGAAGACTTACACCAACGAATGGCCCATATCTCCCCATTGGCTATTCGAGAGATGTTAGCAAAGGGGATGATAGAAGGAGTCACGCTAGACCCCAATCGTGCTACCATGGGTCAGTGCGAATCGTGCGAATATGCGAAAGCCACATGCAAACCAATAGGGAAGGAGCGAGACCCAAAACGATGTGAAAACCTCGGCGACGAAGTCCATACTGACTTGTGGGGACCCTCCCAAGTTCAAACACCAAGTGGGAAGACCTATTATGTGTCGTTTACAGACGACCACTCCCGTTATATGTGCCTATACCTCCAAGGGTCAAAGTCCGAAACATTTGAATCATACAAGACTTATGAGGCATGGTTGCAGACCCAGCACAACATTCGGGTCAAGCGTTTATGGTCAGATCGTGGCGGAGAGTACCTGAGTGATGAATTCACTCAACATCTTCGAGCAAAAGGGACAGAACGGAAACTCACCACCCACGATACCCCACAACACAACGGAGTCGCTGAAAGGTTGAATCGCACACTTGTCAAACGTGTCCGTGCAGTGCTACATGCAAGTGGTCTACCAAAGAATATGTGGGGTGAAGGCATCAAACACGCTGTCTACATGAAGAATCGCACTGCCACACGCTCACTACAAGGGAAAACTCCATATGAGATGTTGCACGGCAAGAAACCAAACTTAGCGGACTTACCAATCTGGGGGACCAAGGTATGGGTGCATGACCCAACCGGTTCGAAGCTAGACATGTGCGCATGCGCAGGTCGATGGATAGGATTTGATGCCGAGAGTGGAGCCCATCGGATCTATTTTGAGGACCGGAGGAGTATTTCCGTCGAACATAATGTAATGTTCGCAAGGCAGCACGAGGAAGGTCCAGTGCTAAGGCCAAACTCGCTGATTGAGAAGGAGAGCGAAACTACAAAAGCCAATCAGCAAGTGACCAATCCCCAAGCCCCATCCAATCCACACCAGGATCCAAATCCCCCGCCAAACCCAGACCCTCAAAACGATCCACTAGGTCCAAACTTCGAACAGCAGCCACCTGGCCCTAGACGATCTACTCGTCAGCGAACAGAATCACCATATATGCACAGGTTACGAAGCGGCGAAGGTACTCACAATGGTAGGAGTGGCGAGCCAATCATTCCTAGAGGGATGCAAAGGGTAGAGGAAGAGAGAGAGGAAGGTAGCGGTGGCATGGTAGCATCTGGAGAAGGATTAGGAAGAGAATTGGGATTTGATGAAGAACTTACCGCTTATGCGATGTTCGCGGGAATGAGTGAGGCTGAAGGCCTGGAACCAAGCACCATTGAAGATGCGAAGACACAATCTGATTGGGCGAAGTGGAGAGACGCCGTCAATGCAGAACTACAGAGTCTCAATGAAGCACGTACCTGGGACATTGTTCAGTGGCCCAAGAACAAGAATGTCGTCAGCTGCAAGTGGGTCTTCAAGATTAAAAGGAACACTGCAGGAGAAATCGATAAGTATAAAGCCCGGCTAGTCGCACGAGGCTTCACTCAAGTATACAGTGTTGATTATTACGAGACTTACGCACCAGTGGCTTGTCTCGCATCATTGAGACTGATTCTCGCTATCACCATGCGCCAAGACTGGGACGTTGACGTATTCGATTTCCACAGTGCGTTTTTGAATGGCAAGCTTGACGCGGATGAAGAGATCTATATGGAGTTGCCACCAGGAGTGGACTTAGGAGGAAAGGACGAGGTCGCGAAGCTTCGAGTTGTGCTGTATGGATCAAAACAAGGCGCATTAAAATGGTACAAACATTTGTGCAGAGAACTCACCGAATTAGGGTTCGAGCGGATGGAAAGTGACTGGGGAGTGTTCACAGCACACATAGGAGAAGACCTGCTCATCCTCGCAGCACACGTCGACGACTGCACCATAACTGGCAGCTTGAAGGAGCTAATTAAAGTGTTCAAGGTCGAAATCGCATCGCGATTTAGAATAACAGACCTAGGACCCATCAGCTGGTTACTCGGCATGAAAGTCACTCGAAACCGTGAAGCACGCACCGTCTTGTTATCCCAAGAATCATTTGTCGACGCTATCATTACGAAGTACAACTTCATTGATGCTAAACCCGCAGCAGTGCCTATGGACCCAAGTATTCAGTACACACAGGACCAATCCCCTACCACGACGACACAAGTCGCTGAAATGAAACAAGTCCCATTCCGCTCAGCGCTCGGATCCCTAATGTACCTGGCCATCGGAACACGTCCAGACATAGCCTTTGCCGTCTCGACACTCGCGCAGTTCGCAGACAAGCGGTGGACGCACTGGGAAGGAGTGAAGCGGGTATACCGCTATCTGCTGGGAACGAGGAAGTTGGGACTCACTTTTGGGACGAGTGGTGCAGGGTTAGTCGGGTATACTGACGCTGATGGCGCCAGTCAAGAGCACAGACGTGCCATAACCGGATTCGCGTTTTTGGTTGACGGCGGTGCAATATTGTGGGGCTCACGAAAGCAAGAGCTAGTAACCCTGTCAACTGCAGAGTCAGAATTCGTAGCGGCCACTCACGCAGCCAAGGAAGCTCAATGGCTTCATCGTTTCATCGGGGAAGTTTTTCGGCTGCTGCAGCATCCAACGACACTATACAGTGACAACCAGTCAGCAATCGCACTCACCAAAGATGGAAGCTACCATGCACGCACCAAGCATATCGATATTCGATACCACTACATTCGTTTCTGCGTCGAGAACGGCTCGATCGAACTATTATACTGCCCGATGGAGAACATGGTCACCGACACACTAATGAAGGCCCTTCCAAGCGTTAAGGTGAAGCATTTCGCACACGAGCTAGGAGTTAGAGTCATTGTTTGAGAAGGAGTGTTGGAAGTCAGTACAAACGACGATAACGGTTATCGTAACACGTGACTGCTTACTTACATAATCACGTACAGTTTTTCTTTGTTCATTGTCATCTATGCACCTCAGTTGCTTGTATAGCCAACTGAGGTGAGACACTTTCGTTTACGGTCTACTTACCTAGCTAATACTTTCATTCAGTGTATATTCAATAGGTACATATACTAATACAGTTGCTTGTATAGCCAACTGAGTGTATATTCAATATATACATAACATTGGCACATAGTCCGCTGGCCCATCTTATATGGGATATTATGTAGGTCGGGTGACCTGTATAATACGGAAATATGTCACTGTAATATGTGAAAGAGGGGACTTTGTTGTGGATTTGTGCTACTTGTACAGGCTTGTAAAATCTTGTACAATGACCCCCTAGTTTTCTGATGTAGTTTACATTTTTTGTACACTATGTGTTATCTATGGGTTCCCTGTACACCTGAGTCTGGTCATACTTCAATGGACGTGTCTGAGACTTGCGGAAAACTCAACAGCTAGCCTTTGGAATTTCCCCCTCAGACCTCATCAGATTTCCTCCAGACTTCATCTGAAATTAGGGACATGTACTCAGACAGTAAGGGGCACAGTGCATGAGCTGAAGCCTAGCCCCCTTACTCCATCTAGAAGAACTCTTCCTTTGTGATGTTCCAGTTCTTAACAGTATCATCAGACTGGAAGTCCCAGTTTCTAACACTCCTCCTCACCAACTGCAGTAAAAAAAATGTCAGAACATTGTGATTTTCTGCTGATGTTATTCAGGACTCGTAGGTCTCGATGGCTATACAGTATCAATACCTAACATTTCTGACAGTATGAAAGAATATATTTAGCAAAAGCAAAATTATATTCTTCTATACTAGTTCTCATGGGTACAATATCAAGAACTCATCAATTCACTGACTGAGTCAGGGATCATACTACAGCTTGCACGAGTGCATCAACTAATCATTTTGCATTGATCCACCAGAGTTCAGCGAATCCCCCAAAACATGCATCATGTGGGGTTCATCGACATAAATGCCTATCCTACAACACAAGTCCATGCCAGTATTTTTTCATTCCATTGAGGATGAAACATATGTAGAACAATACTTTATAATCTATGGGACCCGTTATGAGGTTGTGAATGCCCTGATGTAAGTCTATGCTTAGCAATAGCCGATAAGAACCCCATTGTATGGACCCAAGTGGTCCAAGGGATCGCCCGACGACATGTCCGGCACACTCCGGAGTGTGCACTCGTCATGCGTGTCGTCTTCGTCACCTATACCGGTGATCGATGATTGATGAGCGATAGTGTTCGAAAAGGCAAATGTTACACTTGCCTGGACATCGGACTACGTCATCATCAGATACGATGTGGACTTCTCCGTGGGTGTGTGAGAAGCCCAGCTGGCGATCAGGATTTATCGGGACAAAATCTAACCTATTGTTAACGCGTTGGAAGTCCGGTACCTGCCCCGCGATTTCAGTAATGAGGGGAAGCGACAATGATTCAAGCTTACCTTCGAATCAAAGAAAGTGGCCCATGCTGGATTTCCTACGCGGGGTTTACCAAATGTCACACCTTTGATAGCGATGTTAGAGGGAAGGTTCAGGGTCATGAACAGACACTCAATCTCAGAAAGAGCGCCTCCCAGAGAGTGTCCGACCTGCCCTCAAAAATATCGTTATTTGAGAGTGGCTACAAAAATGTTCTATGCTGACCAGCGTGACACTCTTGGCGCCATGTTTAGAGAGCAGGCTCTTGACCTCCTTCAAGATGATGCTCGCAGTTTTCGCGTGCTCGTCAGCAAATCCGCTGTGAAGTTGGACGTCGCTTTTGACACCGGGAAAAAGTTTTGAGTCCGGGCGTTTCAGTGATTCATTGGCATCAGTGTCAATAGCTTCACTGTGTGGGCCAATAAGTTTTCTCAAGTCGCATTAGGTGAAGCATGTACACCTACACTGAGGTTAGGTCTGTGCCTTGGTGAGCAACTACTACAGTATTTTTTGTCGGCCAGTAGCCAACGTAGTCTGCGAAATGTCTGGAAAGGCGTGCAGCATTTTTATTGGAACGTACAAAATTGGATGTCGTCGCCGTCACCCCCTGCGAGAGAAACCTCAAAGTCAGACAACTCCAGGCACGATGCTAAGAGTTCAATTATTGAGGCAAGGCAAACCAAATAGAGTAGGTCTGATTGCGTACCACAATTCCATTCATTTACGGTGTAAGGCGAACAATAAGCAACATGGGCAAAATGAGCATACGGCGTCAAATCAGCCACATCGGTGGCCGACATCTTAGTGACATCCGAGACACCCGCCCGACGCGTTGCGGGAGCTGCGGGGAGGGGATCCGCCACAACTTGCAAGGTGTATGCAAGCATAAGGCTTGAAGCGAAAGAAAGGAAGAACATGATTCACTGGGTGTAGTGGATTTCTGTCGATTGTGCTGTAAACATGGTCTTATTTATACTGAGTGTTTTGAGCCGGCAACCGCGTTTGAGGGATGATTAGTGTGCACGCAAACGGGGATAGGAGAGCCGGTACCATGCGACATAATTGTTCTGGCAGAACTTAGAGTTCTTCCAACCGCTCTGGCAGAAGAGGTTGTCCCTGCAACGGGACGGTGGCAGAATCTGGCAAATCCAAAACATCCGAAACTTGAACTCAATAACATGAAGCCGACGTCCCTAGAGTCAGATAGTGCACGCTGGAGAATGCCTACTGGTCCAGAGAGTATCGCGCTTGAAGACATTGTTGCCGAATTTCGACTTTCGAGGAGTTGAAGAGGCCCGAAGAAGATCAAAGCATTGACGAAGTTGAAGTGCTCGAGGGAAATACTGTTGATTTCAGCGAGTTGCATCGGCCGAACAAGGAATAATTACATAGGCTATTAATTCTAGAAGAGGTTGAATGGTGAGGATGACGGATAGGACTTATCGATGTCGTTAGGAATGTCATACATGATGGTCTACATACCCTAGAGTTTTGCCGGTTGCGCCGGTTATCTAGACCGGTAAAACTGATCTCACACTTCCAGACATTGATGATAGGTCAATGCAACCTTTGAGAAAGTGTTCCGCGTCAGAGTCGTCACTGAGATGACGATGGACAGGATCAAGGGCAGCGGATAGTGGACGTGCGTTCTAGTGCGACGGCGAAATCCGGAACACTTGCCATAAGCAAAACTTTGAGTTTATATAGGTCACATGTGATCCTTACCCACATGATACTTTGTCGCATGACATTGACTGGTTAGCATGCAACAGTAAGTGATAATTTATCTTAAATTCGAGCACCTCGTGTTGATCTAGCTAGGTCCAGGCCGTGGTGCACGAGGCCATAGTATGATTCAGCCTATCTTCAAAGTTCAAACGTACACGCGCCTGATGCGTATACTTCCTTTCTTGCAGCTGGGCTTCGCTGCTCAGGTGCCATTATATTCCACTTCCATTTCACCAGCTTCTGTCCCACAAATCCCTCAGATGGCTACACATTTTACCCTCAGCGAGGGTGCAAATGCACTCTCCCCGCAGGATATGCTTACCCTTTCTCGGCCTGGTGCTCCCCTGCCAAATGATATTGGTGATCTTGCTATCGTACCCATCAGCACTTACTCTTTTCAGGACCGCAAGTATGATTTCCTTTTCTTTCTTAGTTCTTATAGTCGTAATGTTCACTGCCTGATTGTTAGGTCCCACAAGTCACTTTCTGTTATCGCTCTCAGCGATGGCCAGACCTACGACATTCCTTTGCCGGATGGCGGCGATGCCTTCTGGCTTGATTCTCGCACAATCGCACATATCGTGACAAAGGATGACACACAGAGTCTCTACACCATCCCCATCAGCACTTCTCCTCTCTCGTCTGACCTCTCCTCCCACGTAGGATCCTTCCCCATTACCACTGCAAGCGCCTTCCGCTACAACCCCAGCGCTCAGCACCTCATGTTCTCCGCATACGTTTATCCTGATGGCCTCGTCGAGACTGTAAAGGAGCAGGACGCAGCGTATGAGAATCGGGGCAATTCTGGTCTGGTGTATGATGAGACGTTTGAGCGCCATTGGGATACGTGGGTTGGGCCTAAGAGAAAGGCTCTCATTGGGATCAGTCTGGCAAAAGTAGGTGCGAAGTGGGTACTGGGGGAAACTTACGTGAATGTGCTAAAGGGGACGGGACTCGTGAGTGTTTGTTTCTACCTTTCGGGGATGGTGGTGAAACTGATATGAGCTAGTCTTCCCCCGTAGAACCGTTCGGCGAAGCAGATGACTATGATATTTCCCAAACGCATGTCATCTTCACTGCCAAGGACCCACAGCTTCCCAGGGCCGTGCACACCAGGCAGAATGTGCGTGCAGCTCGTGTCTTACTGTTTCTATGCTAATACACTACCACATAGATTTACATTGTTACACATGACGGAAAAGACCTCAGACAACTCACCTCGGGCATCCAAGGTGCGACACACTCACCCGTATTCAGCCCTTCTGGCGATAAAGTCGCCTGGCTTGAACTGGCTCTTGATGGGCATGAGAGTGATCGGTGGGTCATGCGACCCATTCATATACTATTCTGACGTTAATTCAATGCATGTACCTCCCACTCGCCCATATATCACTTCCCACGTTGTCAACTCACATGCACAGTGCGAGAGTGGTGATCTACGATCTCGAGAAAGATGTCCGGTTCACCATCACGGAGGACTGGGACCGCTCCCCTGATTCTATTATTGTGAGTTCATCATCCAATCATCCTTACTTCCTTCATTTCTATCCCCTAAATCATGATCCTTGTCATTTCCTTGCGGGTCTACTCATCCCTCCCATACGTTTCGTCGTCGTACTAGCCAGCTAAGCCAAATACAGTTCTCCCCTTCCGCTGCCCTCATTTACGCCACCACCGGCGATCACGCCCGCATCAAGATATTTGCGCTGGCTATCCCACCTACACCTCCCCCCAATTCCACACAGATCACTCAACCTACAGCCCTCACATCCAGAGGTTCTATATCTGGCTTCACACCAATCCCAGGTGGCAGGGCCACCTTTGCGCTTTCAAGCTTGACGTCTCCAAATGAGGTGTACGAGCTTAGTGGGCTTGATGCCGTCGAGCGGGATCTCTTAGCAGGAATGAACGCAGATGTGAAGGCGACGACGCTTACCCGCCTTACTTCGTTCTCTTCTGCTGGGCTCCAGGGCAAAGATCTCGCTCCCGGGAAGGATTTTTGGTTCAAAGGTACGGCTGAGGGGCAGGACACTCACGGTTATGTGATTACCCCACCTGGATTCGAACGCGGGATTAATGGGAAGTGGCCTGCGGTGATGTTTATTCATGGAGGTCCAGAGAGCGCTTGGTTTGATCAGTGGTCGACGCGGTGGAATCCTAATGGTACACAATTTCCTTTTGTTGGGTTACGAGGGTTGCCTAATGTTTGGGCTATGCGTGCTCTAGTCTTTGCAAGCCAGGGGTATATAGTCGTTGCTATTAATCCAACGGGATCTACTTCATTTGGACAGAGTGAGTTACCCTCTTCTCTTGTCTACTCTTGTACTGACGCAACATGCCAGAATTCACAGATGGAATCAATAAAAACTGGGGAGGCCGTCCCATCCAAGACTTGCTGATGGGATGGAAGTATATCCTTCAAGAATACCCAGAGGTGAGGTCCTGCACCCTCCCACTCGACGCTTCCTGACGTCGATTTTTCGGCATATAGATTGACCAAAACCGCACGGCGGCGGCTGGTGCTAGTTATGGTGGATATGCAATCAAGTGCGTATCATCTCCTTCTCGCCCTTGATATCCTCTTGTTCTAATGATCGTTCTTTGCAGCTGGATCCAAGGCAACCCCGAACTCGGATTTGGGTTCAAGGCACTGGTCTGCCACGATGGAGTGTGTTCCCCCTTGTGGCATGAAGGAGTGAATGAAACGCTAATGCATTTACATCAAACAGGTATTCGACACAACCTACAATAGCTACGCCACAGATGAACTATTCTTTGTGCGGCTCCCATCCTCCCTTACAACGCTAACCACTAATACTCACCACAGTTCAACCACGAATGGGGAGGACGTCCGTGGGATCCTGCCGCAATCGAAGCCTCGCGGAAATATAGCCCCGTGCATACCGTCGCCAAGTGGTCGACCCCACAATTGATAATTCATAGCAGCAAGGATTACAGGATTCCAGAGGGAGATGGTATTGGGGTGTTCCATGCATTGCAGCAGTGCGTTTTCCTTTCGTTCTAATTCTCCATATATGGTTCTCTTGCACCTATCGTTTCTTTTCGATCCTCAGTTCCTCTTCCTTTTATTTTTGCTCCTAGTGGGTGACTCGTATTGATTGACCTCATGTAGGTTGGGCGTTCCAAGCCGCCTTTTGATCTTCCCAGACGAGAACCATTGGGTGATAAACGCTGGGAATAGGTGTGTATGGTGTTATACACGCCAGTCATGAGCTGATGTTGACTGGGACAGTTTGAAATGGCACTACGAAGTATTTAGGTGGTTGGATCAGTTCGTCGGGCGTTCTTAGACATAAAAGCGTGACTAGGAGAGAATCTTGTCTGAAAGTGGTAACTAAAGGGTACGTTGTGAAGGGGCAAGTCGGGCGTTTGTAACATAACTTGAATGAGTAGAACCTTCGTGATTTATGATTTGTGAGCTGAATCGTTTGATCTGCCACCTAGGCGTCTCTTTGCAATACCATGCCTGTGATGCAAGCACAAATCGATGGTATCTTCAGCATATTGGCGTCGGTGACGTTCATCGCAGTCGTGAGATATCAATGTATCTGGAGTATGGACATCACCCCATAGTACAATCAATGAAATTACAATAAATTCCTCTTAATGAACTTTGCAAAGCACAAGTATGAGTGCAGATATTCATGGTAAAGTCCACACAGCAAAGGTCGTAGCTCACTGGCAGACCCCTCACCACACTATCTCTAATCACTTGATGCATAATGCATGGCTTCTTCATTAGCTTACACTTACCCCGTAGTTTCGAGCCTCCGAGTCGGAGGCACTCGAGCAAAGTACTCAACCTCCTCACCAGGTCCTCAACTTTATAATTTCCTTGACCCCCTCACCCGCCCTGCCTTTCCAAACCTGCCCATCATCTTGTTTGTAACACTTACCAACGCATGCTTCGTCTCGCTCTCTGGCCAATCCTCCAAATCAAAGAACAAGGGCGCGCACTCGAGGAGCCTGTAGGAGCGTCAATGCACAATTTTGCATCAGCATATAAATCTACAGTGTTAAGAGGCGTACGTACCACTCCGGTCGGACACCCGTGACTGTCCGTAGATAGGGTCTGTTCGTGACCACGAACTCGTTGAAAATCACCCACTCCGGCTGTGTATCCAGTCTGCACGATGGATGCAGCACCACGGGCTACCACGGAAGAATTTCCATCAGCACGCCAATCACGACTCAAGGTTGAGATAATATACCTGATTGTTTAAGGTCATATAATTCCTCTTCCCTCCCACCTTGTGTGCAGCTTGCATGAAGAAACCACAACACAACGCCTTTTTGATTGCCAGAGATATCGCACCCTGATCTTGAACGCTTACGATATCCACCTCAAACCGCCCCATCGTCCGTTCCAACTGCTCGCGCACGTGGACTGCTTGCAGCAGCGCTGGAGCGGAGAGGTAGTGCTCCCACGTCCAGTCTTTGTCGTGTTGGTCTGAGGTAGTTGCAAGTGAGTACGTACGCATTTGTAGGAAGTGGAAACTTACTTAGAATGTACTCGTTGTACACGTTCAGAAGCATTAGGTGATCGCCACCGGGGACGGTAAGTAGAGCCTTTGCAGCATCCGCCTCTTCTCGCTTGTTACTTGGCCGTAGCCATACATTTGGCACTACAAGAGAGTCAGATGCGAGCAAATCTCCACGATCAGTACGCACCTGACAGCATCGCAGTGATCGTCAGTATCTCGTTGCTACACTTAAACTCTGGGCTGATGAGCAGCATCTTTGAGAGCTAGGAGAATGCGTCAGAACCGTCAAGACCAGACCCACCGCCAGGACAATCGCCTACCTGTGGATCAAGAGGGAATTCAGCCATGATACTCCCAAGCGCCGTGAGGTTCCCATCGTCATCCACAGCTGCGAGATAATTCAATACCTCTAGCGCCCTCATCAATGACTCTGGCGCTGGCTCATCCAAATAATCAAACTTGACAAGATCCTACACAAGCATCAGCTCGACTCCAAAAACAGCACTTCCCACCACATCGCACTCACTTTGATCCCTGCCTTGACAAGCATCAACACCGTGCTTACTAGATTACTCCTCAAAATTTCCGGTTCCGTCTGTTCCTGGAGCACCGACATGAAGTTCTTCTCCGTGTACAACCTAAAGCATTTGCCTGGCCTCGTTCGCCCGGCACGGCCCGTACGCTGTTGCGCCGACTCCTTGGAGATTGGGCTCACAAGTAAGCTCTCCACGCGGGTGCTGGCATTATACACCTTCTGCTTAGAAAACCCCGGATCCACGACGTACACAATCCCATCGATCGTCAGCGACGACTCTGCGATGTTCGTGCTCACCACGACCTTGCGTCCTGGTGGGCCACTAGTACTGCCTGCTTTGGGCGGCGGGTCGAAGATGCGCTGTTGTTGTTGAGGCGGTAACCAGGAGTACAATGGGATGCACTCGAGAGGGCCTACGGTCTCAGGGTAGGAGGCGATGAGGTCATCCACCTCGCTCTTAATACTACGGCAGGCACCTTCTATCTCCTCCTCACCCGTCAGGAATACCAAGATATCTCCTGGTTTCTCAGTGCAATGGATCTTGAGTACAACACGGATAGCGGCCTTGACGTAGTCTGACACCGGCTTCTTGTTGTAGACCACTTCAACGGGGTGAGTGCGGCCGGGAACCTTGAATAGCGGAGGAAGGGCGTCGCTGGATACAGCAAAGTACTCCTGAAACTTGAGAGCGTCCAGAGTGGCAGACATGATAATGAGCTTGAGGTCTGGGCGACGGCGAGCGAGAGTTTTGAGAACTCCCATGAGGATGTCAGTAGCAAGCGTGCGTTCGTGAGCGTCATCGACGATGATAGTGGAGTACCGGCTGAGGTCTGGGTCGTGCATGACTTCGCGAAGGAGTATGCCGTCTGTCATGTATTTGAGGAAGGTTATGCCGGGCTCGGTCACATCTTCGAAACGTATCGAGTAACCGACTTGTTGACCGAGTAGGACTAGATGATCGAGTGAGTTCGGCATGAAATCAGAACAGTCAAACAAACAGACCGTCCATCTCATCTGCCACGCGTTCCGCGACAGCTGTGGTAGCGACTCTGCGAGTCTGAGTGCATGCCACAATCTTATTCTTGATGTGTGGAAGATCTGAGTAGACGACGAACTGGGGTATTCTACCAGTGACAAAGAGAGTGTATGATAGGTTAAGCGACTGAGAGCATCAGTCAAGGGGTGACAACTCACTGCGTGGTCTTGCCTGAGCCCGTCTCCCCGATCATGATGATGATTTGGTGTTTGTTGAACTGCAAATGTCAGGGTGAATGGAATGAGATGTGCATAAAACTAACTATCTTATAGAACTCGGTCATATGTGCAAACACGGGGAGCGTTTTGCGAGATTCCAAGATCTTTTTGTATTGCTCAGTGTGGGGTTGGTTTGTGAACGGGTTTGTATCGTTTTCCTAAGCGATTTTCCGAGTAAGCAAGCCTAGATGTAGTTCTGCTATTGAGGACATACCAATAAAAGGTGGACTTGATCTGCGGTGACCTCCCGGGGAAGATAACCGAAGTTCCTCGAGGGACCGGCGCTATCGAGAGTGCTTGAAGCAGCTCGTTCTCGATCTGCGGCGACCTCTCGCAGAACAACGGAAAAGAGAGGCTCGCCAGGGGAGGCACCTGTACCATCTAGAGTGCTTGAAGTAGCTCGCCCTCGATTCTCAGTCTTTTGGTGACCAGGGACTTCGTCGTTCGTACTGCTGGCCCTTTGAAAGGACCTCAGGATTGCAATCAAAGTCGTTTATGAATCCTTTACCACGTTACGAAGTTCCACAGCTTCTTGATCAGTTCTGTCATGAGAGATATGTGGGACAACTTGAAGTGAGGCTTAGTGCAATGTGAGATGAAGGAAGCTTTATCCCATCCAAGAATTCGTGGGCATTCATATATTGGTATCTTGTAAGCGCTTTGGGCGTCACCATAATCATACAAAATGAGGCATGAACTCGCACGCGCATCATAGATAGCGATAAATTCATATGGAAACTCCAAGGCTAGAAGAACAAAGTGTGCGATGCAAAGAATGAGAATCATAAGTCACGTGGAAATCACAAACGTAAGTAAGACAAACCCTCCGGCGAACCATCCTCACCAGGGGCTTTCTACCCGCGCGCACTCTTCGCAGGAGGCTTCTTCCCGCCACCCGGTATTATAGCGGTCGTGCTCGAAATAAGCTTCCTCTTTTTTGCCGGCGCCTGCGACACGGCTTTCATACTGCTCGTCGCTGCGATGCGCTTGGTGCCATAAACTTCACGGCGATTTTCCTAGCGGGCGCGGGCGTCAGCATGCTGAACCAAACGTTCACGACAGGAGGAATGTACCTCGGCGCCCAGCGTCAGTTCGTCATCTTCCTCTTCTGAAGAGTCAACTTCGTTCTCGGTGGCTGGATCACTACCTGGCTCTGATATCTTATCTTCTACATCTCGATCTTCATCGATCTCAATATACTGTCGTTTAGTGCTTAGTTTTTGGGCAGAACGGGACGAGGAGGTAGGTTTGCTGGTAGCAGAATTGGATAGTAGTGTATTGCCAGTCCCAGAAAGTGTGGGTTTACTAGGTCTTGCTGTAGATTTCGACGGTGGTGGTGCGGATTTGGTGGATACGGCCGATGTAGGCTTGTTATTGAGTGATGCAGATTTGCTGGTAGCTGAGACAGCTTTGTTGGTGCCCTGTCTAACGGAGTTGGTGGGTTTGCTGGGTTTCGATAAGGTTTTGCTCGAGATGGCTGAAGTTTGTCTACCAGATCTTGGTACTGTGGATGCTGGATCCAAGCTTGATGATGAGGCAGAAGAACTCGATGCAGATGGTGCTTCATCAGAAATGGTGTCCTCCATGCTCTCCTCCTTTACAGGCACCTCGATCACAGCCTGAACGCGTCGGATTAGGTATTGCTTGGACTGGTCTCCGGAGGCCCTGCGGTTCGCGGAAACGGGAGTGGGGAGTTGTTGCGTGGATATGGGTTTGGGTGCTCTGGATGACGATGTAGATATGGATTCATCAGGAAGTTCGGAGGTGTAGGGAGGGAAACGGTGACGTGAGGATGCTGATGGGTCGCTAATGCTTGTTGTGTTAGGGTAATGGAACATTTTCGTGAATGGAGTGGACGCGTGTGCTTGGACAGTGTGCTGTTGCATGAAAGTCAGATACAAGATTCAAGGAATGAGAGTGGCCCGCACAGAAAGCTGCTCTTCAATAAGCTCATCCACACGCTTTGCGAGCTTGTGGCGCTCCTGCTCAACGCGTAGAAATTGCTCTTTCCAGCTGGTGGCTTCCTGACGCGACGTGTCTTCGAGACGGAGACACTGTTGTTTCCACTGCTCGGACTCGTAGCGAAGTTGAGCGATCGTCTCTGCATGGTGTTTTATCTGCACGCGGATATTAGTATATCTACGCTATCAAAGAAATGGGCGTACAGTCAATTCGGCTTGCTCAACCTTGTCAGGGGCAAAGTTGAATACGGGAAAAGTGCAAACATCGAGTGGGGACATACAGCAGACTTTCGGGCACCAGCCTCTTGCTTCCACGCCTGCTCCTCGAGCCTAAGCTCATGAAGAGCTGTAATGGCTTCATCCCGTTCGCGACGCGCTTCCCGTGCTTCAGCACATGCTTGTGCGACTTCTTGACGTGATTGATCCTGTATGTTCGTGAACTGCACAGGTCAATGAATCTAGAAGAACATTGAAGAAGACGGTGAACTTACTGCAGTGTTTACTGCTTTATTCAGAGACGCGAGTGCATCCGTGAGTATGACGGACGGCGGGGAGTTTGTTGTCATCTGGCTGCAAATCGGGCGAGAGCAAGACACGCCGCCTTTGACAGTTCCCGCGTTCCCGATTCCATTATTACACTGCCACTTGTCCACAGCACAGACTTAAATTAAATGAATTCGAAAGCCAGCTGGTTTTCATGCCTGCAATGCCACGCGGAGACCGCCGTAGGTACTTGGGACTGGTACCAATCGTGTATCCGATTCTTTTAACTATTCTTTTGCTGCATAACGCACGGTGACGGTCACATTAATATTCACATTTCCCCATGTCTTTTCTAGCTCACTGGATGCCCCCAGGTCTCCACTCGCAGGAGCATGACCAGTTGCGGTGGAATATCTAGCCGTTTGACGGTTATGCGAACAGCACCATGAGGAGAGACCGGAACTTGGAACAAGCCGTCACCCAAAATGTCCGGTAGCATTCCTTCGCTGTGGGCTACATACTGTCTGCCATAGTAGCTCTGCTTCGAATTACCACCAAAATCAAAGTCGCTAGTCTTTCGTTACACGGAGCATACTGAGAGACTAGTCGACACACTTTTGCACCTCGGCGACTAGTGGCTTTCAAATCAACGCGCGTACCCTCGACCGTTGTGAGGGTGATTTCAACTTCTTCAACTGTTCATTGAACCTTTTCTTACAATCGTCAGATGATCCGGTCAAGACAGAAAGTGTCCTTCCTTTTAAGAGTCATCATTTTGACATTCGCTGTTAATCTGCTTCTTGGCTATGTCTTAGTGTCATCGCCACCATAATGGCCCCTCTTGCGCACGGCTGTCGTAGCGCTGAGGGGAATGAAAATTCTACATGTGGTCATGTACGCCACTACTTTCAGCTCAGACGTGTACTTGATGTCTTGTTAATCAAGGTTAATCAGAAGTCGGGAACCTGTTGCCGACACCCTGCCCATATGCCTCGAGTGGAGCCCGTTCTGGCGTCTAACCCTTTTCCTCGACGTATAAAACGAGTAACAATTCTTGACGTTCTACATCCCAAGTTACTGCATAATATTCTCATCGAATTGCTCTTTCACACAATGAAATTCACAATTGCCAGTGCTCTCATCTCTGTCATTGCCCTCCCAGCGTTTGCAGTGCCCGCATACCCAGCAAACATCACAGCAAACGTCACATTGCCAGCGAACGTCACATACCCAGCGTATGTCACATACGATCCTGTGTACAGGAACCCCAATTCGTCCCTCGTTAACGTCGCGTGTTCTAATGGCGCGAATGGTCTTTTGACCAAGGGATATACCACCTTCGGCTCTATCCCTTCATTCCCCAACATCGGAGGTGTTCCGGGTGCCACCTGGAACTCCTGGTTGTGCGGCACCTGTTGGAGCCTTCAATACACGACGCCCGGCGGCAACCAAACCACCATCTTCATCACCGCCGTCGATGCTGCTTACACATTCAACATCTCGCCGCAGGCGTTCAGTAACTTGACTAATAGCACTAGCTTCGAGCCCGGCAAAGTTACTGCCAACGTTACTCAAGTCGCTACGATCAACTGTGGCATGTAGTGGTGACATGTATGTTCATCTTTGACGTTCTGCGAGACTCGAAGTCTGATCCAACGTGAATCTAGGCAATTACGCTGGAGGATTTTTGTGTGTGCTGGAACGGTTGAAAGTATCGGGGCAAGAGGTTTTTGAGTCTTTAGTTCGTGGGCGGGTCGGCTTGTATGTTGCGGCTTGTACATTAATAATTGCTTGTACGTTGCGATTCGTTATTCAGAAGTGTGTACGATACAATATTTTCGAGAAAGTAGTTCCTCGATGAGCGATTCAGTGTGTTATATGGTAAACTTCCTGGTTAGTATCTACAGTGGTTCGGATAGTACTTCATAGCGCCTCGGCTTTCCGAGCACCATAGTGACAATATTGCCCGATATAAAACTCGCCACGAGTCCTTGACTTCAGCACGGCGAATCCCTGGAACGGCTGAGGTTTCTGGTGCAATACCGTTTGGGCTGGCTGTGCCATAATTGGCACTCAGAAAGGGGCTATATAGCCTTGATGATTACCTAATAGGGATCAGCGTGGCCAGAGTCTAACTCAGGGTAATTGAATGAGCATGCTCCTCAGCAGTACTTTATTGATGTTTGTCATATTTGGCACATGGTTCGTTGACAAGGTAATTCACTCGGCGACGTGGACATCATGGCTAAACGTTAAACCTCCATCTGTACCCCTTTCGCTGACCTTATCAACATTCTCGTGCTCTGCCCTCCAAGCACGTTCGCCTTCGGACTAAATCCATCTTCATCTTCACCATATTCGTATTCTAGTACGCTGGGCGCACCACACCCGCACGTTGAAGTCCGATTTCTCAAACCTTTGATTAAAAGCATCCATACGAAACAGTCAGAAAACTGAACTATTTTCTCTCAGACCTGCATACGTCACCTGTAATGCTTTCCCTGTACACCAAAACGAGGGGACACAGACTACAGTCCATCATACTCATAATTGGTTTCCTCTGGGTGGAAAGCACAGAATCCTTCAAAGTGCAGCATGAATGCTCTTATACTGACGGAGACTACGTCGTGTCAAGATCGCGCTCACTCCACATATCTTGACTTAACCTGGTGGACCAGCAGTGTCACGCGCATACTCAGGTACTGGCGGCATCGGCAACTGGGCATCAGTTGGTAGTAGTTCAATTCTTGCCAATGTTGGGAACTTAGCCTGCCAGTGTGATCCTGGTATGTCCAGTACTTATCTATTATGAGGACTTCTTTCATAAAATGATCCTGATTCCGTCGCGCTCGTGCCGGCCCTACTACATTTGGACACCCGTGCTACTTTCAGCTCAGGTACTTCTCGAGGGTAAATCGAGGGGACATCGAAGCAGGAAAAGCAAATGCCCTCCTGTCGAATTCTGTCCATGCGCATCCTATAAAAGTGAGTAGAAAATATCGAAACTTTCTCTTCTCAATCACTGCACAATATTCACATCAAAAAAATTTCCTACACAATGAAGCTCGCCTTCGTCGTTGCTCTTCTCTCCGCCTTCACCCTCCCAGCGTTCGCAGAGCCCGCATATGTCACATGGGACGCTACGTACGGCAACCCTGAGGGCTCCCTCAATAGTGTCTCTTGCTCTAACGGCAAGAATGGTCTTGTGACCAAGGGGTACACCACTTTTTCCTCCATCCCTTCATTCCCCAACATCGGAGGTGCCCCAGGCAACTCCTGGAACTCCACCTTGTGTGGTTCCTGCTGGAGCCTCAAGTACCCCACGCCTAGTGGCAGCCAGATCACTGTCTACATCACCGCTGTCGATAATTCGTATCAATTCAATATCTCACCACAGGCATTCGGAGAGTTGACTGACGGCACTGGCTTCGAGGCCGGTAAAGTGAAAGTTAGAGCTATTCGTGTTGATCCTAGCAAGTGTGGCATGTAGAGGCAGGTGCGTTCTCCTGGATGTTTTGCAAGACTTGAGCACTGATCCGGTGTTGAATCTCATAGAAGGTCGAAATTCTCTTTGGTATCGCAGTGAGTAGCGCATCTCCTGCAGTTTGTTATTGAACTGGTGAACAGTACTGACTCGACACGTACCAGCGGGCCAAACCCACCTCCAACTACGGTATAGTCAGTAAATACACATAACGGACTCCTTTTCTTCTTCTTTTCCCCCTGTTTTGTGCTCATGCAGTTACCGTGGACGTTTACAATGCTGTAAGAGTTGAATGCATTGATGGTTTAGTTGTCGTGACTTAAGCTCAAGCCTTGCGGGATCGTCACCGTAAACTCTTAAGAATACAACAACTTGAATATTCTGCAAAGGTCCTCCCGCATACGATGCCATCACGAAGGACTCATCGCCTATGTACGCCGCGGCAGGCTGGGTGATCATGTGTACTATCATTGTGGTTTGTTGTCCGTCGCATGCAGTACTGTCGTCAGAGTGATGTCATGTTCAGTCTCTACCGTTCTCCATGACACCACCATATCTCGTAACGCTAAACAAACTACCTGGCATCGACCGTCATGAACTTGAGAAGCTGGCGCGGAAGGAGGGCAGCGGCATTACAGACGAAGCCCTGACCTTCAAGAAGCCCTTCCAGACAGTCGTTCGGCCACCCACCACGAACCACAATATTCACGACGATTATATAAAGCATCCCCCAGAAGTACGCGATTGTCACATCCTTCACGTTTAGGAGATGTATTTAACTGCGAGTATCGCTCATAGAACGCTTCCCTGGTGCCGACAGAAAGTGTAGATTTGGCAAGAAAAAGGGCGCATTCAACCTCTAGCCGATGGAGACAGGGGAGGGATTAGGTCAGACGTTCAGGATGGGCTTTTTCCAAGTTCTCGCTGCCGGTCATCAGTGGTTCCAAACAGGGCAGACGCGTATCTTGTATTTCTTGGGGGGCTGAAGCATCGAGTTAGCTTATGCACTGTATGAAATTATGCGCAAGCCGTGATAGATATTCAAGGAGTGTCCTCAAGTTGAATATATTTTGCTATGGTACACGGTTTCACATGAGCTTCACGTTCCCATCACCACCACCTTTCCTCAACTTGCGTCCTGTCGCAAATAGGATACTGTCCAGTAGTCCGGCCACGGTGAGAACACCTCCGACGATAGCGCAAGTACTATAGGCAAAGTGAAATAAGATAAAATGTATGGTGGGTATAATATCACTTACGAAGTGAGGAAGTGTGCAAATGACTGTCTTGTTTCAGCGTGCACGACCAAGATAGGTGAAATTTCATAGTTGAAGTATGCACCTGAAAATGTGTCGAAACATTGATGGATAACTCGTGCTCTTCAACATACCTGGTGAGCCCGCCATGCCGTGTTGAGTGAACACGCCTTGCTTGTTCTCGCCCTCATTGAATTTCGTCAGATCACGCTCAAATTGAGTTGAACTGTATTGGTGCGTGTTGATCTACATTGTTCAGGCAATCAAGTCATGCGACCAGTTTGTTGATTCGTGTACTCACAGTTTTTCCTTCCAGTGTGCGGAATTGCGTTGATACGACTTTGAGGAAATACTGGAACATGTACGCCGACTTGTTCGTCTGCAACCATGTGAGCAGAAGCATTAAGAACCATACACGCATGATTTCACCTTTGCTTCAGCACCATCTAATGGGTTGTCTGCAATCCCCATACGTTCCTTCATATCCTTCCCGATCTTCGCTTTGTTAGGGTTGTACTCGTCGTCTGCCATGAAGAAAAACTCGTGGATAAGGTGGCTGAAATCGTGTGGGTTACCATCGTCGCGAAGGTACGGTACCAGATCTTGGAAGGTACGAGAGCCTGCCTGGTAGGAACGTCCTGGCGAAATTTGGATGCTTCCGACGACCTTGTTCACCCGGATTCGTCCAGAAACATTGCACCCCTCATCCGCCTGGTCCTTGAGCTTGTCTGACCATCCTTCCTCAACGCACTGTGATAGACCCCTTGACAAATTGTGGCAAGAAATTCAATGACATTCCTCACCTGTTCGATACCCTCGGGATTACTGAAACTCCACCCCTTGTCTGTATACGCCTGTCGAACCTCTTCACACGAGTTACAGCACCCACTCTCTGGTTCCTGTCCACCATAGCACGAGCCACAATACCCACTCGCACGTCGTTCAGCAATCTTGTCGACCTCGTTGCGGAGGTCCTTCCCATGCGTTGCAGGCATGTCCACACCAGTCTGAGTGATCCGCTTCTTGAGAATATTGTGTGAAATATCACGCTGTTGCTCGCCAGAAATGTCCATAACATCCAAGCTGAGCACTATACGAGTCAAAGTCAAATGCAACCATAGTTAGAATGTACAGTCAGCCAAACGGGGGAACGGGCTCACAGTAACACGGAACATGGGGAAAGGTGACGTTCAACCGTACACTCAACCTCTGTCCACGGCTGCGGTCGACTACTATCGAGGTGTCGACGCCAACGCGTCTGTAGTCGAAAAACTCCATCGTTGTAAATGCCAGAATGATACATGCAGATATGAGGGTCACTAGAACATCCCGCTCGTCAACTTCACTTCGCTATAGTGGCTCCGGACAACGGCTTACGCAGAGCCCCAGTACGGGTTTTAACTTTGACATCCTCCGTAGTCTGGTCGTGCGCGCCGCATACGCGGTCAGTCTTTTGACGGTTCCCACTTCAATAGAATCGGTTCTCACCTTTCCAAAGGCATCTATGCCTTTGAAGCCAGATAGAAAACCCTTGGCCATCTACGACCTTCAACAATAGCGAACACGATAAAGTGGTCAGAAAGAACGGGAGGTCCGGAGAGGAGAGAAAAAGCGGGAAATTGTTGGCCAGAGGCAAGTCGGAGATCTAGAGTATACTTGGTTTGGACCACGTGGACAATGTGTACGGGCTACGTGTCACTGTCACTCTGATGTTACTGTAGAAACCTATAACCGAACTAGTCCTTCATTGATATCCTTGATTTGGAACTCGTCCAGTAAGGTACATCCTGACTTGTTATTGTACACCGTCAAAGAGCCGACCGAATGTGTCCTAGTGTATAGTGTACAGTCTACTGCAATCCAATTTTATCTACACCTTGCTTCACCCGTCCGATAAAATTGCGCACACCATCCTTGATGCCCTCGGCTTGTACGCTGACATGGTCAGAGCTTGTCCTGTATACACCAGTACCAGTCGGACCCCCAAGACTGACATTGACACCGCCAAGGTTGAGGTTCAAAGATGGAGCGGTGGTTGCAGATTCTGGAGGCGGCTCGTACACTGACATGGGAAATTTCTCTGCGGCGGCGCGAATCATCTCAACGTAACTGATAAGAATTGTAGGTAGGTCGATTCCCTATTCTTCCCAAATATACTACGCACCTGGATGAGTTGTGTACACAAGTGCCGCCAAGTAGGATTCTTGTCCCTGTCAAAGAATTACCTGCTTCTTGGTTCAGGAGTGCAACTGTCCTTGCTTCCTCATAGGTAGTACCGCCAATCATAAAAATGATGACATCTTGAGGCCTATAAAGCCGAATTATGGACTCGGACAACTCAGAGGCACATTTCTCACCGCTGCAATCCCATGTTGGTACCAGTCCCGTCCAAAAAAGGGTACGCGGTATCCTTCAATCGGCCCTTGAAGAGATTTTCTAGAGTTTGAGAAAGATGTGGCGTGTGCTGAGTATACACATTCTCAACACCCTGTACATTATTAGTATGGCACGCGATGCAATGCTGTGTTTAAAATACCTTGAGTCCTTTCAAAGCGGATCTGCCCTTGGCTAATAAAGACTCGGTGGAGAACAAGTCATCCTGACGCTGATCTGATCCGGCGACGTTCAGAAATACGTAAACTAACTGAAAAGGAATGAGCTCATGTTTGTACAATTGTCAAGTGCAAAGCTTACCCGAGCCTCTTCACGAGACACGCCATTGGATAGTAGCATATTTATTAAGGCGGCAATATTGCTTGTCTGTGTCTTTTGGTAACGCAGTGCATAGAGAATGACGACTCGCAACTTGTTCCAGGCTGGGACGATCGGGTTGTTGACTACAGCCTGTACATTCTGCCCTTTGTCGTAAGTGTCAAAGAATGACATCGACACTAGAATGCAAACCTTAAAGTCTGATCCGGAACTCGTGGCCAGCCCTTGCTCTACCTCCCCCACATCAAGTAACCTATCGCGATCCACCAACCTACTAAGTTCGCCTACCAAAGCAACGTGTTTACTGACGTTTCCACCCAACTTTCGAAATTCTGGGTATTCTTCTACAAAGCGCTTCATGTCAAGTATGGAGTTAATGGACGAAGGTGATTGGGCGAGGGAACGCGACTGGTATGATTGGACATAATTTTTCAGGGAAGTGCCAAGGTCTCCGAATGTCGCGAGGTAATGGGCTTGAAAGAAAGGGTCGGTTATCGTTGTCAAGGTTATTTCCTACACATGGCATTAGAGTATGAGTGATGCAAAACTTAAAGAGACATACAGAAAGCTCTGGACGGATATCAGGCACCATGCTGAGATTTACGCGACCATTGTGAATGCCCAACAACTCGTGCACCATGGCTTGATAGGTCCATTGCGATAGCAGAGGAGTGACAGGGTCGTTTCGCCGATCAAGGATCAGTAGCAGTGGAGCTACTTGGGTCAAGCGAAAATCAAACAGTGTCGCTTCCGCTTGAATACAATGCTGCGACCTTCGTAAGTGTTACACATGGGAACTTACCAGCCCGGTATTTACCTGCACTTCGTTCGCCAGTTTTTTGGCCATTCCGCTTGTTTTCTCATACCGAATCACAGGCTTCTTCTTCAAGCTGAGAAGAACAGCCGTAATACCCTGCACAGAGCGCTCAAGCGCAAGGGAATCCCACATATTAGGCGAGGAGCCATACAAAGGTTTGTCCGACGTCGGTGTATGATTGAGGGAAAAGAGGCTAGGCAACAGGGGTGCATAGTCGGCGAAATATTCCTAGTTGGGAGACCTGGGTAAAAATGCGATCTAGAACAATTCCCACTTACCTGCACTTCCCTGACAACTTCAAATTCATCAACATCAGCCAAACGTTCAATGGCAGGTTTGCTCAATATGTTGCTGAAATCTGAAATGTACGACTCATGTAAGCGGTGCATCTCCTTTTCTACCCCCAGTAGTCACGCACTGACACAGATAGTATTCCCCGTACTTTGGCTCCCTTAACTCGGCGGAAAGGGCATCAATACTGGCTTCATTTGGCTGCAGGAAACAGACACATTTCATGTGCGACATCCGGTCCCGTTTCCCGTTGTCGATACGATCGGTCAGGTAAACCTGATGTGAAAGTAGAGTAGATTGGGTAGACGCAAGTGAAACGATGGGTGTCTGCAATTTCAAACATGGAGTTTGTATTATTGAATAGTAGTATGAAGAAGATGTACCGTGTGTGTATCAAGCAGTAGTACTTTCATTGCAGGAGGCGTAGACACCAACTTCGTGATGTATGTCTCCACTGCCTTGACCACGTCCATGGCTGAGCTGCAATTCAGGTGAACTGGGCGGCACAGCGCGGGTTCAGCTGGTTTGTAGCGTGAATTACCTTGCTATTCACGGGTTTCTAAGAATGTCAGGATGTGACGGTGGCATGCGCAGCATGTCACGAGTAGTCGTTTCCTAAATCGGGCACCAGGAGAAAGCTTAAACATTTGCAAATATTGGTAAGCACAAAGTCTGGATCTACATGCAACGCTACCGGACCATGAAACATATGCTCAACTTCGACAGTTCACCCTGTCAAATAACTCAATTCTGGACAGGGTTCCCTGCATGAATCCGCGAGTCTGCTATATCTAATCTCCCGTACCCGCCTTCAGGCACACATTTGCATTCTAAGCGAACGTCAATGTGAAATTCACGGGTGGCAGCAGTCCTGATCAGAAAAAAAAAACCAGAGAATAACCTGTGCACTCGACATGATCGGTCTCGACCACCTCCAAAGTGTTATGGACGTGTGGGTTGCCCTGTACTAACGTGATGCATTGGTTTCTACCCGAGGGCTTTCAAGCGGTGCCACGGTCGTCGGTAGGGCTGCATACTAAATGCTTTCAAGCGAAACTTTCCCTAACTCGCCTACTACTCGTCTGTTTAAGCTGATTTTACGTTGAAGCTGGAAACCTTTCTTGACCGCTGTCGCGGGGTACTATAAACGGCAGGTTCCGTGCGCTATTCCTTATAGGTTTCTCAACAGCAGTGCGGCGGCTTTGCGAGTTGCACTAAGCTTCAGATGCGTATAACGTAAGAAAATGATGCACGTCTCTCCACTATCATACGATCGTTGTCGTTCTCGTTGATGATTATCACGTTGTTTTGACTTTCTGTCGACTCCGTGTAAACCTTGGACCAGAATCACAAGCTCCGTGTATCGTGCGCTCCCGGGTCGACCATGTGCCCCGGTTGTCTCGTCGACGGGATTATATTGTTCCTTGCGTCCAGATTTGGCGGTCGCTCCTCAGAGCTGTAGAGAAGATTACTGAGAGCTTATTGATTCAATGGGCGTGGATACGTTCCTGTACGATCGCGCTTGTAGATTTGGCCGAACGCTATTTTCCTTGTAACCGTACGTACCTCAGGCCTCATGACTGAGAATCAAGTAAAAATAAAACAAAAGATTGGTTGTTAAACTCAGGAAAGTGTTGTACTCCTGACGGTCATCGCGGTAACTACCGATTTCTTTCTCAACCTTGCTCTTCATCGAGTCTCACCCGCTCCACTACCTGAAGCCCCTCTTTCAACAGGGACCAGAATTCCCGAACTTCAAATTGCACCAGGGTCAAGCAAATAACCATGATCATTTTTTAAAGCGCTGGAGTTGACATCTCGCTAAAGTTGACGTCGTGGAGTTCTTTCAGACAGGAGCTTTTACGATGTCTGTTCCTCCCTGGTTTTCAAAACTATATAACGCCAGGATACATCAATACACATGGAAACTCACATTGCCGAAGATCATGTCTACTTCATTCTATCATACCGAGCTTAGCAGGGCCCTTTCTGAACAAGCCTTCGGGCTGGCTCGGTTTGAAGTATGCAGAGGCTCCTCGCCTCACGAGGCCACTGCTTCTGTCACTCTGCTAGAGGGCAGAATTATACGCATAACATTAACTGCTCGCGGGTACCAGGTACGAATAGCGTACATGTGGTCTACATTCACTAAAATTTCTTCCAGCTTGATGGTGATCAGATCTTCGAATCTATTGAAGGTCTCTTGCAGGCCGTCAGTGCAGCATACGAAGGGAGGAGGAGAGACGCTTTATTTTCGCGGTTGCGAAGCCTATCATGAAACATTGTTTCCCGCGATCGCGATATACAGTGGCTTTAACGTTAGTCCTTTGTTCTCCGGATCATCACGCCTTGTAGCTAACCTCTTTGCAGCGTATTTGTAGTATTTTTGTACTAATGTATACATATTTTTGTCCTTCTTCATAGAACGTTACTAGAGGCTCCCCGACATGCTCGGTCTTCCAGCAGTCGAGAGTCTAGTTAGATTAGAATGTCTGGTACTACTACTATTTGCAACCCTAGAACAAATTTCTGACATACTCCAATTCTGAAGAGTCATGCCATTCTGCCCAGTAAAGTACCTGCTACGCATCGGTACATTCGAGCTGCGGTTCTGCAAGGGATCCTGATTCCTTTCGCCTCTGCAGACTGGCTTCGTACTTTTCTCTGCTGAAGATCTCGCCGTTTCTCGCCTTCTTAATTGTAAGTCCGATCCACTCCCGATCCGCTTTATTCCTCAAGCAGTTAGCCCACCATCTATCCATACTGTCCCGTAACAGGCTGGTATTTAGCTGTTTGTGTTCGCTCTGTTCATTGAGGACGTGGAGCAGGAACCCTGAATTGAGATGCTCAAGGCCCATTTCCGACAGACACTTGAGAATCCGTGTGACGCGAAGGTTGTTGTGAGGAGCTTCTATATAGTTGATCCAACTTCGTAAGCATGACTTTGCGATCATAGTGCCTCACTCACGCAAGAAGTTTCGGTATCGAGCTCTGTAGCCTTCTGAGCGTCCAATGAGACCAGTCTCGAAGTTCAGCAGGCACATGCCATAGAAATCCAGCATCAACTCATAAGACGTCTTGATACGCTCGATGACATCAGAGTCTTCCTTCATTGCCGCAACCTCGTGTGGTTGGAGAGCTTGTGCCTCGAAATTCATTCCGTTCTCCCGGATGGGGAAGCTGCGTACATCATGATTCATAAGATTATCACCGGGCGCCATCAGTGGATATATGCCGCTCTACTCACAGCCATTGAATATAACCATGATTGTACTCCAGTTGATTATAATCTTTGCGCCAGCTATAGAAGTCCGTGGTGCATCGATTCTGCACTGAGTAATGGTCGCATACCTTTCGTGAATCTCGCTGATCAAACAATCGTCTGGTTGGCAGCGCAGTCGATTTTGGTAAAATAGTAGATTATCTGAAGCCTGTGGGTCATCTGCTTGACCGTGGTAATGAGAGAGAAATGCACGAATATCGCGCGGAAGCGACATGGAACTCAACGGGGTTTTATAACTTGAGATCCCCAAGTGATCAGTGAAAGGGACAAGGGGTGAATCTTGCACCAAAATAGGAAATAAAGAAATCTTATCTATGCGCCCGGCGTTTCAACTCAAAAGTCCTAGCCAGGAACTGCCTGAGTTGGGCCTGTTCTCATGTAGACGAGAAAAAAAACGAAAGTGGGTTTAATCCCCTGCAGTAAAATTGCGCTGATGAGAATGATGACGGTCTTTGACTAGTTGTGAGGCTGCACTTATGGATTTGGATTTTGCAAATTGCAATGAATTGCGGATTAAAATTTAATCGATGATCATCACAACCTGATTTGGTAATTTAGTCCGGACAAATACTAAAATTATAAACTCAACCAAGTCCCCAGGCCAACAAGTACCACATGCTTGCCACAGTGCCACTGTTATCGTTTTGCTTGATGGTTGTCTCAGCACCGAAGTATACGACTTTGTCCGGTGGTCCCTCAACTGCGCACATCCCGCATCATGGTGGAACTGACGGATTAGTAATGCAAGGGAGCAACTTCGTGCAGTACCCTGAGTACGTCCGCCGCTGCTTTCTATCGAATTCACGCTTTATACCAGACATACCTTTCACTCGTGGGGCCTCCAGATCTATCGTCTTGACGTAGATTGGCTGGAGTTGTCCGCCTGTCATTCGTACACATTCTATAGACAAGTTATCTCCGTCTCGAGATGCCACAAATCCGTTTGATATTTCGTTGCATTCACTACCCTGCGTCGTCCGTATCGGGAACATAGTGAGTGATATCAGTTCATTTATATCCAAGCTTACCGTGACATGCCAAAGATGCCAGGTATGATGTTTCCAAGCACTTGGCGCGAACAAGTTTTCTTATCTGATCTATCTTACCGGCTCGCTAGTGATCAAGTCACACACTCACCTTCCGATTCAAAATACACACATCTCCCAATTATAACTTGTTCATCACCATGAACGTTTGAGCATCCTTAGCTAAAAGACGGTAGCTTTGCTGTTTACCGGCCATGTCATGTGAAAACATGAGGACATATTACGGAATTACGATTGTTGTGGTTGTGGGTGAGGTTGATAACCTTTAGGTGGGCTTTAACATTTATGATCGAGTCATGCCGGACATTTGTTTTAGAACGCAAGGTCTGCATGAGCAAGCAGGGTGACCGTGACAGTTCTATATAGCAGTAGTGGGTGACACGGGGAATTGCCACTGGAAATGGGAATGAAAGTATGTATTACTCTTGCACCGACATATGCCATCATAACGCTGTATAAAAGGATAGACTCAGCGCGCGATAGGTCCAGGTGCGCGCAAGCACGTTCAAAGCAATTATCTCCCTTTCGGTTGCACTTCATTCATTAACAATTATGATGAATGTTTCGACGTTCTTCGGAGAAGATGTCAGCATGTCAGAAACTTCTAGTCAACGCGGAGATGAAGGCGCGAAACCCACTTCTTGGACAAACGTTCAAGTTGGGCCGAGTTAAGTAAAATGGGAGCGCCGATAAGTATCTAGAAGTCACAATCTGGGCTTTCGTTTCGCTTGCCTGATTGGCATGTGATCAATCTTACTAAATCGTGGTAACTCACATCTTATCAGTGAACTTTTTTCAGCGCCCTAAGACCGCAGATGCTCCAAGGTGTCTGTCGTGTTTTCATTCGTGTGGAGCATATCTTACGTGGAGTAGGGCATGCGAATAGTCAAGCTTTTTGACTTGTCTCCGATCAAGAGGATGAATAACGATAAATTGTGGTCTAAATGTGGTCAAGTCTTGCATGGAAGGAGTCTTGCTCGCATCCAACAGTAACGTGTTAGTTTCTGTGCAACAGCAGTGTTGCTAAACGTACGTGCGCAAGGCCTCGAGAGTCATAAACGTCACCCCCTATATGCTTTGCAGGCAATTGTGATCGAGCCTTGCCAGATGGATGTGTCCTTTATTGTTCCGCGGACCGCTTCTATTCAAGTGTCAATCGTATGTCTCGCCCGTTGACGCCACTGATGGGCCAGCCTAGTTTTCAGGTCTCAGCTTTATCTCCATTGCATGGATATTGAGGGGCATAACAAGAATGCAATATTTCCATTACCCACATAGGTTGAACATTGTGGGCAACAATAATGCGACAAGGGATGCATATCCTGTGCGTGATTGGTAAGTGAGATGACGATAGATAAGTATGTCTGATGCAATATACTGCACCTCAGACATTGTCGAGGCAGCGTGTGACACGGCCGACGCTAAATGCAATACACGCACACGGTGGTCAAATGCTGACGAGATAGCGTATTGCGCCCGCTGCGAAGCAATTGCTGGAGAGGCACAGACGGAAGTTTTTTTGCGCATGGTCAAAGTCTTGCTCTCCTTTCTGTCGGGCATGCCAGGTTACCGGTTGGCTTAATAGGGAGCCAGCACCACTCCGTGGCGTCACAAAGGAACCCGACAACATCCTTGTTAATCACGATGCCCATTGGAGTTCTTCACAGAGGCGGTGCATTCTCGTCGGTCGCACATGTATTTCCCTGGCCTGTGATACGCTCCGACGTCATAGGAAGATATATCCTCGAAGGGAAATAATCGTGGCGCTCGCATTCCATTGGCCCAAAGCCACGAAATGAACTCATCTAAATGTTTTCACCGATGCCATAAGAAGGTACTGGTCCGCAAGATCACATTTTCCGCCGAAATTCGGTTGTCGCCAGGCCCGACCACGGTCGACCAGTTGGAGGGAATATTGCCAGGCACTGGCGGGATGCCACATTGGTCTGGGCTGTTGAGCCTCAACCTCTCGCACGTTTAGCATCTGGGGTTTTTGTCTGGGAAAGACATTGACCTAGAATTCTTGATGCTCCATTTCATTTCTGGATTCTAGATTCTGGGGTTTGTCTCCGTACCAAATCTGGGCCTATAAAGCAATGAAATGAAATGTTTCAGAAGTTTTCTCCATCAATTTAAGGTCAGGACCACTGGCAGGTTGGACTTCCATTCTCCAGCTGCATCCGAGTGGTGCCCTTGGACCTGGAAGGTGTAACGTAAATCAATGTGTAGCCAACGACCTACGGAACTTCCAAGGAATGCAACCAGCGCGTTACCAGCGCAATGATGACGGGCAATTTACTACTATGAACATATGTGCCTATATGATTGGCGCGGATGTTGTCCAAACTGAGCTACATACGTAGTTGAATGGCTTTGTATACCGCGGTGGGACGTCGGACGGCCTTGGAAGGTAACTGTATTGGCTTTCATACATAGGAGAGGGCTAGAATGCGGACCGGGCCGCATCAAATCGACGAGTCTGAGGTCACCATACCGGTAATGCGTAGGCTGCTAGGATGGGAAGGGCACTAAGCTCAATATGGTGCGACTCGGCCGAGTTGGAGCTTGGAGCCGCCTCAGTTGACGTCCCAAGTCCTCCGCGGCCAAACGACGACGTCAGCGATGACCCATAGATTCTGTTCGATTTGGCTTGTCGCGGTCCCGGATGACTTGTCTGAAGATAACCGAAAACAAGCGCGCGTACCATGCAACTCTATTCCGGCGGCTACTAAAGTAGCGTTCCTATTAGTCGCCGTGGAATGGGGAGTAGAAGACGCGGTGAGGTGAGAAATGAGTGTGGTCCGTCCCGCACTGAGACGGGCGTGGTACCATACCGTGTGGGGGATTCTATGTATATCACGGTATTCAAAGAAGCAGGCCGTCGCTTCTTCAAGTTCGCATAGAACACGGATCCGAGGGCTATAATGGCCCAGTCCGTGCTCGCTTAACTGCTTACAGGGAGGGACGCATTTGCACTGGCTGAGTGGCTAAGCTGACGTGTTGATGAACCAATGACTGTTATTTGCGTTGAGAAGAGAAAATCTAGATCTTCGAATCGGTTTACCTGAGAAAGCATGTGGCTTCTGAGATTTGAACACGATGGAAAGGCGAGATGAGGTTCTTTTTGCACGAGGAACATTGTGCCACAGTGACTATGTCATATGGTCGATTCAACATGTTGTTGAGGATTCATGATGATACATTTTGCAGTTGACGCCGACGTGAGTCACGATAAGTGAAATTCGCGAGCGAATAAGGATAAAGATGGATGCGATGGTCGCGGATTAGATATCACCGTGGATCACACCCTGCTGATCAAATGAGTCCCCACAACGTAAGATATGCGGGTACTCAAATACAATATGCAAAAGCCTATGTACAAGGAGAAACATGGGGGAGCCACTCACGGTAGTATCTCAGTAAACACAGCAGGTGCCTAGTTTTCGATCGCAACTTGGTGTGAAGTTGCCGTGTACCTTTAAATATTATTGACAGGCGCAAATGAATGATATATGGTCACTGCCCATGTGGGATCCCCATACCAGTGTGGTTCATCGGCGAATAGAGCCCCGCGGGGAGGGCAACAAATGAGATGATCTGAACAGGATTCATGATGCACTACTATAGTTTGAGCGCTGAGAGGCCGAATAGTAAGGATCGCATATGTTCACGACTGAACGTAAGCCTCGGATGCCCCATCGTTGACTAGTCATCCGACTAGTTCGGTTTGAAGACGAAGGCAATTCGGGAGCTCAAATGTCTCCCGAAGGATCCGGGCCAATGGAATAAGAATAGGAACGGAAACAACCGAGTAGGTAGTCTATCAAGGAGCCAATGACGGATCACATATGTTTTAGGTGTTAAAACGGTATTTGCCGATTTCGTAAGTTAACGTATTCACGGGGTCTACAGGTGGCGTCCTATAAAATAAATTTTGTAGAATAAAAGGAGAAAACCAATGGTAAGGTCTAGAAGACTTTTACGGGCCGATAGACCTAATTGCCACGTGCACAGGGTTCCACACGGGGTAGCACATTTAGCGTGACAGCATGCGACTTCCCAATGCGGGGGTAACATAGCCGAGGATCCGAGGTAGCCGAAACATAACTGAGAGTAATAACACAATTTCAAATATTTTCAATACTTATTTTTTCGGCGTTCGGTGCGATTGCAATCCCCAATTGGGTAGTCCATTTTGTGTATATGCGAATCACCAATCAAATAATAAAACCCCGACCTCTCATTCTTTTCTTCGTCCAATCCCATCCACCCATATCTCACTTCATCCTCTCCTCCTCCTCCTCCTCATCGTCGTCGTCCTCAACGTCGTCGACCCAAACAAGTCTCTTTGGTCCATCGGCTAGCACATCTGGTGGCTCACTCCACACAGCCGTGAATCGTGCGTTCATTCCGTTCCATTCAAATCTGGCCTGGAACGTTTACCTTTGTTGGTGTTTCACCTTTTGTCCGCATCTAGATTTCTATCAACTTCTTTGTTTGACTGCATTTAAAGCCCATCACACCTTCCCCGCACTTCCTTTCAACCACCCATGGATATCCACTTCGACGAAGCCTGGTGTCCAGTCTGTGACAGGCAAATCATGCCTAAGCGATATACAGTACCCGTCCTCCCACAAACTCAAGAACTCACACCTGTCCCCACGTCATCCCCAGCATCGTCATCTCGTAAGTCTTGTCAACTGTCATCTGTCACTGCCACAAGTCACTCAACCGTCTCTCTAGCGTCAAAAAATCAACAGAGTGACTCAACTGCCCGCACTTCCAAAACGAAATCGGGCGCCGTTCGCGCAAAGAGTGGTCTTCTCCAAGGCACCGGTCGCGTCAAGCCTAATGGTGCAATAAAGAAATCAGACTCCACCACAGCAGCCGCAAACAAGGGGCGTGCCTCCTCGCCTCAACCTCAACAACCAGTCGCACCTGTCAAGCACCGCACGATCATCGACCAGGGTCCAATCCCTCTCTATTGTTCGGATGAGTGTCGTCTCCAAGACTTGTCAAGGCTCGATGGCGCTTACCCACTCAACTACCACCCTGATCGCTCATCGCCACCTCTCCCTCGTGTACCTCATAATTCTTTCGAGAGGCGATATTGCGAATCAGAAGACGAATCCACCAGTGCTTCTGGATCGTCGCTCGATTCAGGCTGTTCCTCTTCCCCACCATTAGTCACTGTCTCCCGCAGTATGGCTACGCTTGCCGCCCTGTACGATTTTCCTCCTTTGCCTCCTGCGCCACCTATGTTGTCACTGGTCGACACTACGTCTTCATCGGAGATTGAGTATCGCAACGACTACCAGGGCGGTACAATGATGGCAAGCAAGCGTATCAAGGAAGTCTTATGCCCACCACGCCCAAAGCCTTCGCCGTTTTACAGCGAACCGCTTCAACCTAAGAAAGTTGTTCCTGGTTGGACCGACGGCGGTAGTGAATGGCGTCAGTCAGTTTATGGCGGATATTCCAAACACTCGGACACTGCATCGGTCGGGTCTCAAAAAGTCCAAACATCATTTGCAGCATCGTCACATCGTGGTGTTCAATGGACTTCGACACTTTCCCAGTCAAATTCATCTAGCGCTCTTGCCGCCCAGTGTCCTCCCTCCAACCTACCTCCTCCTCGTTCGAGTCAATCGTACAGCGAAGAGTTGTACGCGAAATATTCCCTTCCTCTTTCTCGCAGATCGGAGTCACGCATGTCACTTTTCCCCCACTCGGCGTCTTCCTCTGCACACTCTCCTCCTTTATCTCCTACTTCCACGTCTTCGTCCGGTCGACGTCGTCGCGAAGTCCCTTTGCTCAAGCGGGGCGCAGAGGGTCGTTTACTCGTTCCTGACGTCATACTCACTCGAAACAACTCGAGCATGGGTACGTTATCGCAGCGTCCTGCAAAACCATTGAGGCGGCACCCCAGCGAAGTTAGTGGAGATAGTATCTTGAGCGATACCACGTCTGAATCACTTGATTCCTCGTCCCGACCTGCACCTCAAAGTATGTTGCTGCCTTTGACGAATGTTTAATCGTGTGACCAATTATATCTACAGCTCGCACATGGTCATACGATAACATCAAGACTTACCCTGTGATGATGCCTCCTACAACGAAGGAGAAACGCATCGAGCAACACATGATTAATGGCGAGGTCAAGGAGATCGAAGTTGAAGTTGTTCAACCCTTGAAACGCCTCTTCCTCTTCCCTGGCAAAGAAACAATTCATGGGGGACGACCCTAGATGGCACACGTAGCCACCATGTCTTGTTTGTTTCTCGAGCATTTCATCATACCCTGTATTTGCACGGTCGCGGATTGACGACGGCCATACCGCCACGTTCACGACGCATACCCATTACTTTATCGATTCTTTACCGGCATCTCATCGCATCATGACCACACGCAATTCACAACATTCCCATTAACGCTCGCGTCGTCGACTCTGCTGAATCGCGCCACCACTCTCACCATGCCTAATACCGCGCATCCATATCAAAAGTTGAATAATGATTTGTACCATACCATTGTATTGTGTGTATACCTTTCCTGCTTTTTTTTTTTCTTCCTTCTGCGCCCGTCCATCGTGTAACATGATATTTGCGCATTTACTTGTACGCATTATTTTACGACAACGGGACTAATTGGTCTTCTTTTTTTCGGTCGAGTTTTGTGGTTGGAGTACATTCTCGGGCCAGCATAATTGCTTTCTGTCTTATTTTCTTATCACTATTTTGGTCTTCGATGTTTTCTCGCTGTCATTGCATCGTCGTTCCCTTGTGAGTAGCACTTGTATACTTGTTGCAATAATGCATGTACTGGACGTTACACTTATCTGGATCACAACAAACATTTGTGCAGATGGGAACACCGAAGCTGAGAAGTAACATTATACAGTTGACACCTTGTGGTTACATCGCCGTCGGCCCTGAGCTTCTTAGTCCGCACTCATGGTAAGTCGGTTAGCTCCCTTTTTAATGAACGCAGAATCTTCACTTTTTTCGACAAGATTTCGACTCGGTCAAAATTTTCACTAATTGCCAATCTCGCAATGGAGAGCTCATCGTCCATTTTCGAGGTGCTCCAAGCTCCGAGTACACAAACACATGCACATGCAGGTATCAGGATCCTTGCGTTTTGAAACACACGTTCGGATCGTTCCACCTACTCATCTGAGAAGGGCGTAAATCCATCCCGGGACAAGAGACCGGAGTCACACACTAGCCACCCCTTAGTACCCCAACCCTCAGAGGTAAGTATTACCCCACGCCCCGGATGCATGTATTACGCCTGTGCACGGAGGCCAGCACCATGGCCCAATAAACTAACTTGGCTGAATCACGCACACAGCTCCTGACACAGGAACGTCGCTTGGTTCAATCATGTTCCGTGCCTGCCGCAATAACGCTCAGATGTTGTTTCCGCAGCAACTCTGGATCGGACGGGTGACAACGGAAACGGCTCATGCTGTGGGACTCGTTCAATACTAAATCCAATTATGCGATCAACGGAACGGTGCTGGAAAACAGGATTTTGCAGTTGACTGGATCTCCGGAGTCCGGATATGACTTGGGGACCACGTTTTTGCTGGATTTTGTTATCCTGCATGTGGGAATGAGCGCGATGCGCGATGAGCAGCGCATGACATGTTACGGAAACTCGTTCCCTAGTAAGTACATGTTAATGACCTTCGGCGTGAAGAATTGACGTTCTCTGAAACACTTGATCATATATTGAAACAGCCTTGTCTCTCCTGGATGGGAATGATGGTCGCCCCTCTCCGGAAATGGATGGGGGATATTGCTGAGATTACTGGGCGTGGGGCAATTACATCGGAACTGGACGGATGAACTCACTTTGGCCGGTGAGGGCATGTGGGGGATGCCCACGACCAAAATATACCCCAGGCGCTTGTCATGCCAATATATTTTTTGCTGACTGTAATGGAAAGTATTTTTATCCATGACACACTGTCCATCATGATTTGAACTGTCTCAACTGATGATGCACTCAGTCCGATGGACGTCGAACGCGTGTGAGCAGGGTAGACATCTCTACGAGTCTCTGTCATGACACGCGTTTCATACGCATCCCCACGATCCCCACGATCCTACACTCATCAAACAACATCCGAATGTTATGCATCCAGCAGCCAGGGCTGCCCAATGACCTTCTTCGATTATCAAGGAAGAAAAACTGCTCCCAGTACCTGCCGTCTCGACGACTGCCGAATGAAATATTTAACCTGTCACGTCTTTATGATATACCGACATGACCATTCCACAAAGTCGCATACATTTTGCCTGTCTGGGGCATGAAAGCTCATTTGGCGGTCCGAAACGACAGCGGTAACGTAGTTCGCGGCTTCCGCCTTTCCCTGTCCACGTCACTGTCTAGAACCATATTTCAGCATATATTCTTCGCGTCAGCGTCAAATCGCGCGGCTGCGAGATACTCGATACAGGGACGCAGAAAACCGCGGATGCGGAAGCCCGCGATACCAGCATGTTGCGGTGATTATTACTTAGGCTGCATCATATACTAGCCTCTCATTTCGCATGGGGTAGTGACCTATTGCTGCATGCCCAGGAAATATTGTATAGCAGGACGGATATTACAGTGCCTGGCGTAGACGTTAAGGAATGGGCAGAAGAGCCCAATTACACAAAATGGGAGAAGCCAATGTATTTTGACTTGAGCTTTACTTGACATGGACGTCCATAATTGCTGTGCAAATGCGGGGAAACTTTAGAATCAGGTAATTTACGGTGCACCGACTCGGATGAAGGGCTCCTTCTTTACATAAGGATGCTTCTAAGTGTGAGACATACTCAGACGCATTAACCCCCTCCCGGCATCCCAGCGAGCCTGAGGGAACTCAACCTTACTGGGCGTGCTAAGGTTAATAGTTCAAGTTTTTTATCCCATAGTTTTTGACTTGTCCTTAAGGAGTATCACGACGTGTGACTCGGTCGGTTTGGCCTCACTACCACGCAAGGAGCCACAGTCGCACAGTGCTGTGCGTATTGTGGGTAAGGAAGTGCACAACCTAAAACGTTATCGGACAGACTAATTGCATAGTGACTGTAGGAAGAGACCATGAGAGATGCCTATGCATATACATGTGATTGTTTCTCTTAAGCTTATTTGAGATCCGGGCTGAGGGGTGATCCAACATTAGCCGCAGGGAGCTTCCGTTGGGTGAATGTGACGAGAAGGGACATACACCCTGACTGGCCCTTAGTACTCACAAGCAGTACGACGAACTTGAGCAAGATGGACACATCACTGGCCACAAGAAGCCAGAACACAACAATTAATGATCGATCCTTGCGTCTGCTACGTCGCGGAATGACGCTACATGACCTGAGGTATCCGGTGATCGTATGCATTACCAGCCACTAACTTACTGCTGTGATGTACGATAGCGTGGACGAGGACCAATGATACATTCATGAGGCGATGTCTCGGACTCACCCACTGCGGTAATCGCCGAACAGAACCAGAGTCTTTCACCGTGGGGTTGAACGCTGATGGTTTAAGGTAAGTAAAGATCTAAGATACTGAGAACATGAATTGCGGTACTTACCGGAGACCGAAAACATATATTAGAGTCACAGGATGTTTGAGGCAGTACTTACCTTGAGCGGATTTGCTGCAACACGATTTCGCCCGACACTGAAAACATGCCGCAATATCAAAATCAACAATTCTACAGCTGATGTATCCAGATACGACAACAACCGAATGCTAAAAAGACCGCAAACAGTTGCCGCTTCAAAATATGAATAATCAGACACCGAGTCTGAGTTCGTTTTGGATGACAATTCAACGAGATTGCTGTTTCAGGGAAAAGAAGAGCTTCAGGCGATACCTGTAAGGGTGGTTGAACCATACTAGTAGTAAATGCCAGGGAAGAGGAAAAAAGTCGGAACACATGTTTCCCGCCGGTGTTGCATCACAGGGCAGCCGAAGCCGACCAGATGACGGCCTATGACAGCGCATGTGCGGTTAATTCTCATATGGCCGCGGGCGCAAAATTATTTACCAGAAATGTCATGAATCGGTCATGAATGGCAGGTTCAATTTGGGCTCGAGGTGCCTGAAACTAGGGAATTGTGCGGCTTGGTAACGCAGTATTTGGGAGTACCTGACTCCTGTGTGAAGCAATGGTAAGCCTTGGTCTTCATCCTCACCTAAAAATCCCGGTGAAAATCTACTTACAGCTAACCGGACGACACGCGAAGGTCTATTCAAGTTGGCATCAAACGTGGCCGACGGACGATCTGGCGTGGTAGTGGAGCATCGAGTGTGTCATGTTGTTACTTATAAGTCGTTTCTTCTTTTTCATCCAATATTGATGCAGGTTAATTACCGCGTCAGAGCGCTTCTAGAACTGTGGCTGCATGGTATGTTTCTATTGATAATCATTGTCAATGTTTCATGCTCCCTCTAGATCTCAAGTCGATGATATACTTACTGTCGGATGGCGAGGGATTCTGCAATGTTTGTGATCGGCATCCAACCGAACGCTCGAGGACCCGCTGGTAGTTCGGTGATGACGCTGCTGCTTGAATCGTAGTGATCTTCAAGCCTGGCACATCTATCTTAAAGCTGTACCCCCAACCTGAAAAGTCAGCTATCATGATGTTCTATAAACCAAGCCAATTTCAAGTTCAGCGCTGGTATATTGCAGCTCTCCCACGCTTGTTACTCGGAGGTCATGGTTTTTCAAGTACTTACTATGCGGCACGTTTGAAGTTCTCAATTTTCGCTTCAACAGGCTCATCAGTGAGTCTACCGCAAGGTGTGGCCAGTTGACCCTCGACCTGCAGCTGGTAGCTTCCCGTGTTCTTCTTTTGTGCGAGCAGATTCATCATCCATATCATACCCAGTGGCACTACTAGCTCATCATACCTACCTTCCACTTGTTTTCAACTGGCTCTCGAATACCACTCGCCGGGCCGTATCCCGACCACTTATGACCTGCGACTATCTATATGCACGCAAGCCTCTGTACTTCTCAACCACGGGCGCTCTTGCCAAGAAAATGTTCTGTTGTCCATAATATAGGTCAACGGTCTCTTTCGATGCAGTGGCAAGTCTTATGACATCGATCCACGCACTCTGTTCAGTGACTGGCTTGTTCTACGACAAGTCGGAGACAACCACCATCCACTGTTTCGCTATTCGGTTCAGTGACAGATATTGTTATGTCGGGAAATATCGGCGAAGTGAATTGGGGATGATTTGTCCTGTCTTCTATCATGAGATGATCTAGGACATATGTCCAACAGAAATAATATGTCTTTGACCCTGCTTGATTTGTGCATGCAGCCCGGATATCGGAATAATCGGTCCACCTCGTTGCTTCGGGGTAGTTTGTCGTACCTATAAATCCAGGTGTATCCACGAACAGGAAAAGATATTTCCTTCCCCCCTGCGTGAAGGCAATATCTCTGAACGTTTATCTATCCCCCGCATAAGACAAGTCGGGACCTATGCACAGGTACGGCGGTCTCGACTCTCGATAGATGACGGAATTCAAATTGTTTCTCAGTTCGTACTGGTCTTTGATTATGATCGTTGGCCTCGATGGCGCTCAATCGGCTGTCCAAAGCTGATGAGCTTCATGGAAAGATGCGAGCAAAAATCAAAGGGGACTTGCACTGGAAATCGGACTCCGCGTACCGCCGGGGGCTTAGCGCTGATCCTTTGGTTGAACTGATATCGATAACCACAAGTATTGAATTCAATCTCGACTGTAGCGGATTACCAGATTCGGATCAAGATCCGCACTCCGCCTCCCCGCCACTATAAGTGTTGCCACAAATCCCTATCATATCTATCTCCCCGCACCTGGTACGTGTCACCGTGTACAATGGTGAGCGCACAGCGTATCTGCCATAATTCTCCTCCATCGCTGATGATTCGAAACAGGGCGTCAGTATTGAGACAATCATTCCTGGTGACGGTAAATCGTTCCCCAGAAAGGGCGGTATGTACAATATCTCCGAAACGCGCCCCAACTAAGATCGCCTCAAATCGCAACAGACACGGTCACGATTCACTACGTGGGAACACTTGAGAATGGCACCGTCTTTGATTCGAGCAGAGATCGGCAAGCATCGCACCTCTTGTCCATGATTATAGCTGACAATCATCACCCCCATAGTAAAGACCCTTTCGTGACACAAATAGGTATTGGTAAAGTGATCAAGGGATGGGATGAAGGTTTGTGACTTCCCCGCATCTTTAGCCGTCCAATATTCAATGTTTGATTAGGCGTGCTGCAATTATCGCTCGGCCAGAAGGCTAACTTGATAGCTACTCCTGATTATGTGGGTGAATATCTTATGAAGATCAGGTCGCGGTCTGACATCATCTCAGGCCTACGGATCACGCGGATTTCCTCCCGTCATTCCACCAAACTCGACCTTGAAATTTGAGGTTGAATTGTTGAAGATCAATTAATGACTTTAAAATGACACGACTGTACGAGCTTACTTTCGGCATTTGTGACTGTCTTTCTGTACCAATTCACTCAATTGTATGTTCATGCATTTTGGACCGTTTCGTAATTTCGCAATGGAAATATTTGTCAGATCCATGCCAGTGGTGTACATGATTGCGACCATTGTATCATCTACTTTTATTGAGCTCCCCTATAAAGCGGCATAATTCATCGTGTTCGGCTTCTCGTTGTGCCCGGTGCTCTGATTATCGTATCGTCCTGATGTCAACATTTGGTGACCTAAATGTGTGAGCCTGACTTACTTTCTGCGAAAGCCCCAATAGCAGCTAGCGACTCGTGATGAACTTGTCGAGACGCTTCCAAGAGAACTTCCATCGGTATATCTACTATTCCATATCAGAGATAAAGCGAAAGAGTCAGGAGACTAAAGCGTTTCAGCTTACGGGATGTCCTATTCTCGCGCGAATTATCCATCAGACTATCCAGTTTTCCCCGTATCTCCGCATAAAACGGGTCCCATCCTCTACCGTCATTTTCAGCGACAGCTCTCGCCTCCATTCGCATTTTAGCTTCGGCACATTCTACTTGATTTTCTTCGAGCATTTGCTGGAGCTTATCTAGCTCAGCTCGCAAGGGATCGTTCGCGGCGTTAGATGGTGAGCTCATGAAAAAAAGATTGCTTAGCGTCGGATATCTTTTGTCCCCGCTGACCGGAAATTCCGAAGTCTAGAAAGAATTTACCATACGACGGGCTGAAACACAGCCCCTTATGACAACCCTGCGCCATACTTCCGGTAGTATTGGATATTTTACACATTCTTCCCGGAGGGATACGGTGCTATCGATCGTTTAGAGTTGCAACGAGGACAGAACGTTCTTCGGCCACCGATACATTGTATGCCTCTCGGCCGATAGACCAGATCAAGTATTCTTTTGGAACGACATGAATGTAAAATATTCACTACCTGACCCCGCACCCCGCACCATCATTTAATAGTGTCATGACATCGACACTTTGCAGGTGAGTCCATCAGTGGAGCTTATGATTATCGAGGAACTTTGTCGTTACATAAATGCAGACCTTCCTGATATAGGAGTCTGGCCAATACGTAGAGACCGTACTCAATATCGAGACCTCATGGTCCACGGAATAAACGTGATCAACCTGGTGATTGATGCTATAGGTCCCTTAAACCGTTGCGCTGGGGGCCGTGGTCCGTCATTTGAAACCCGGCACTAAATAACACATGACGCAATCGAGGGTGGTGCAAGTTTGTGGTCGGGACTATCTGGAACAACGCACCCTGGCTACGACAACGGTCATTAAGTCATTGGGAGCAGGGCATAGTCCTCCACACCCTACACGTAATCACCACCAATTACAACTCAGTGACGTTGACCAATCACGGACCTTTGCGGAAAGTGTCCATCGGTTTGAGTTCCAAGAACAAGCTTAAGTTAACAACTCGAAAAGTCGAGGACTGGAATCGCGTAACTTATTAAATAGCAAGGACTTCTCCGGGTCTCGTCATACCACCCAAGGATTTCTCATGATCACGCAAAGCCCACAGCTGGCGCTAGTGTATAACATCTGATTGGCTAGATGATATCATCGATAGATCAAAACTTATGCTTAATTCCATGTTCAGAAAAAAGTCCGTACCTACTTATGGTCGAAGTGTCGGGAAACCCCGACTGGCACAAAACATCCTTTCAGAGTCTCGAAAAAGGGGTCATCGCGGGTATATTGGCATTGCAGGGCTGAAGGGAAACCACCACATCATTCAAAACTATAGTATCATTAATATTTTCGTCAGGTACATCAAAAACAGAAAGAATAATTACGCTATCAGCGACGCCATTGGTACGTGTACTTCAACCATGTCCATGTCGTCGTCGTCGTCATCGTCACTGTCCATCTGGTCCGCAGACGGCTGAGCGGAATCAGGAGAATCCTGTGATTTTGTAGCCGCAACGGGGACATAACCCTCTTCGATGCTTGTGGGAGGGTTGAGGTCTTGGGCTAGCTTGTCCTCGCTTACATCTGCAAACTCCGCCAACTGAGCGGCTAAGAGAGCAAGTTCAGCCTGCAACGCTGCTCTTTCATCGCTGTTCAACTCAGTGCGTAATAAGGTCTCGGTATTACGAGATGGTAGAGATGTGTTCGTATTCGTCGAAACTGGTTGGCTATCGAATGTCGACGATACTTCAGCAGAACTGGCAAATACCGGGGGTGGCGCTTGAGCCACCATCGCGGAATCTGCTTGTATTGGCGCTCCATCCTCGTTTGAGATCTGAAACAATTGTCCAAAATTTATGGCTTTGAGAATGTTTTGTGCAGCTTCCCAAGCATCGCTGCCTTCTCGAACCTGACTTTCGGCAGTTTGCGTTTCCGATGGAGCAGGCTGAGGGCGATGATTTGCCACAGACGTGGACGGCCCTGGATAACCAAAGCCATAAGGGTGACTAGGTTGTCCTTGTGCGGAGGCATGTGGCTGAGACGATGATGTACCGGTATCTGCGTCGTGTACAAGGGGAATATGAGTGAAAGGCGATGATGATGCATGTCCCTGATGGGCAGACAATGCAGTTTGAGCGTGAGTCTGTGGACGACGAGTAGTTCTTTTGGAAGTCTGATAGATAACATCGTTGGGAGTCGAAAAAAAAATCGAAGTGTCATGCTTACATTCCCACCTTCCCAGTTGACATTCAGTCTGTATTTACCGTTATTCCCCTTTTCTAGACGTCCGCGTTTGAAGGCCTTTTGGAGGGCTTGGCTAGCTGAAGGCCTAAAATTCGATTGTAACGGGTAATGCGACGCCATCCAACCAAAGAGAGCCTTTGGTGCACACCCCTCTGGATCCCCAAAATCTATCAGTGCCTCTACAATCATTTCTTCATAACTGGGGAGGTCATCGATGTTATTTGATGATGAGGATGGTTCTGGAGGATGTGCTAAAGGTGCACTCGTGAATAGCGGTGGTGCGTGACTCGATGGAGGCGGTGGAGGTGGGTTTGGTTGGTATTGAGCTGGAGGTGGGTGAGGGTAAGGAGGGTATGGATGGGGGAAATTGTAGTGTGCTTGGGGTGGTGCAGGATAGTACGGAGCGTGCGGATAGGAAGGATGATAATAAGGTTGTTGTGGATAGTGCGGAAGGGACTGTGGCGGTGGATGTGGGTGAGCTGCCGCAGACGGATGAGGTGTCGCACTACCAGCGGCCGGGCCATGCGTTGCAGAGGGGATTGGTGGTTGCTCAGAAGAAGATGAGGCAGTTTTATCTCCTGTGTCCGAAGGCGAATCCTTTGGCGTTGGTGTAGATTTAGTTTGATCCCCGGAGTCCACTGGAGGGCTCAATTGTTGAGGTGGTGCATGCTGAGAGATCTGTGCATGTTGGGCCTGGATCACTGCAATTGCGGCTCGAATATCATACGGCCACACAGTACTTTTTACATGAAGGGGCGCATGAGCCTCAAATGTAAGACAGATATCTATTATCTGTGGCGGAGGAAGCAGTCCCAAGTACTGTCGTTTGATGGCATAAATTTCAGATTCTGTCATCAGGTTATGCATAAATATACAATTGATGATCCAGCACATCTGTCCGCACCTGTAAGGGGCTGGTATCCATTTTGTATCGGAGGATGTGTTGGATGGTACTGAGGAGCTGGAGTGCTCGCCGTTTGCATGATTCCGTGTCACCTGCACAGTTTTTCGCATCAAGGTTTGCGAGTAAGCCACCGACAACGCTAAATTAAACCACCAATATTAATGCAACAATTTACACTCTAGTCAGAACATAGAAGGCCGTCATTTCCTCTCACAAACTCAAGCATATGCATTCTTAGAAAAAGTGATAATATCTCTGTCTTTTGTCTACCAAAAGATACTACTAATACCACAGGGTGGATTCTTAACATATGGCTCTCGCTCATCATTACTAGGCGACGTGTTGAGATCTAAAAGCAAACGAACTGCATCCTTCGGCAAGTTGAAGATACGTCGCTCATGAGGGACGGCCTTCTGCCTGAATTTCTTTTGTAACCGGTGGTGCTGTGGTCGACGGCGGTTGTGACTCTTTAATCAAGGAAGCTTCGTCTGGAGAAAGAGAGAGAAAAGATTCCTTGTATTTCGCTGTCCATCTGCGCACCTAGAAAATCGGAGATGAGACGTCGGGTCATAAAACAAAATGTAGATGAGACACGTACTGGCGAGAAAACATGTTCCCGCTCGCCCCAATCAGCAAGGAATACACAATATAATATAGCCGCTAATCGTTATGAATAAGTTTGTTATGGCCATCAGCCAATCATGACAGCGTGAAACTCACTGGGTATCATAGTATAGGTGAGAATGTGGGACGCGGAGTACACCCATGGTGGACGGAAGTCTCCATCATCTCGCTCAGCGCTCTCTTTTTGACTCGGAGTTGGTTGAACTGCTGGGGACTTTTTTGAGTAGTGCCGTATACACGGTGACCTGCGGGCCAATACAGTTAGTCGGAAGTGGTTCATGAAGTGAAGTATCCCCGACTCCCACGTTAGTTGAGAGGGCTTAGTCGAACACAAAAATCGCTCTCTCATTACCATTCTCTGCCGGCACACGGATTGTCGTCGCTTAGCATTTCAGATGGTCGATATTAGTGGTGACTGTATGCCACTGTGGTCAACGATGATCCTGCGTGGTTTTTCTATCCCAAAGACCATCCCATTCTGAATTGCCCGCGTCCATTGTCGTAGAGGCCGCTCGTCAACTTCTTTCGGTTTTTGTCCCGAACCCGTTTTGAATCCGTCAAATTCATTCTGTTGCACTTCTCTCGTTAGCCTGCCGAGTTGGGTGCTGTATCTGACGAGGCTCTGTTTGCTCGTTATACCACATTTATCAAACGTCCGTCGTCCATTACCCTCTGTATCTCGTCTGTGACTAGACCCCAAACCACGAACCAATATTCCGCTGACCGGTGATACTCTGCTGAATTGGGTTTCTACATGTTTGATATTTCATTCTGCGCTTCTTAACCCCACTCTCTGTCCTCCTTGCTGTGACTCCGTCGTCCCTCTCGCGTTTTGGTTGCAGTACGGGTTCTGTAAACTCCCTGACCCACTATTGATATCACTGGTAACCATCTTAGTACTTTACATACTTGCTTGACGAAAAACAGGTGCAAAGTTTAACAGTTGCTGAGTATGAAATTTTGAAAGTGGAGAGCTGTACGAATATCTTCCTGGCAAGTATTGGTGTCTACCATAAAATTCTCACCTTATCATACTAATCTAATATTCGCTCTACAGAGTATATTTCGGGTATCATCTCATACCATAAGACCCTTCTCGACTTCCAGCTGGCCCTGGGCTTTCAAACAGGGGCATCATTCTCGGCATTCGTGCTGATGCGAATGCGGATTCTCTTCCCATTTGTTGGAACATGCTGCTCAGGGTCTTGACAATTATCTGCCTCTTCTACAGGGATGGCGTGCCCCGATCTTCTGTAATTCGTCATTCTTACCCATTCAGGCTGATTTCGAAGTCCAGGCTGAAAGTCTTGGCTCGCTGTGCCGCTATCAGTCAACAAGCTGGTCTGACCATCGTTCAACCTGATATTGATTTCGCTGAAGGCGAAGATCTCCGGAAGGACATTGGGCTCCACATGAGTATAATCAGCATGTTTCATGTTTCATGCGAGATGCGCTGCATACAGTGTGCTGCTGGAAAGTAAGAGCTACTTCTGGCCTTTGAGTTCAGTCGTGAGTGTTTAAATTATTCACACCAGCTTCTTTAATCACGCCTTACTTTCCGCAATCTTACCTCAAGCATTCTTCGCATTCTACTACGTCAGGTGAAGAGCTTGGCCTGGACACCACTATAATATTTGCTCGTTCAGTCCCTGTCGCAGTAGCAGGTGTCGTCTTCCTTTCAGGCAAGACCTTCATCTCCTGCTCCATCCTAAGCTGATATTTTTGCCATGCAGGTAGTCTGATCCAGTGAAGTTCCTCGACGCGGCCAATGTTGTCGCCAACAAGGTTCCTGCCAACTCTCCTCTTGTTTATATTCTCATTTGGACGCGGTCTGCAAGGCGATGATGCTGGTGCAAAATCTATATTTTAAGCCAGGGCTAAGGCTTGCTCGCTCACGGCGAAAGGCGAAGCTTCAAGTCCGAGATATTACAACTCATCCTTTTTCAGTCACCCTCCAAAATAATAGGCGTCTGACTCAGGTCCGTCGCAAAGTCACCACGAGGAAGCATAGCAGAAGCACGTTTGAACTCGTAATGCATGCTCATCAACAAAACACGATCCCAAACCTTATCAGTTTATTGCTGAGCAGGTCTGTTTTCATGTCTTGTGGTGTCTTGTTTTTGTCAGGGGTACTGGCAATCTCATATGGGCAAACACGGCCTTGAACGATGCCACATGGTCTGATCAGTACAGCGCCATTTGTCTGTGTCAAAGTTAATTGGCAGTGTCCATTTTCAGGTCCATAGAGTTGCTGCAGACTTATGGTGTGGTTGGCTCCTTGGCAATATTCAAGGATGGCTAAAAGACATTTGTCAAGGCAGACATCGCTACTGCACGCAAACCACACATCTGCACTGTCACCTGCTCACTGAAATATCCTGCATCGAGTTAGTTATGCTCTCGGCGCGGGTCATGTGGCCATTCTTTCCTCATTTCACGCCTGTGCACATAGCAACAAGACAGGAGACACCATTGCCGGTGGTCGAAGACGCCTGTGCAGGCAATGATGGTGTTATGTAAAAGCCCTCAAGAGTACTTGGCGCCGTCGTCTCCAACACCCAGGTCACCATATTTGGGTTTAAAACCGGTCTTCATATCCCGCTACGTGTCTTGCCTCACAGGTTTTTAGTTGACAACTGTCATCGGGCACTCGAGCCCGCTGTCGACCTTCATTCTGTGTGGTTAGTGTTTCATTCTGGTGCGCAGATGGTAAACCAGGTTTAAATCATGGCTGCGCGCGCTCTATTTGTCGATGGACCTGGAATATAAAGCCTGGAGAATATCCAGAGGTCAGTCATTAACAATCCAGTCTTCAAACAAATTAACCTTCAAACCACTTGTCTGCACAATGAAGCTTTCATCCGCTGTCGTTCTTTTCTCTGTCTTTGCTCTTCCTGCTTTTGCGATGCAGGTCGAGGTGACCTATGACAGCTTCTATGACAATGCATCCACTTCCCTCGCTGATGTCGCTTGCTCTAATGGTGCTAATGGCCTGTTGACAAAAGGCTTCACCACTTTCGGCTCTCTCCCTTCATTCCCCAATATCGGGGGTATTCCCAACGCCACTTGGAATTCACCTCTGTGCGGTACCTGCTGGAACTTGCAGTACACTACTCCCGCTGGGACACACGAGAGCATCTATATGACCGCTATCGATGCGGCATATACGTTCAATCCGTCCCTTGAGGCATTTGAGGCATTGACAGACAACACTGGTGTCCCTGCGGGCACGGTCTCTGCTACCGCCACCCAGGTAGCCGAGAGCAACTGTGGTTTATAATGATAGGCAAGTCTTTCTACAAAACGTCGGCGCCGATGTGAACAAAAGCTTACTTCCGGACAAGTAGTAATGTCATATTACCAGACCATTTTGGAAGTTTGAAGAGTTATTAGCTTACACCATGGACTTTTCGTCTTACCGTCTCGCTTCTTCTACCTTTACTGCTATATATAATTGGCTTTCGATGAGCATTCGAAGTACAGTTGTTCGCAGTACTCACTCGTTCGGACTTGTATTAACTTGATTGTCTATAAATGGAAATTTGTCTTGATCTGATGCGTCATCCTGAGGAGAATATTAGGGGAGAGGGGGGGGGGATGCTGGTGAACAATTTATTCTTTTTTCTTCGCCATCATTATGAGTCTCTATCAACCTGCTCCCAAACCGCCCACCAAGCTCGGTATATATCGTACCCTGGCCCCCACTGCGGGAGTGCACGTTTCCCCACTGGCCTTGGGAGCTATGTCCATCGGGGACAAATGGCACCAGTACGGAATGGGTGCAATGGACAAGCAGTCCTCGGTAAAGCTGTTGGACGCATATTTCGACGCAGGTGGAAATTTTATCGACACTGCAAACAATTAGTGAGCACCATATTGCTGGTTATCATGAACACCCCTAAGTGGAACACGGTAGCCAAGACGAAAGTTCAGAGGAGATCATCGGCGAGTGGGCTGAAAAGCGTGGTATTCGTGACCAGCTTGTCATTGCTACAAAGGTTTGTTGTTCACAACGCTTCACGATACAATTTTCTCGAACTTGAGATTATCTTTTGAACAGTATACCACCAATTTCAAACGAGGCTCCAATGAAGCACAAAAGGTTAATTTTACCGGAAACAACGTCAAGTCTATGCATATCAGCGTGGAGGCGAGCCTGAAGAAACTCCGAACATCTTACATCGACATCTTATATCTTCACTGGTGGGACTTCGACACCAGTGTTGAGGAGGTCATGAACGGACTGCACATCCTGGTCCAGCAGGGAAAAGTTCTCTACCTGGTAACGCATATTAAACACCCCTGTCAAATCATTGAGTTATTTACATCCATTGTATCAGGGTATCTCTGACACACCTGCCTGGATTGTGTCCAAGGCAAATCAATACGCTCGTGATTATGGGAAAACTCCTTTTGTGATCTATCAAGGCATGTGGAACATTTTGGAGCGCTCATTCGAGCGCGACATAATTCCCATGGCCCGCGCTGAAGGTACAGCCGCAGCTTCGTTGTCTGAGAAGTCCTATCTAACGTGTCATTCTATTCAATCAATATTCGATAGGTATGGCACTCGCACCCTGGAATGTTCTCGCTAGCGGTAAATTCCGCACGGACGAAGAGGAGCAAAGGCGACGCGAAACGGGAGAGAAGGGAAGGGAGATGTTTACAGGCTGGGAACGCACCGAAAATGAAACGAAGGTGTCTCATGCGTTAGAGAAGGTAGCCAAGGAGGTTGGCGCCAGTCATATCACCGCTGGTATGATACATCACACTGATCATAAAAATACATTAATAACGGGGAATGCAGTGGCCATCGCATACCTTATGCAGAAAACGCCATACGTTTTTCCCCTGGTCGGAGGCCGCAAAGTCGACCAACTGTATGGGAACCTCGAGGCGCTTGACATTCTTTTGTCCCCGGACCAGATAAAGTATTTGGAAAGTATCATTCCGTTTGATGCGGGGTTCCCGACGTCCATGATTGTGCGTAGCGCCACCTGAGTCATATATACCAAACTGACGCATCCCACAGGGCGATGGGTCATCTCCTACTATGCTTCTCGCACATACCGCTCATTTCGAGAAGGTCCCGCGCGTCGAACCAATCAGACCATCAAAGAAGTAAGAATTTTCAGCAAAGTGCTGCGTTGGCTACGTTCTCAGATTGCATAATATTCCGTGTCAATAAAACTTTATCGATTGGCAATTAATTTGTGACTTGCGTTTCATTATGATGGTTCACTGAGAGTCCTTCTGTATGTCCCGCACTAGGATTGAATGAACAAGGAATAGATTCAGCCCCGCGGGTCTGATTTATCGAGGTTATCAGTTATCGACTGGCGATCACCCGATGTTTTTGCCATGCGACTATGAACTCTGATAGATCATGCAGACAATGCGCAAGGCCGCAACAATCCCACTACGGTCATGGCCTGGCCTTGCTCGAAGTTGTCAACAATCGCCGACTGTGCTCTCGTAAGCTCCAGAACTTGGTGATTCTGGCCTGCAGGCAGCCTTATGTTCCATCCAAGTGGAGTTGCCTCGGCGCGTTATCCTGCAGTCTTTGTTGCTTATTCTGGACTCAGTTAAAAGTGCCGATAGGTCTCTGTTTAAAGTAACCTGTCAGAAAGTAATCTCGAATTCCATCTGGAGAGGCCGCAGCTCGCCGCGATATCTGGAATTTCATATTTGCTACCCATGCGAGTGGTATCGGTCCAGATTATTGACCATGTTGGAGATTACGGGGACAATCTATCTATCGTCCACCGCGGTTGTTCGTCGGGCGAACCCTCCACACGAAGATATCGGACACGGTCATGAAGCCGTGATGGCTTTCCGAGCCAAAATTCGACTTCGCTGTATTATTTCAACGTGTAAGATTAACTTGTAGACAAGAATAGAAAACGATAATTACCTTGGGATTACCCTCCATCCACCCCAAAAGTCAGGTAACGGAACATCGCCTTCTTTGTCGGATGCCCGCACTCCAAATAGTTCCTCAACTTCCGCCAATCGGTTGGCCAGGTCATCTTCCCCGATGACAGTGCTCTGATGACTTGCCCACGCACCCAAACGGGTGCCGACAGGACGGGATTTAAAGTACTCTTCGCTCTCAACTTTCGACAACTTTTCGACCCTGCCCAGCACCCTCACCTGCCTGTGCATCTCACGCCAGTGAAAAAGTACGGCAGCTCGAGGGTTCTCTTCCAGTTCTCGAGACTTGCGAGAAGTATAATTAGTATAGAAAACAAAGCCCCGCTTGTCTAGCTGCTTGAAGAGCACCATGCGCGAAGAAGGTATACCGGATGCTGTTGCTGTGGAGAGAGACATGGCATCTGGTTCGCAGACATTGGCTTCACGGGCTTGGTTGAACCAGATGTGAAATTGCTCTAGGGGAGAAGCGTGGACGTTTGATGGGGTGATATGATCTGGGGTATCATATTGGAGATGACTTTGTACTTGGAGGCAATCTGCTGATTCTGTGACGGAGACTGAGGACATGAATGATTGAGAGAAGCTACAGCTGTAGATGGAAGGCGATGAAGGGACACAAAAAGAAGACGATAATGCCGCTGGGATAAGTCTACGAGCGATGATGGTACGAGTTAAGAGCATAAATTCGACTGTGGTCAAGTGATCATCGCCTATAACTTCGGGGATTCAATTGAATGGCAGGCTAGCTTGAAACATCAACGTTTCAACGTTTCAGCTTCAGAGCACGTTGTTTCGTCGGATTCATAGTTGATTCGTTGACCAGAAGTACAGGCGTGTGAGAGGCTGTCGAAGTTCCAATTATATCCCACTTCAGATTTGCAGATGGGCCCCAATGGCAGACTACACGGCGGAACTCACTTATAGCGACCGCGGATCACAGACTATTCTGCGAGTAGTATGCGAACAGCAGGCAAGCGGAAGAAGGCGTTCATGAACAAAAATTTAACGTTCAACATCCATAAGCGATTCGAAGCGAATACTCTATGGATCATGTACATACGGCATCTCCATTCCATCTTATCGTATCTCACAATCAGTTTCAGGTTCATAGTAATCCTATCGAGCCTCGAGGTGGGCGGGATGTTTGCGACGCCCATAACTCACTTGATTTCACCGACCGAGTTTTCAACTTCTCAAAGCTGGCTCAAATCATTCGCGTCGTACGTCGTTGGTGTTTGAACGAAGTTACTAAGTAACCAGACTTCTGATTACGTGCGATTTTGTACAAAGATAGGCTTCAGTAGACGCTTGATTTGGAGTAGCTCTGTAGCTCACGGGCACGCTAACCTGGTGTTAATTCAAATCAGGATGCGAGTTTGTAGATTAATTATGATGACAGATAGCATTACCTCGGGCACAGCAACGGATTGATAAAGAGGGCGGCAAACTCGCTTGGCATGGTATTCATGTCGTTTGACAGCTTGACGTCGACCTTGACATGAACAGGGGTCATGATCCAAGCTTGCTGCTAGCGGGAAGCGACCGAGGTTTGCTGGAGCTCTCCGCTCGTTTCAAACGTTTTCCCAGATAGTAAGGGCAGGAACAGTATATGGCCCTTCTGATGCCACAAGTGGTTGCCACCTCTATAGGCGCCAGCTGTTAGTTGCTCAGCTGGTCGGGCCGCGAAAACGGAAATATGAATGTTGATCCCCTCAACATGCGCAAGATAGGATTTCGATGAGTTGTTCGGACCGTTACTAAAGCAGGGGACCTATTGCCTAATGGCACCCTCAAATGATCTTGTGCAAACAATTGGATTGATTTCCCCGAGTGAGATACTGGACTGGCGCTTTTTGGCCGAGGGACTCCCCAAGCATTTAGTAACAGCGCCCACGATGACACACTTCAACATACCTACCAGCCAGGTACCAGGCAGATAAAGAGCTGTCAACTCTGTTACTGACATCGCTGCTTGGACGGCCAAGGAGTATCTCTATCTTGGGCACTGAAGCACTAGATGTTGTCACACTGGTGTCCCAGAGGCCCTGAAACAGGTCTGCGAAGATGATAGGTTGTTTTCATGATTGATTTTGTGGCGACGGCATCTGTGTGCGCTGGGCTGGTAATTCTTGAGCAATCCTCGATTGGAATAGCCTGAGTGTGCCGACGTAAAAGAAAAACAGCGCTAGTCGTATAAACTTTGGAAAGTTCTAACCACGTGCCTGAAACTGCCGGCATGTTCCGATTATGGATCTGAGATTACATCCAGTGAAATGGTCTTCATCAACTCTTCATCTCCTGGTTTTCATCCTTCTCTTACCTCCACAACTTCCCTGGTTGCCCAGCGAGCGCATTCAATTCTCAAAAATGCACTCCATATCCGACTTGACGACATTTTGTCGCAAGACGACTGGTGACGTCCCTCCCAAACTTGTGGTACGCATACACTTCGTCTTGTCTACCATACATTCGTTCAACGTCGTTCATCATTTTTTGTAGGGCGCGTCTACCACAGTCGTAGGATCGAAGATGTATCTCTTCGTGCGTTGCTAGTTGGTCTCTATCGTCCCTTCTCATCAAGGCATCCATATATAGGGTGGGCGCCTAGTTACAGAACGTCGTATGGTCTCGGATCTATACGTGTTCGACTTGGAGACCTTCGTTTGGGAGAAGATCACACCATCTACAGATGATGATATACCGGCAGCACGATATTTCCATAGCACAGAGACCTGTGAGTTTCCTCGCTTGCCTAATCGTCGTCAAGCTCTTATGCAGATATGACTTATCATAAGGGAACAATCAACTGATTGTTTTCGGTGGTATGGGCAGCACCCCGAACTCTAGTAATCCAGAAGATCTTTGTGTCCTCAATGACGTCCGTTTCTTCGACTTGTCAATAATGCACTGGCTTCCCGCAACAGCTACTAACAGTCACCCTGCCTCTGCGGAGTCTGGCGCAGAGACATTGGTTCCAAAGCCCCGATATGCACATCTATCATCTGTCTCAGCTGATCGTCTTTTCGTCATCGGAGGCCAAGACCTATCGAATGTTTGGCTAGATGACATCTATGTGTACGATTTATTGGGTAGAGCTTGGGTTCAGCGCCGAAGCTTTCCCCACCATTGTGGTACCTATCGTAGCGTAGCGGTCTCAGCAAACCAACGTGTCCGAATACCCCAGGAGGAAGTCCACTCGACGGATACGACCACCATCTTAGGTTCCCCTGGGGCACGATTCCGGCCCGAAAAGTCCCCTGCTTCAGCTCAAGCATTCACTTCGTCCGATTCTTTGGTTCACATGCCGTATTCAGCCCCTCCAACTGACAACTTTCCGAATGACATCTACCTGTATAGCAATTACAACGTAAGCTGTCAACAGTCGTGACCACTTCTTTTAGGCCTGATGGCATATGTGTTGCAAAGTTCACAGATGTCAAGCGCGAATTCGAGGTCTTTTCTCCATTGCCAGATACGGATTTTACAATCACAGATCGTTCCACAGAGATGACGGGCACGTCATTCCCACCAGGACTCCGTTTTCCTTCAGGTGCTATCCTGGGCACGCACTTCATCATTGCTGGCACGTACCTGGCGCATACATATCAATCTTATTCTATTTGGGCGTTAGACATGTTGACCATGACTTGGTCACGTATTGACTCCGGGAGCGCCATGGCGACTGGCTCCTGGTTTCGTGCCTGTTTGTGGGCAGAGGCGAACAAGTTGATGATCTTCGGAAACCGAAATGGCAACCTCATCGAAGATTATAATCGCCGGCTTCTCAGTTGGGATCACGTTGCTGTGATAGATCTGGAGTCGTTTGGAATCTATCAACCTCCACCTCTGCAAATCGATATACCAATGCAGGAGTTTGGATTATCAGCCTTAGAAGAGGGTGTTCTTGCTGATTTTGAAATCATCTGTGACGACGGGCGCAAAGTCAAATGTTCGAGGAAGACTCTTGAGGATCGTTGGCCATGGTTCAAAGATCAAAGGATCAAATTCTTGGCGCGGGCCCGACAGGCAATAGAGATCTTGCCATCATCTCCCATGGACGTCGGACTCCCGGACCTCCCTGGCGCACCAGGGTCCTCGGAAGCCCGTCCAGACCCACGTCTCACGCCACGTGCCTTCAACTTATCCGAGCCTTATCCGATTACACTCGCGTTATTGCAGTATTTCTATTCATTGGCGCTCATCACTCCCCTTCAACATGCTCCTGCGGTGTTGAGTCAATTGTTGATCCTCTCGAGTACTTACCAAATCCACCACCTCGAATCCCTTGTAAAACATGCAATGCATCGGGCTCTTTCGAATTCAACTTCTGTCGGTGTGTACGAAGTCGCAACACTGTGTAGCTGTCGGAGTCTTCAAATTAGGTTTGTTTATCCAGGATATCTTGACGGCATGTTTTGACTTTTTTTTGTTCGTTCAGGGCACTCAAGACAGTTATGGTGAATATTTGAAATAAGATAGGGTCTTTTGTTACGAGCTGACATGTTCTCAACTCCTAGTCTTACAGCCAGAAGAGGACTGGTCGTTCCCGCGCTGACAGTAAAAGCGGAGGTGGTGGTCGTAACCCTGACCCCAGTGACAGCGATAACCCTGGTCGTTCCAGCGACACTGTCCCAACACCAAGTCGCAGCCGCAGCGGCGGTGTTTCGGACGTAAAGTTATCTAGCTCTCTCGATCAGCAGAGCAGTGCAGGCTCGACGATGACAGGCTTCACAGCTAATCTCAGTAAGCGCTGCTTTTGGGACTGTGAGTAAAAACGAAGTGTTCTAATTCGGTGATCTGGGCAACGTGTAGCTTTTCCCACTCGTAATGGATCACCACGTCAGAGTTCCGCTGCCACCGCAACCGCGACAGTTTCTCAAGTAACACAAGCCTCACATAAGAACAACTCTTCTGAGTGTACATTAATACCTCGACGGAGACGATCCATGGCACACAACAGAAAGCTCAGCATTATTTCGGCCCACACGGATTTTGAGATACGCGCTGTAGCCGACCTCCTATCGCCTGCAGTATCGCATACACGGAGCTACGCTGAAGAGCAAGAGCGCGTTGGTGTTACAATAGATGATAACGATGACTTCCTTGATCCCAGCAATGGTGTACATACTACCGGAAAGGCTCCTCGCATGCCATATCTGCTTCTAGAACATGAGGAACCTCTTTCGCCTTCCTTCGGATCCCATCACATGACTAGCCCAACCACTTATTCAGAGTCAGATTGTGATGTCTCAGATGATTACTCTGGCTCTTACAATCCCCCACACTCCGCTTTCCACCTTCCACGCCGCTCAAAGACGCGATCACGCGCTAGCAACGGGCACATAAGCGCTAGCGACAGCGATACGCCCTCCTTGTCGTCTTCAACGACGTCTTTCAGCTCGAATGGCAGTATCTCGCAATTATACTCAGCATCACCTCCTACCAGCCCTGCCACCCTCAAGACTCCCATTGATCATCCAGCTGTTGCTAACCAGCAGCTTACCATCATCGAGGAGCGAACAGCTGAAGGCCAGGACATAACTGGTCGTCGCTATTCCGACTCCGGCAGCATCGTCTTTTCACCTGATTATACAACACCGTCACTACGGAAGCCGCATGTCACGCGAACTCCTGACACGCGACCGAAAGGTCGGGTGTTCAATGTAGAACACCTGAGACTCAATGTTCAACCCCCACTCACCGGCCAATTTCCATCCATATCACCTGCACCTTCTTCGACCTTTGATATTAGCTCACCCATGAGCAGCACCTTTTCCCCGACAAGTGCCTATACATCGATGTCGATGACCAGCCCTTACCCCATGAAGTCATCTCTGAATCGTTTCATTACCCCGGGCCCGAGCGGTGGCAGGGCTCCGAGTGTGCTTGAAAGCGCGTGGTCAGTGTCTCCAACTGCAAGCGTCGTAACATCCAAAACTGCTCGCAAGGAAGACAGCAAAGCAGAGAAGGCGCGGAAAACGGAGGAAAAGAAGCGAAAGAAGGCAGAGGCTAAGGCTGAGGCCAAGGCTAAAGTGGAGAGATTGGCGGAAGAGTTGAAGCAGCGCCAACGGCGCAAAGTTTCCACCCTGGATAGACAGTCACTGCACTCCCATCGGTCATTTGGCCGTGGTGCACGGCGGCCGTGGGAGGGTGACATTGCTATGTATGAAGGTTTGGGCGCCCTTTGATTGTTGTTCTTTAGTCTTCATTTGCTTTCCACTATCTGTGCTTGTTCCTTGATTTTATCGTATATATATCATGTTCATTTTGCATACATTCACAATGTCATCCTATCTGTCATTAATGTACCACGCAATGTACCGGATTAGTCTCAAACCTATTGGAAACTCATTCCAGTGGCTTTGAGGTGAAGATAACGATAAAATGACTATTAGAATTGGAAAGAGAAAGGGAGACATGAAATCCGTGGTGCCAATGACATTTGAGCCAACCATGACCACGGTGAACATTTTCCACGTGCAGCCTGACCTCCGCCACAGTATTAGAAGCTCGTTGTAGTTACTAAGGTGAAGAGGGGAAACTGATACTCATAGTCCACCAGTCAGAAGGGAGTTTGTAGGGAGATCCGTCACTGCTACATTGCCTCGACTTTCCGCCATCCCCGGCTCAAATTGCCTAGCGGCATCGGCCTCGGCAGTTATAGCAGCAAAGACGGGTGGGCTGCCGTGAGTACCTGCCAATGATGCATCGGCGGAAACGACCGAATCTCCCCAGAAATGGGGTGCAATGATATGATTATCTGTGAGCCAAAACATGAGTACAAGGACAGAGAATAAATAGGAGACAATCTGGGACTTACACTCCCTTGCATGCGCTGTAGCCGGCATTGAGTGAACTTTGAACATGTATCTCTCCAAATAACTATTCACTCACCGAGATCTTTCTGTCTGCTGCAGGAGGGGCCTTCCTTACAATCAGGTCGACGAGTCACAGTTTCTGCGAGAAAACCCTTCTGCCTTTCTCGTATCCACCAGTCCTTAAGACCCCAGAGCATGACTTCTGTAGCGCATTGTCTGCATAGCCTGTTTCTCGGCGCGTCTGGATTTTCATCAATCCCAGCGGTCACGCTGTGGATATCTATGAACAAGTCGAGCTCTATCAGGGGACGGAAACCGTTAGGCTGGGAGAGGATGTGTGATGCAACCTACACCCCGTCAAATTATGTAGGGCTATGATCAAAAGGACCATAACTAACCTCGCGATAGATATGCCGAGGAGAAATTTCTTGAGCGGTCAGGTAATCAAGCATAATGTCGACCTCAACGGTATTATGATCGAAACATCCATAGACTTCGGATGATTGGATGAGATCACCGAGGTCAGACATATTGTGAGGGTGCTGAGATAACAGAGGTGCTGCCAAGCAACGCCCTGGTACACCAACGCCGCAAAATGAGACCTGACATAGATCACATTTTGTTGTGGAGGGAGCGCGCAAGGCGAGAAGATTTTCGCTGATAGCCAAGGTAAGAGAAAGTCAAGGGGTAGTAGCATTCACGTACCAGTTTCCACAAAACGCATGACCAGGCGGATTACCTAGAGTACAGAGCTAAAATATTTCTCTAGTACTGAATGTAATGGTACAACCTACCGTCATCCAAATGCCACGCACGCTCTGGGTCAACGCCGTAATCGATGACAGGTTGAGGGCACCTCCAACCAAATGCATTATCAGGCGCACAATGAGGACAAGGGCGGACATAATCCACATTTTGATTTAGGTTGGGTTCCGGTGACGCTTCTCGTGGTGTCGGGATCTAGGAAACACGTGCTTCAGAGATGCATTGTAAATGAACCGACTTCTGGACTACGCACCCTCATAGAACATCCAGCCTTGTATACCTCATCCGCTTGAATCCGTTCTCGTTCAGTGCGTTCTCGTGAAGGATCGGCACGCAAAAGAATATCGACGATCGATTGCAGAGGACGTGATGGTGTAACGATAGTAGATACTCCTCGACATGCAGGGCAATTCGTACCTCCGTTCTAGAGTCGGTTCTCGTTAGTTCAATAGCTCCCCGATGACACAAAAATGGGAAAAGAATGAACACGTGCGGTCAGCATGAATACCCGATGTGTCGGTGAGCGCATGGTGTGCCACGAGCGACTGTCAACCGGAGACCAAAACTCACACGAATCCACAAAACGCAGCAGCTTGACAAAGATCAGTATTAGAATACAACTGCATTCTGAAAGAGCCATACCTGCCACAGAAGAAGTGCTGACAAGGAGACACAACTACTGGTCGGTACACTAGCTCAGTGCAACAACCGCATTGAAGTTCTTGAGCAAGATCCTCTGCTAGGGCCTCAAAATATGGTTTAGCAACAGGCTTTTCGCTATCTGGCTCATTTCCCAAATCCTCTTTGAACCGCTTCTTGCTCGTCTCGTCCTCAAGTCCTTCAAATGAGGAAGGGGGCCCGCGTTTTAGGGCTGAGCTGGAGGCGCCTGCACTGCGGGACATTGACAGCCCCATCATAGACTCAGATGTATCCGAATGTGAGGGTTGCGGTTCTTCCATCGTCCTTGAGAGTTTGAAAAAGAAAGATGTGAATGTAGTGAAGAGCTTCAACGTCTTTAGTACTTAAAGTCACTGACAAACAATCACTTCCTATTTTGGGTCTCATTCACTAGCGCCACTCTTTCGGTGGCAAACAAAAGGCATAATAGATTCAATATTCACATAGCGTGGTAGAGTAGTAGTGAGATTGAAGCAACAAATTTATTAGGGAATAAATTAATACTCTACCACGCCGAACTCGGCAGAGGGTGGCGAAGGAGGCGGTCGTCCAGTATCCCTGCATGCACGCGCCAGCTGTTCGCGAAGCCTAACGACCTTGCGTCGTATTTCTGGAGAAACGATGAGAATGAACAGCTTGTGCGAGTCAAACCATACCTTCGCAAGGCCAGAGGGCACTGAGGTAATCTATAGGCTTGAAGAATGCCGTGCAAACGTCAATAGCAAGGGTCAGTGTATTGTCGCAATCCCACAGAGTAAGCGCCCTGAAGCAAGTGCCACATCGACAAGCCATACATAAGAGTAACATGAAATGCTTACCGCCTGATCTGACTCATGAACCAGAAAATGAAGAATGGTCTGTGCATGAGGGTGTGAGCAGCATGGCCAGTCACCATGCCCATTCCAAGTACAATACGCTGAGCAACACTAGCCTGGAGGGATACTATTCGCAGGCATCAATAAAGGGACAACATGATGAATCAAGCGACTGACGCCATTCCTCAGCCTTGGTCCGATGGAACAATCCATTAGCATCGCTGTATGAACCACGATGATCAGGGATCGATAACAACACTCGATTACGTTTCAAGACTCACGCGCTAGCAACAGGGATAAACCGCTTGAAATCATGAGATACCGTCATGCGAACGCTGCAACAACCAGTCATTGTACGGAAGATCGAAGTAGTGAGTCCCCAGCTTACTTGAATAAAAACTCCCGACCTTGGAACAAAAAAGTCCTCTCCAAGCCACAGGTATGCGCATCAAATGCTTGCTCCAACGCATCTGCCTCTAGCCAAGCATCCACCGCAAAACGAGCTATTTCAGCCTCGTTTGCACTCGAGGTACGTCTGATTTGCAGGCAGCTGTGCCAGAGAAGCATCGTTCGATGAATTAATGCCCACACGGTGTCTTTACCTGAATGATGGGATGTCGCACTTGACAATCCTAGTGCCTCTCCAGGAAAGAGCAACGCATACTACATAGAATGTGAGTACTTGACTGACAAAGATCGCTGAGACTCACATTCGCAGGCTCCCTGAGGAAAAGTTCCGTAGGAATACGTTTTTCAGCAGTAACGTATGACGTATGGCCGGCAATTAAGGCGAGGGAGCTCCAACATAACCGGCGGCATCCCTCTTTGCGGACCTCAGCTTCTGACCAGCTGTTGTCCCATGCAGGAGTGGTAACCCAAAGTGGGGTATGCTCATAGGCAGCTGGCCAATGATGTCCAAGAGTCATAGAAGAGCAGGAGCAACCTTCCAAAGGATATTGTGGCTGAGTGGCATTAGGAGTGGGGAGTAAGTGGTCGGTTGTGTGTACGGCCTGCCGAGGGGGGCTCCACATATGGGGTGCAATCGCAGGCACAGATAGAGGCGAGAACTTGGCAGAATGCGGATTTTCGGCATCAAGGAAGGTCAGCCCTAGGCTGTGTATGATCATGTCAAGCATGAATATAGCCGATGAAGACCGCTCCTTGGTGTATTGAGGATGGGGACAGATCTCGAAGAACGTCAGAAGCTGAGACAATCGCGACACATGAACACATATACAACGTTGCAGATGTAAGAACTGACCCAGGCAGCTTGAGCAAGCGAATCATCTATCCACTGAGCGTTAAGGCTTGCCTCGAGGTGACCTTGCGCAACATCTCGCAACCTAACAGCTCTGTTTCTCCCTTCCCTCCCGTTGCCCGCTTCTGAACTCTGAAGAAATGCAGCAATAGCAAGAGCAGCCGGAAGCAGCGCGGGGTGCATCTGCTCCCTCTTTACGGGATCAAAGTATCTCCCAAGGAACTGAGGAACATTAATAAATGTAAACCAATAGTTAGATCCGCGAAGTAAAAATTGAATGTCTGCAGTGACTAAGTCCGTAGCATGATGACGTTGTGTCGCAGTTAGGGAAGGAAGGTATGATGAGGAAGTGTAGATGGCAAGAAGTGAATCCCACCACGTTTTACGGGTGAAATCAAGAGAGGGTTCGGGTGTGATATTTGGTGATCTGTCTGAAGTCTCGCTGGTCTTATTGTCCAGTGAAGAAATGGATGCCCGAGGTGGGCTGTGGCCATATGACTCAAATAACTGAAAATCCAACTGAGTTGCAAAACCGAAATCATTGTTCGTGTCCTTGATTCATAGGTAATATGAGCGGACTTCGTCCAACAAGTAATTAAGTCGGTACCTCAGTGCTCGTCATGGTACGATATAGAACCTCATTATCTGAAGGTGTGACCAATGTGACTGCATCAGTGAGGATATTCAGGGGCAAGGGCTGGAAAGAGCTCGACCCTACTGAACCCTCTACCGGAAAAGGAGACAAAGCCGTTAACTGTGGGTCGATGACTGGTGGGGGGACATTAGGAAATGAGTTGAGGGATTTGGGCTGGGGTCGATCGCTCTCCAAGTCTGTATTGGCCGTTTGATCCGAAACAGTATTGGTTGCGGACACCTCGCGCCTTTTTCTGCGCCGCCGACGGGACGCAGCAACGTCACTCTCGCTTCCAACATGAGCATCCCGAGCCATCCGCTGTCGGGCACCAGGAGTCTTGTCAGGACCCCGACGTTTTGGTACTGCATCGTATGTACATTCATCTCCACTCTTGGAACGTCGACTGCAATTGTGGCATTGGGGTTTCGCCCCGTCACAACGTATCTTGCGTGTCCGACTGCAGTTGTGATAGATCAATGGTCAACTCAGCGAGGCTCAAAAAATGGACGAACCATTGAAGGCAAGCAACATAAACTCGAGCACGGGGCTTCCCCTGCGTGGTAAGGGGTTGATCTGGAGCAAGCTCAATTCGCGGCTTTTCGCGGCGAGTTCTGCGAGCATCGACAGTATCATCCGCTTCTTCGTCTGGTTGCTCAGGCGATCGCGAGGATCGAGATTCAGTATTTGACGGAACGGGAGGGTCATGAATCAAGGCGGAGCTGAGCTGGGATACAAAGTCTACCGCAGCGGCTGGGGGGCGTGACATCATGTTAGAGCGATAATAAGAATCGGTGTCGGAGGCTAGCCGTGGATCTCGGGCTACATAGTCAAGCATGCCAGAATTCGATCCATATTGAGAACGGCTAGATGAATCCAGCTCAGATACATAGGTGTGGGAATGACCATATGGTCCTGGAGTAGGGGAAGCGAAGTTTGGGTTCATGGTAGCTCTGGAGGCTGGTGAATGCCTGGAAGGGGAGATGCCGGGAAGAGACATGTTGGTGATTGAGGGGAGTGATTCCGGGTTTAATGCATCCTTCAATTGATATGGCTGTGAATTGGAAGGATCCGAAAGCAGTGTATTCCGGGTTTCGGAGGTGGTCTGCTGTGTATGATACATGGTTCACGGAGTGGCACTCGCAAGAACGAACGAACGCCTTGTCGCGATGATGAGTGGAAGGAAGAAAGTTGGGGAGATGTTCCTAGTTCCTTCAAAGGGGAATAACCACCACCTGTTGATATGTGTTTTGTTGGGTGGGAATGGCGCTGAACATGGGCTGTCAGATCGGCTCGGAGGTCTGTTTCGCGCGACCGTCGTGACGACCCACAAAGGAGCGCGACAAACGACAGTCAGAGAGTAAATTCTACAAGATCAAGGTCAGTGAAATCATCAAACACAGAAGAACGGGATATACGGGTGCTATTACTTAAAGCTTGCAGCAAGCGTCGGCTCTGACTTGAAGCACCTTGACTTGCTCTTCTTCCCACCTTAGTAATGCAGGCTTCTTGGCATTACGTAAGTAAAGCGGCGGGCCGTTCAGGAAGACCGTCTTTTCGTGGTACGGAGGTTTCTTTGTTTTATATTTGTTGATCCTGCTACCAGTCCAACTCCACAGAGCCACAGCACATGGAATGTCTAGTCAAGTGACCAGTTGCATTTGAAGGGTCACATTATTTCGAGCTTGTCTAATTCTTAGAATGATGTCTCATCCACAAAAGAACGAGTATCTGCATCTGAAGTTCATCCATCGGTCTAATTTCGTGGCAGCAGCTGCCAGGAATAGCTGTAATGCATGGCACAAGCTCACCTGTACCAGGTTGCGCGCATGCTGCCCATCCCTCAGGCGCAGTTGATGCTCCAAAATACAGCGTTCATAAGATCATGTTTCCTTTGCAACATGTTCAGCGAGGCTGCCAGCCACATTCCTTCCCTGGTGCCCGTCATTTCCGTTGTTCATCCATTACATCCTGCAGTGCATCATGTTTTTCCTTCCTTCGGCTTCAAACTTTATTCTCGCACTGTACATTTTACAAGCTGCGGCGGTTCCTCATCTCATACCTGCTGCAATGCGTCGGGCGGATGTCTCAGTTGTCACCCAGATGTCGTCTATCCAGCTGGCTGATCTGGCGCCATATACTGAATTTGCTCGTGCTGCTTACTGTTCCCCTACTATCGTAGCTGACTGGCAGTGTGGTCGTACGCAATCTCACCTTACTTTTTTTGCTGTGCCTTGGCTCAATAATGGAGCTCTTAGAAGCTTGCGAAGCAGTGCCTGGGTTCGAGGTTTCTCTCACAGGGGGTGACGACGACAATATCCAATATTGTACGTTCCAATAAAAAAACATTGCACGTTTTTCCAGACATTTCGCAGACTATGTTGGTTACTGGCCGACAGAAAATACCGTGGTAGTTGCTCATGAAGGTACAGATCCAACACAACTGTAGGTTTACACGTTTCACAGCTCCGACTTGAGAAAACTCAGTCACCTACATAGCCTATCTGATCTCACCGATGCCGATGTATTGATGGAATGCCTGGACCCCACGCTTTTCCCCGGTGTTGATGACAGCGTAGAGGTTCACAGTGGGTTTGCCGACGAGCACGCGCTAACCGCGAGCATCATCTTGAATGAGGTGAAGAGCCTCATCTCTCAGTATAATGCCAACAGTGTCACGCTGGTCAGCATTTAACATTTTGTCACCACTATAAAAATAACTTCGAAGACAGGTCGGACACTCTCTTGGAGCCGCCCTTGCGGAACTTGATTGTGTGTTCATGGCCTTGAACCTTCCATCTAGCATCGCTATCAAAGGTATGTCCACACCAGTAATCTGACAGGGGCGCGGGATTTTCACAGCCGGAATTTTTAGGTGTGACATATGGTACACCCCGCGTAGGGAATCCAGCATGGGCCGCTCTCTTCGATTCCCTGGTAAGCTTTATTCTCCCCTTCGGATCTCGCTCTTCCTTTACTACAATGGGTATATGGTTCATTCATAAAATCACGGGCAGGTATCAGACTTCCAACGCATTAACAATGAGAAGGACATCATTCCGATTGTCCCGGGGCGCTTGATGGGCTTCTCACATGTCCAGGGAGAGGTCCACATTGTATCTGATGGGTATGCAGTCCAGTGCCCAGGCGAGTATAAAATTGCCTTTTCGGTCATGTTAGTTCATCCTCATCTATATAGGTAACGACGATGCCACGGATGCTCTCTGCACAATACAAAGTGTGCCCGACGTCCTTGCGGGCGATATCTTGAACCACTTGGGTCCATACCAGGGGATTTATATCGGCACGATTTTTTGCACATGATTGACATTGACTTGTATTATATCAGCTGAACGTTGGGATGTTTGATTGGCCTTTATGAATAAAGCATGAATTAACGGGTACAATGGTGCTCACCTTTACCATGCGGCATCGTCTCCCTAATTCTACTAGTATGCAGAAGATACACAAGTATTGGAGGTACTACAGAAATACCGTGGCTCCCGACGGTGACCTTGTGGTTGCAACTTGACCTAAATGGAGGTCATCTCTACCACCTTGACCGCAACTGAGGGTTGTTGTTCCGTAGACGGCCGCATGGCAGCAAGCTGTACAAAGTGTGTATGCAGTGACCTAAAGCTGTTGTCAGTTATTGTATCCCAGAATTCCATGGGAAGTGTAACTTGGTCACCCGGGCGTCCGTTATACCAAAAGGTGGAATATGGAAACTGAGCTCTCAGCATCAGCAACGGTATATGCGCTGATCATGGGTAAGCCAGCGTGCTTACAGGAAGGCAGTTACTCAAAAATGAGAAACTATACTCAGTGAAGTCCACATGTTTAAAATGGGGGATTCATTGACTAGCCTCATGCCTACCAGCACAAGGATCTGGACATGGCAGGATGAGTGAATGTCTTGAAGGTGTGTTCCAATAGAAAAAGACCTTTTTGTCAGCAGGTTTTGAACCTACGTGCAAAGTCCAAGAGAAACAGATTTTTATCCTGTTATGATGGTGACCACTCGACTAAGATCAATTGCTGAGCCTCCAAGAGCGTAGTAAATGAAAAAGTCGCAACAGATCTCGTCTGATCAGAGTCGTGCTTACCACTTCACTTGGCAAGACCGGTCAAGATGGACTCATTTAGATCTAGAAGTCGAAGAACATGGCGCATTAATAGTAGAATCACATGGGATTATTGTTATTAGCAGTCATTTTCTGATGAAAAATGAGGTTATGGACACAAAAAATACCAAGAATAAAAAAGAGTCGGGGGCTGGCGCCGTTTTGATAAAATTGAGTTCAAGTCATTGAAAGAAAGTATCATAGGTCACGTTTTGTTTGGCACGCAAGTCGACTCACCCTCATATTCGCAATGCTTATAAATAATATTGGAAGTCTGAATAAGCGGCGTTTAAGCAGCGTATGGTCGACAGGAGGTGTGCATGGTCTGCTTACCGCTCGATACACACCCGCTGCAACAGTCATAATTTGCCTTTCAAAATGTTGCAGAGATCAGGCTTCCAAAAAGAAAACAGATACAGGATCCAGCCCTCAAGACGTCGTCGCTATGACCGCTACAACATGTTACGTTGGCTCCTAAACACGTGTCTCGAAAACCTACCCAAACGCAAATGGGACCAAGTCGTCATGTTCATGTTCCTTTGCGCTCTCTTCCCCTTCCTTCACGCACTTCTCGGTATAGGGGGAGAATCCGAGCAACATGTGAACCGTCCAACGAAAGCAACCGGCGGGCCTCCAAACAAGTCGCAGAGGAATGACACAGGCAAAGCTGCTCTCCACAGCAACCAGCTTCTTGCGAGTGAGACCCACGCGGGCTACCCAGTCGAGAATTCTGAGCACATCGCGCACCTCACGCGCGTGCCCATGGCACTGGCACCACAAGATGCATTCCCTGATCCGACCTCTCCAGTTACCCGCTCATACATAGCGTCTAAAGTGCGTTCAACGCCCGCGTTCGCACAGACACCTGAGCTTGCTACTCCGGTCTGGTTTCAGAGAGACGAGTGGGATAACATGCTGTATGACCCGTTCTATCTTGAATTCAACGGCATGCCGTGGAGTACGCCAACAAAAGCAATCTAGACAATCACAGCACAAATTACTGGCGAACGCAGAGGAGGTATCTTGAATGTTAATGAGGTATCGAAGAAAAGTTGGCGGGTCCCATTCAAGACAGCAGCCTCGATCAGCGAGTACTTTTTTTAATTATTTCGTCTTCCACGTACTGTTTGATATGTTAAATGTTCTTCATGAGTCTTTCGGTACTCTGTACAGTAGCAGTGTCGAAATTAACGTTCCAATCATGTTGTCAAGTTCACTAGTTCAACGGCAATTCGAATGAGGAACGTTGATGACTCAGCAGGAAGTACCTCTGTAACCTGAGTACTTCAAGTTTCACCTCCAGTTCTCAGAGCCTTGCACTACAGTTTTCAAAACTACTGATGCCTCGCAACACATCACCCTCACCGAGAAGACGGTTCCATACCCGAGGAGAAGAAGACCGTTCTGGAAGAAAAGGAAAGAAAGATTACCCCAGAACGGAACGTGCGGGCTATGAGCGTGATTCAGACAGGCGAAGGGATAATAATGACGATGATAGACATGCCAGACACGATGATTACCATAGAAGGGACGGTCGTCGTGACCGTGATCACGATTCTAGAAGGCCTAACCGCGAACGGGACAGAGAAGGTCAAGATGACCATGACCGACCCAGCAGGCCTAATCGCGAAAGGGGTAGAGATGGCCGAGATGACGGTGACCGACCCAGCAGGCGCCGAAGTAGAGACTTCGCAGTCTCGTCTCGGCGTTCTGCGTCCCCAAAACAACCGTCTTCTATCCAACCCTCTGCTCGCCCACGCTCTGGCTCTCGGTCTAAGTCCTCTCCGCCTGTTGACAAGGCCAAACCCAACTTCGCTAATTCTGGGTTGCTGGCTGCAGAGACAAATGCTGTCAAGTTGACTGATGGCACAAGCACAATCCTAAAATATAATGAACCCCCAGAAGCAAGAAAGCCCACTCTGGGTTGGAGGCTGTACGTGTTCAAAGGGAGCGAGCAAGTTGGTCAGTGCCATGTGTTTTTCTTCTGATACCCGTGTTGATATTTAGGCAGAATTACTCCATATTCATCGCCAAAGCGCCTACCTAATTGGACGTGATCGAACCGTCACCGATATCTTAATTGAACATCCCTCCTGCTCGAAGCAGCATGCTGTTATCCAGCGTGAGTAGTAATCTTGTTTTAACATTATGGTCGGCGTCTTATTTACAGCAAACTCTAGATCGACAGGTAATGGAGAAAGATGAATTCGGCGCCTCAAAATCGAAGAACAAGTGCGCAATATCATGTTTGCTCTTGCGTCTATCTTTTACAACTGAGAATATAGGCCTTTTATTATCGACCTGGAGTCTACAAATAGTACACATGTCAACGATGAAGCCATTCCGACATCACGGTTCTACGAACTCAAAGCGGGTGATGGTGAGTACTTCCCATTCCACAGCGTATTTTGATTCACCTATAGAACTTGTTGCAGTCATCAAATTTGGATTGTCAAATCGGGAATATGTCCTTTTGCATGACGATGCAACCTGAGGACCTATGCCTGGTAACGCGATTTCAGGCAGTACACTTTGGCTTGTATATAAGTTAGTTCTTGTTGAATTTCCTCCGAGCTCATATGCTTTTAGACGATTCAGCCTCAGGTTTGAGGGGCTGAACTTGTTTTTCTTTAAGCAATCATATCCCTGATCTCGCGAGTTCTTGCGACAGCATGAGGATCAGATGATGCGCGGCACCTCCATTCGAGGGAGCTTATAAACTCATCTGAAACGAGTACAACACCCCAGCGTTCCATTTCGTGTTTTGATTGTGAATGGACTAAAGACACACGCGGGTCGTGTTGTTGTAACTCCCAACTTCAAGTCAACAAGCGACCGTAGTGTGTCAGCTGAAACCACAGCAGCGAGGCTGAAGGTATCCGTTTTTATTGAACTCTTCATAGGACCGACGGTTGGACCTGCAGGCGTCACCTCCATGCATGAGTTCCACCGCAGAATGTTTTTTGGAGGATAACTCACCAATCATCTATCATTACGATCGATCTTTCCTAAGGGGGCGATCTTGAACTTGGGAATGCCTGGAATGTAGCCATACTTTTCAGAAATCGAAGACAGAGTTACTCAGATGCGGCGGCGGCAAATGATCAATCGATCTAGGCTCGAGAGCGAAATATGTGCTAAGTTAGAATCTGAGTGTGCGCCACGTGGACCGCCTAGACCAATTAATTGGTGATCTAGACTCCTCGCTTATGCCCGAAAAGAAAGGAGCCGTGTAGGTCATATCTCTCCTGTGTCATTCCGCCCATCATCATGATGTCGGATTTCACGCCAAACCATGCCCTCCTGAACCCAAAGTTTGAGGGTTACAAACTGGAAGTAATCTCGCAAGAAGACAATGTGACGCGCTTCGGCCTTGAATATAGACCCACACAGATAGCTAATTCTGGCCGATCTCCACTGTCTTTCAAAGAGGTCCAGAGCAGGATCACACACAACCACCTGGCCATAGGAAATGACAGTGGCAGGTGTCTGTACATTGACTCGGAGCATCGCGTTATCCTTGTCGACCTCACGAATGTAGGCTTTTGTGCCGCCATCTTTTTGTTTCACCATAAATCTCACATCATGCACAAGTAGGACAGTCGCATACCATCCTTTACTATCGTTTATGCACTTCCCACTCCAATCAGTGCTCCAGCAGCTGTGCAGGTCCATCGCGAATATCCATCAGCAGTGTTTCTTGATACAAAGACCGCATTCGTCGCCGACGGTCAAGGAGCGCTTTACATCCTCGAGCTTCCTGCAGAAGGCGCTGCTACCGCGCTGGGCTGCTTTGAGCTTTCTGATCACACGCAAACTCCTCATTCGGCTCCGACTCCATTCCGCATCCACTCTCTCGCCAAGTTATCCGATAATGTAGCTATAGCACTTCTGTCTTCTCGCTTCTATGGAGACGCTGAAGCTGCTCAAACGCACTCAATGGCAAGTCACGAGTCTGAATTTGATGTCTGGGCTGCGAGATTCTCGTTGCCTTTTCCAAGCCAGAATGGTGATCTTGCTCCCATTGACATTCTTTGGAGGAGACGGGGACAGGATGTACCCATATTCACGGTTTATGACAACTCTCGAAAGTGCTTTCTTCTGGCTGGTAGTTCCGTCTATCGTGAGCTCAGTCAGCCAGCCCCAACCTCGTACGAACCCTCGCCAGATGAAATGGCCCCTATTCCGCGTCTGGATGAAAAATTAGACGGAGAGTCTCCTCCCAGGCCTCCACCATATTCCTGGACACAGACATCCGACTCCATGACAGTGGCCTTCCCTCTCCCTGCAACAACCCCGACTTCAAGCATCAAAGTAACATTTTCCCAAAAGACCTTGACAGTGCACATCCAGAATACATCACATATCGAAGGCGTTCTTCTTCCTCACTATTCCGCCCAACAACTCTGGGACGGCATTCAAACCTCTACCAGCTTCTGGACTTGGGATCGCGAGGGAGAGCATTCATTTGGATTGCTCACATTGCATCTGGACAAACAGCGTGAAGGTACTCGATGGATGCATGTATTTGCATCTGCGGGTACACCAGGCGGAGAAGAGGAAGTTCCAGAAACCCTCGACCCTTCGGAGCTCTACATTATCAGAGAGTCGTTGGAAAAGTACACAGCCGCACTCCAAAGTGGAGAGGATATGAGTGGGCTTGGACTGGGCCGAGGGGTACCAACGCTTGCTCAAGGAGAGATGGATGAGGAAGTCGACTCTTCAGTCGGACGAGTAGCGTTCCTGACGTGGGTGGGCGAGGATGGAGCTATCCCTGTGTGGTCATCCGGCTTTGGTGATTCTGCATGCAACATTCTGTCGATCGATCTCCCTGGATCGGGTCCAGGAGCATCTATGGTTGTGAAGAATGGCATCGATGGCACCATGTTCGTTCTGGATGAAGCGCCGAATGTAGGTTCTCTGCCCACTTGGACGCACAGCACAACCTTCTCGGCGCTCGCCTTTGTGCTCGCCTCTAAGCGGGATACACGCTTCACGTATCATGTTTCATCAAAAGCAGTTTTGGCATTTGAGAACGGCAGTAGGGATCGGGGAGGGAACGTATACATCTACCGCGGTGGGCGTCCGGGTCAAATTTGGGCAAAACAGAGTGTATTGAAAGTTGGCGATGGAAGCGCTGGTTCTCTGTTAGGTGTCGGTACGTTCAAAACGGCGCAGGGGCACATGGTCGTCTGTCTATGCGAGAACGAGCTAGTGGTGATGCACAACATCTTTTGAATAAAATTGGAGGAAAGTACAGTGGACAGACAGCTTGTAGTTCGAAGTATAATACTTGTGATACTACACGAGGGAATCATGAAACGTCAATATTTGAAGGTGACGACGAGAAAAAAATAGCAATAGACGAAGCAGAAGGTAGGCCAAAACACAACCTGCAGCAATCGCTGACAAGTGAAAGGAAAATTAAAACATATTGAGATTTACAGCTATGCCTTCAAAGGGTCTTCACTGGAGGGCATTAAACCGTCAACGTTCATCGGACCGTCACCTCGGATAGGCACCTTGAAATGCTGGACGGGAGTGACGTCTCCATTGAGTCTAGGATTTGGCGGACTAGGTGATGCACTGGGGGATTTCGGGATACCGTCATTTACATCATTAAATGGACTAGCCCCATCATCCTCATCCTGAACCTCCTCAATCCGAGCAACCCCGCCAAAGGGCCTGTCAATGTCTTCATCGTCAAATTCATCGTCGACCTCAAAGGGGGCCATACGTGCTCGCAAACCAACTCCAGCGTCCGGTGGCTGTGCGCGGGGAAGCCCAAATGTGTCGGAGAAGAATGAGCGCCCGCTGAAGGACGTGTCCATGTCATCACCACTGTCCTCCTCATCGTCGTTGCTGGCAAACATGAGGCGACCAGTGTCGCTGAGGATCCCTGAACCCGGGTGAAAAGAGATGCCACCAGTGCTTCCCAAGACACGAGCAAATGGACTGTTTGGGCCAAACAAACTGCCTGGCGAGTTGTCCTCGCCTCGTTCCCTCCTCAGTCTGTCCCTCTCCTGCTGCACCTCTCTCCGCGCTCTGTATGACGTCAGTCGATCTGATGAGTAGATTTGTGGGATAGAGTCCGGTGTTGAGTAACCGTAGCGGTTCTTGACACGATCTTTGATCCAGTCGTACCATTCTTGCTTCGTCCTTCCGTGAAGAAGAGCCACGATGAGGACAGTCATGTTATCGCACCCGATACCCGACCCAGACGAGGTATCCGGAGCAAGGCAATGCTCGCACATCATCTCTCCGATATCCTTGAGTTCCAAACCCTCTGAGACTTTTAGCCGGACAAAGTCAACGACCGCCTGTGAAGATAGACAATCCCAGATACCTGACAAAAAATTAAAACAACATCGTACTTAGGACTCGCTGTCTTACCGTCACAAGCCAGAACTAGAAACTCGTCTTCATCTGTGATATCGTGAACGGTGACATCAGGATCAGCCGTAATAATTTGTTTTTGAGGCCCGAGTGCATAGTTTTTCTTGAACTCAAAATCTCCCAAAGCGCGGGACAACGCAAGATTCCCTAGGAAGTCCATGATAAGCACAGCCTGGGTGAGTGATCGGACAACTCACCATTGACACGTCCATATTCTACGTATCCGCCAGCTTCCGTGATACGTTTCCGTTCAGCTGAATACTAGTGAACAAAGATAATGGTCCAATAGTGGAATGATAAACGTACTCTCGCTTGATGGTTTATGGTCAAAACTCAAAGGCTTAGCATTACCTTGGACGCTAAGAACAGACCGGGAATCGCCAGCATTTGCCTGTCAAGCAACCATTGGCAAAAAGGACAATGAAATAGGAAAACTGCTGTACCACATAAATCTTGTTATTGTCTGTTATCAAAGCAGCTACAGCAGTACAGCCTGATGGATCACGGGTATGCGAGGGATCTGTGTTAAAATGAGTGGTGTGCAGAGACAGCTAGGCGATATGGCGTACCAGCGAGAAGATCTTCATCGGTGCCTAGGAATGCTTTCTTAAGCGCTTCATCATAACGCTTTTCACGATATGCCTCTTCCGAAATTAATCGCTTGTGGACGTTCTTCCCCGCAAACTTCGCGACGGTACTTCCTGTAGAAAATTAAACTGAGCTCGAGGCCATGTTCCGAAAAGCATGAGCAAGCAGTTTACCACCGTGTCCGTCATAAACAGCAAAGAATGTGTTTTTATCTGTTGTGCTCTCTTCAAGGGTTAATATGGTCACATGAGCATCCTCCATAGCTGCAATAAGGATACCGACACATAACATGAGATCAAAACCGCGGCCAAAAAAAGGTGACGCACTAATTCTCCACCCTTGCATCTCAGAAACTGCAAATAGATATCGATCATCTTCTCCCGTCTCTGATTTCTTTTCTGTAGCTGTAGAAACAAGGATAGGTCACGAGTGTCAATTGGAGTGAAAACGTAAGCTGCGTAAAAGCTCCCTACCTGGTGCTGAGAGTGTTTGGCCCTAATTCATGACCGGAAAGTGAGATTGGCCGTGTAACAATTATGAGATGTGTCAGAGCATACCATGGATCTTTATTGATGGGCAAAGACGTAAGAAAGCAGAAAGCGATCGCTTAGCCGATGAACCGAATCAGAATTGTATAGGCGTCGGAGTATTACAATTTCCTGACTCGACGGGATGGAGAAGGTAAATTTTCAAGAGGATGCAGATATGGTCTATGCTGGTCAACGAGCACAGCAAGCACGCAAGTCATTCCTATTTTGTCTTGTTTGTCTGCTAGGGTTTTCAGCTCGCCGGCATAGCCTTGATAGTCAGATCGGTTGCTGAACGTATCTGATGCTCCATGCTACTAGTACGTACGCTTGGCAAATCTGGGGTAGAACAACAAGCAGCAGGGTACGTGGTAGCAGAGCATCGCGTAATGACTTTGAATCACAATTAAATCAGGTTCTCAAATTTGCCGTATGACCGTGACCACTAGTAGCCAGTCACTAGCTGCGCCGTGACTCTAGGCTTGTACATGTGTTCTGCAATTATTTAATTGGCTGACCACCAACAGGAACGTGTCGGATTATAGCAGGCTCATCCCGGATAACATTGCAGGCCTTTCAGACTTTTCGTTACCAGGTTGTCAGCTGTCCACAAGTCAGTATACCGCGTATACGTGACTCGGATAAGACTGATGAAATGCGCCCGCTCTTAACCACATCTAGTAGGCTCAACTTCGTCTGTGACGCAAGAAAACCTCGTGTCGCCTCATCAGCCCCTTGTGTCGTTTTGGCGGGTACCAAAGTACGACCGCCCGGACCGCAAATTCTCCGTCATGTGGCCTGCTGAAACTTGATAAGTTATTCGTGTGATAGTCCTAATATTTTCTTAGCATTTGACGGCTGACGATAATGGCAGCCTAAGCGTGATGCAGAACGCTCACCTGAAGCTTCCAATTTACCTCAAAGTACGTGGAAACACTGAGCTACAGGTGGCACAGTGATTTAGCCTTTGAGATGAATGACTGTCGAGATGATTGCAGGTCAAACTTCACCACAGATGGTACGATATCGCTTGTGTGCTGGGGCAATCGGTTGTTTCTCGCTTTATCCATTCTATGCCGTAAAGAAGTCGAAGCATTAACGTCTTCGGCAAGGAAGTTACCGCTAAATAGCAAATTATGCCGACCTGGCACACGACCGATTTTTACACTCCTGTTGTCATCATTATCATTTGCTACGCAAGCCCGTGCGGAGGGCGCAGGTAAGTTATCATATCTTTTATCTTTTTCGGTAAAGCTTATTTCCACGATCCCCCCTTATGAGATCATTGGACGATAACTGGGAATATCTGCTCTCGTATTTATCTACCCTCGGAAGATTGTTGTATAGGGAACGCAAACTTTTAACCTCACAATGAACTCCTCACACCATACATCGCAAAACAGTTTTGAGGTATTTCTTAAAGTTCGATGTTGACATTCTTCTTACATGTCTGGCTTTGTAGCAGCATCATGAATATGCGTCTGTTGGTTATAAACGCAAGCGGACATGGAGTATCTCGATGACCTCCCAATCATCTACTGCATCACAATTTCGCCAAAAGCTCTACGAAGCATCCCCAGCTGAGGTCGTTCAAGGCGACCTCCAAGCTCATGGTTCATTTACCACTACCGTACCAGCGGTTTTCTGGCTCCGCTCGCGTTTCTCTATCCTTTCCAAGCCGCGCGGGAAGCAGTTGGACACGGGGTGGGCGAACGAGTACAACTTTGAACTCCCTGATCTCTCTCGATCGCGGTCTCGTTCACCTGTTCGCCCATCTATAAGTCGCACATCCTCTATGAACTCAACCTTGGGTGGACAACTCATACCTACTTTATCCTCACACGACTCTCCGCCTGCATCACCTCTTGCGGACAATAACTCTACCCTCTGTCCCATTCTTGAAGCTATCGAGAATGCCTCGAAGCTGTCGTGCCGCACTGTATGCGTCACATGTTTGAAAACAGGTAGGGACTTCCCGCATTGTCCCCGGTGTGGTGATACGTGGTGCTCCAGGGAATGTAGGATGCAAGGAGGGAAGAGACACGTCTGCAGAACGTGATTCCCTCCTCTATGGTACTGCAATGTATTTCGTCGCTGCCCACATCTTATCCAGAATGTTCTCCAAAATGCTTTGCACAGCTTTTTCCTGATCATATGCCACAAAGTTCTACGGCCCTTCTTTACGCACGCATCATACTTCTAGACACTCCTCGTCACACACGTGCCAAGCTTCTAGTCATTTGTCGCGTCATGCTTCAGCAGCTTTATTTGATACATGCGTAATGTCCACTGAGCTGGGTTATGTATATATTGGATGAATCCGTATGATGCGCGTTCTCGTGTTCAGATGACGTTTAAGACTAACTGAAAACAATTCTTGTGCCTTGTGCGGGTACAATTGCGACATTTTGTTGTTTCTTCTTGGCCTCCCAGGATGGATGAAGCGATTTCTCTTCCTTATGGTTACCTGACATCAGGTGTGCGGATGCGTCGTATCTGTTCTTGTCTGGTATTCGGGTGTTCCGCGTGTAACCAGAGAACGGCGCGCCATCGGAATCGTGATTACCATTCCTGTGCTGTCGTTGATCTCGGCGCACAACCACATTGCCGGAAGGGATATCGGGACGGTTAGAAGCATTCCGCTTGATCACATGATTGGCATGTCTTCCAAATTTCTTCTCCCATATTCTGAAGAAGAATTATGTTATAATTGGTCCAAAATGAAGCCGTAAACTTACGCCCTGCGTGCCCGCTGACCACGTCTGTTCTTCTTGGCAGTGTCAGTTGCTTTCTCCTCGCTGTCGCTAAAATCGGTGTCCGAGCCTCCGCGAATAAAACCCACCGAAAGGGAAGGTAGGAAAGTAGATTGTATTGCCTTTGGATTTCCCTGATTTGCTCGTTCACGAGGGACGGAGAGGTCATCACCACCATCGGAGGTGAAGTTGTCTTCCTCGTCGGGTCCTTCATCGACCCCCGAATCTCCCTGGACAGAATGATCGCCGTCGCTAACCGTGCCTGACTCCCAACCATCATCTTCAACATCTGCTCTTGGTTTTTCTTTAGAAGATGTATCCACCAGAGGGACCTTAGGCAAACCCTCATTTTGTTGTATCTTCTGTTTTTTCTTTTGAGGCAGTGATGCTTCGGCGTCATTGACTTCTGATTGGTAGACCCGCTCCGCAGGGTTCAGTAAACGCCGAAGTCCCTCGATTATACGAGAAACATCAACCGCCAGGACCTTGGAACTAAGTAGCCTGCTTTGGACTACACCTACTGCGGACCCAGGTACAGTGGGTGCGATCACGCTGGGAGACAATGATTTGGACATCGCAGATTGCAGGTTGGGATCCTGTGAAAGGAATTTGTCTTTCTTGATTTTCGTTGATAGAGCTGAGTCGGCGATAGGACCGGAGTCGAGTTGCTGGCAGACTATTTGATAAGGAGGCATATTAGATACATGGTATGTATTCACCTTGAGAGCCGTGTGCTGTGCTTCGATATCTTTGACTGCATTATCGTCGCCTTTGCGCCTGGAAATAAACTGTCGGAAAAACACTCTGCTAAAATGTCAAAACCAACCACACACCTCGCGTCTTTCATTTTCTTTAAAATCTTTTGCATCTCGAAGGTTTTTGCCTTCTTCGCGGCTTTCCTGACCTCCTTTGTGTCATGATGCTTGATGAACAATTAAGGATCAAGATCTTGGATACTACAAACTAGAAAATAAGACGTGCCAGTTTCTTCTCCAACTTAGTCCCGATGTCCTAGTGTACAAATGAGTACACCATCGCTATTCGTGTGAAATCCTATTGTAACACGTACCGTCTCGTCAGTTTGGATTTGTCTCTTTCTCTTCGTCGTTCTTACTGGCGCCTCAGCAGGTAACATCGATATTTGTTATATCTCCCCTGGGCTAGGGTTCGTGTGATGGGATCGAGAGGTTGGTAGTCAATATAACAGGTTCTTGCATTACTGTAAAAGTGCCCATGACTTTTACAACAGGCGCTTGGCGCACATTGAAGCCGCTGACGTAAACAGCCTGGCCGTCAGATCAGCTATTAGTACTATCGACTCTGCTGTTCACTTTGTCAATGACACGGTGGTCATGGACGAGGACTCACAGGAAACTCGATTATTCGCAGCTTTCGAGCGTCATGACGAGTTTGTAGCAGCTCAAAACACCCTGCTGGCAGTCGATTTGTTCGTAGAGCCCAGTCGCGAAGAGGAAGATGTAGAACTGGGTTGCAATCAAAAATTAATCATGATTGTAAGTCATCCATTATATTCAGGGTTGAAGTAGCTTGATCTTGATGTGGTTGAGAAAGTTTGGAGAATACCAAGAGCAGTCGTATCTGTTGGACCCGTACCTTGAAAGCCTCGTGTCTCCCGTCGCGGAATGCCTCAGAAGATATGCAATAACATGCGTTAATGCACGAGGTTCTCAGTCTTCCAGTGGCCGTGTGGAACGCCTCGCAGATCTTCTTCATAACTATATCAAGTTCCGCGGGTATAAGACAATAAGTCGGTAGTATTTTCTGATATATCCCCCTTATATTCATTTCAAGCAGCTAGATTCTTCCCTCATGAAGTTTCCGATCTCTCGATCGCCTTGGATTTTATTCGGTTACCGTCAGGGCCAGTAAAAGACCTCAGTCAATGGGGACTGCGTTATACCGTGCTGCTTTGGCTATCTCTCATTTGTCGGATCCCTTTCGACTTGCAGAAATTCGATGATGCCACTCGATCCGGTGAAACAGCGAATGCGATCGAGCTCGTTGGAAAAGACCGCCTGAACATGGCTGGTTTAGAACGCGAAGGAGCGGCTACCCTTTTGGCACGCTTCTATGCACGGTGAGCTCGATGCATGTGATGGCATACATTTCTTGAACTTCTTCAAGAAAGGACACCAAGCAGCAATTTTCCTCTTTTGTCGAGTGGTCAATAACGGTCTTCCACTCTTCGGATATCATCCTGGTAAGATGACTCGGTGCTTTCCGAAACGCGCCTCACTTCAAGTAGTCTATAGGAGTATTGCAAGTTCTTTGTGAATTGGTCAAATCTGGCTCTTCTGAACAACTCCAAGCCTTTACGCAGCAGTTCTTGGAAATTACAGATACCTTAGAGCAAAGTGCGACCTTGGCTAGCAACACATTGGTACGAAAATATCGCACGAAACTGCTATCGCGCGTTGCGTTGCGTTTGATGCCTCCAAATATATCCAGATCCAAGTTAACATGTAATGTCGACTCATATCTCAATATAATTGACGACTTAATCTGTAATTTCACAGTCCGTAGTCTGGATGGTGATATCAAGAACGAGACTATCAATGGGAACATAGATGATGACGATGAGGATATCGACGTTCCTGAAGAAATCGACACAATCTTGGAGTCTTTATTTAAGAGCCTGCAGGATAAGGTATTTGTTCGTATGCCACGTGCGAACATCGATTACACAACGTATAGGACACAGTGGTACGATGGTCAGCAGCCAAAGGCATTGCTCGCCTTTCAGAGCGCCTTCCGTCGGATTTCTCCTCTCAAGTATTAGAGACGATTCTTGGTCTTTTCTCAATCCATTCCGTGGCAGGTGCAAGTGTTTATGATACTCCTGCCATCGCCGAAGCTACTTGGCATGGAGCCTCTCTCGCGTCCGCAGAGATGGCGCGGAGAGGTCTCGTTCCAACTGCTGCACTAGGTAGCCTCTTGGGCTGGCTCTCTAAAGTGAGAAAAGCCAGATATGAATTAACCGCTTTTCGTGATAATGATGCACATTAGGCCCTCTACTTCGACATACGTAAGGGGGCCCATTCCATTGGATCAAATGTACGGGATGCTGCGGCCTATGTGATCTGGGCTTTAGCGAGGGCACAAGATCCGGATTCCTTCTCTCCTTATGCTCGTGAACTCGCACAGTGGCTCGTTTCTGTGGCGTTGTTCGACAGGGAAATTCACATTCGAAGAGCGGCTAGTGCTGCCTTCCAAGAACATGTGGGCAGAATGGTACACTTTGATGTGCTTGTCTCAGGTCAATTACGTTGAAAGTTCATGCAATGTGTTTCAGGCGCTGTTCCCACATGGCATCGACGTCCTTAGGAAAACCGACTTCTATGCAGTCAGCGTGCGACGGAACGCGTTCATTGTCGCTGCTCCACAGGTCGCTGAGTAAGTCGCCCTTTCACAACGAAGAACCGACAATTCAATGAACGTTACTAGGCACCTGGAGTACAGATCATATCTGATCGATCACACCATTTCGATCACTTTGCGTCACTGGGATGTTGCGATGAGGGAGTTGGGCGCTCAGGCCTTGCGCCGGATATGCGAGCTCGACTTGAAAACACTAGGGCTAGAGTGTGCCTCGAAAATGGTGAGGAGACCGACTATTCATCGAAAGATATCCCTCATTGTGCATTAGGCGAGATTTTTACACTCCGTTGATGTATCTGATGTACATGGAGCACTTGTAGCATTGACAGGTATCTCTGAAGCGTACCGAGCCCGGGGGAGTGAAGAAAATCTAAGCAATCGACAAAAGGTGCAGATGAAGTCCTCACCGCGTCTCTCTTGTTAATAGTCCATCAGATATTTGCCTTCATTGCGATTGTTCCCCAAGATGCCGTAATGTCACCACGAAACGGCCTAGTACTTGCGGCGGCGTGTGATCTCATTGCAAGCAGCCTGACACTACAGGAGGTTGAGCTTCAAGAAAAATCATCCGTTCCCCATTGGAAAAGGATTATAGACCAGGGACTGCGACACAGAAGCTCTTCCGTCCAACAAGCTGCCGCTGCTGCCATGGCCACAACAAGTTCCTTGATAGATTGCTCACCAGATGTGCACAGATAAGATTAATTGATGCTACATCTTTCAAAACATTAACTGACATGCCCCCCTCAGCACATTAATCAAGGACTTTTGCCGTGGCCCTCAGTCCTTGCAGCAAAGTCTTGGCTATACTCTAGGGGTTCTCAATTATAATGCGCATCCGCATGGTTTCTCTGAGGTAGTCAAGTGCTTGTTGGACAGCGTCAATTCCAACGTAAGATTTTTCCCTAGTTCAGGGTTTTATACCGATTGAAATGGTGATCGCAGTCCTCCGGAAGAATGTCGAGCATTGAAGCACGTCGGAATTGCTTTCAAGCATTACCCAAGATCATCACGAATGTACTGCCTCGCCTCACCGAGTGTTCGTGTTTTTATTTTATGTTCGGCGGATGTAAATGAAACATCTTTCCTCAGATCTAATCGCAGACAGTATGTATGGAGTCCTTGATGCCCTTGACAGCGGACTGGATGATTACACGATGGATGAGCGTGGCGACGTTGGCTCGTGGGTACGGATGGTGTGCATTCAAGGTCTAGCATCGATTTTCGAAGATCTCTTTCGCGTTTCAGGAAACATACCTGACTTCGCAAATTACTTGCCTGCGCAGAGGTATCACAGTGTGATAGCCAGAATCCTTCGTCAAGGCGTCGAAAGACTGGATAACGTACGGCAAATCGCAGGACAATGTTTGTTGCGATTGTTTCGCATGCCTCTCCCAACCGTTCCTCATCAAGAGGAATGGTGTATCAAAGGCTCAGAACTCCTGATGAAACTGTTTCTGACGTAAGTTGCTAACGGCTTGCTGCTCGTGCCTATCTCATCCCGAACAGTGACACATCGGACACTATGACCAGCTGGAGTGTTGGGGAATGGCTATTTCCTAAAGCCGTAGAACTACTCAGCATACAAGAGTACAGACAACCCCTACTGACAGGTCTTATACACAGTGTAGGAGCTAGAACTGGAAGCACGGTCCGTCGCCTTTGCAATTTTATGTTTATGTCGCATTTCTGATGACGTCACTAGCACCGTCCAGCATCTTTGAGTCTGGTTTCGTTTGCGCAGGGCCTTCCATTGTCCTCCGACGATTCTGGCTATAGTTTGTCCGAGCTGTGTGACGACCTCACTGAGTGCGCACAAGGGAGAACGACGTCAAACGCGGTAGTGGTCCCTGTCTTGCAAACGTTCAATATGCTTTTGGAAGCAGATGTGTTATCTCGCCTGTCTAGCGTTGGCAACGGCCCATCAAAGTCGCCTTTGTTCCTCTCTGTCAATCCAATTGAACTAACGAGGCTCGCAGACTGGAGAAATTATTGAACATTGCAACGAGAAATGTACAGCGATTGAAGAATGTACAGCGAGTGCAGGAGTCCATGAAAATGTGGGTTTATCAATCATACAAGAGCACCGCAACTAAGCAATATGTAGCGTCGTAAATCTCTTGGTCGTTTCCTCGGTTTCAAAATCATCCTCGGAGCGAATCATTGACTTCCTTTCTCACCCTTATCCAAAGGTCATATTTTTACATCACGGATGGATGATACTGACCGTGGCTTAGATCCGGACCAGTACGGCTGAGTACCTCTACACGTTCATACAAAGCAGGGACCTCGGCTGGGAGGCAGATGAAGCAGTAGATGAACTGCTTCTCGAAACAGAATGGTATGTTTTTGAAATTGTGTCTCCTTTCGTCCTTCAAATAGCTGACTTTGTCACAGGTCTTCGGAAAGCATGCAAGTGAAGGTGGCAGCAACTCGCGTCTCGGAGCTCCTCTCTTGCCCAATTACCGAGTGATTAAAACGTTGTCCAATGTATGGCCTATGCGCAGGACCAAGTCGCATGTAGATCACATCGCATGAATACCTTACTTAGCTGAAATGTACTTTTATACGAGTATGGGCGTGTGGTGATCTTAATGTGGCATGCGTGGGAAAGTGTCGGTTTGTAGTAGGGCCTGCTACTTACACTGGATCCGAAAGCACAACCTGCTGCGCCCGCCAACGCCAAGCCTCACCCGTGCATCATGGTTGCAGACCCTCGCATAAGTGACGGAGAGCTAGCCGCAATCAATGCAGCTGCAGTGACGCGGGAATACCGCGTCCAACCACACCTTGGTGCGTCCAAAAGCATAAGCATTACAAGACGCCGAGTAGTTATTGACGAGCCCTTAAGACTACCGCACCGTTTCTGCGATCAACGGGTAAGTGTAGTTGCCATAGCTAATGAGTGATCTGACTAGGTTCCTACAGCCCGCTTGTGGTGCTTGACAATGTCAAGGTGCGCGGCGTTTTGATATTGGTTTTGATTTTGTTCTGGTTTTACATTGCCTTTGGTTGGGTTGTGCTGACATACATACTTGCTTTTTTTGCGCAGTTTCCTTCATACAATGAGATCGTACAGCTAACTTTACCCGATGGATCGAAGCGAGGCGGCCAGGTTTTGGAAGTTCAAGGAAAGAAGGCGATTGTTCAGGTGTTTGAAGGCACATCAGGGGTGGACGTCAAAGCGACGCATGTCGAATTCACAGGAAGCAGTATGAAGTTACCTGTGGCCGAGGACATGCTTGGCCGTATTTTCAATGGTTCTGGAAATCCCATTGATCAGGGTCCAAAAGTATTTGCTGAGGATTACTTGGACATCAATGGTGCGTGGGTCATGTGGAGACTCGGCCACCTCGTGGTTAAATGGTGGCGCAGGATACCCAATCAATCCTTACTCGCGCATATATCCTGAGGAAATGATCCAGACTGGGATCTCGACGATTGATACGATGAATTCAATCGCTCGTGGACAAAAGATTCCTATATTCTCCGCTGCTGGTTTGCCACACAACGAGGTGCATATGAAGTCTATTGAGAATTAAAAGGACCCTCAAGGGAGCTAACCGAAATGCGCAGATCGCAGCACAGATCGTACGTCAAGCCGGTCTAGTGAAACGTCCCACCAAAGACGTCCATGACGGACACGAAGACAATTTCTCTGTCGTGTTCGCAGCAATGGGTGTCAACATGGAAACCGCACGGTTCTTCAAAGAAGACTTTGAGTCAAACGGTAGTCTCGATCGCGTGACGTTGTTCCTGAATCTTGCGAACGACCCCACCATCGAGCGTATTATTACGCCTCGTCTTGCGCTCACTACGGCAGAATACTATGCATACCAGCTGGAGAAACACGTGTTGGTCATCTTGACTGACATGTCGTCTTATGCGGATGCCTTGCGTGAGGTGCGTTCTTCGTTTCTGTCGAGTTTTCTGGAAATAGGCTTACTGTTCGTGGTGCGGTTCATATGCAGGTTTCTGCGGCTCGGGAAGAGGTGCCTGGGCGTCGTGGCTACCCCGGTTACATGTACACAGACTTGTCGACAATTTACGAACGGGCTGGACGAGTAGAAGGCCGGAATGGTTCTATTACTCAAATTCCCATTCTGACGATGCCGAACGATGGTGACGTCATCCCGACTTTTTTTTTTTCAATGTTCAAGCGCTGATCCGATAAGTTAGACATCACACATCCTATTCCTGATTTGACTGGGTATATCACGGAGGGGCAGATTTTTGTAGACCGACAATTGCACAACAGACAGATATACCCACCCATCAATGTGTTGCCATCTCTATCGCGGCTGATGAAGAGCGCGATTGGCGAGAAGCTTACGAGGAAGGATCATGGTGACGTTTCGAACCAATTGGTGGGTGCCTTCATATTAGCCGAAGTGACGATCTGAGTTCCTTTTGAATTGGTGCAGTATGCGAAATACGCGATCGGTCGCGATGCAGCTGCGATGAAGGCTGTTGTTGGCGAGGAGGCACTGTCGGCTGAGGATAAGCTTGCACTGGAGTTCTTGGACAAGTTTGAGCGTCAATTTGTTGGACAAGGTGGGTGAATTTATCAAGGGGCGTGGTGAAATTTCTGAAGGCTATGCAGGACCCTACGAGTCTCGTACCATCTTTGATTCGCTCGACTTGGCTTGGTCGCTGCTTCGGATTTTCCCGAAAGAACAGCTTAACCGTATAAATCCGAAGATTATTGCAGAATTCTACGGGAGGAAGGCGACGAAGAAGGTTAGTGAGGAAGAAGAGGAGGAGAGATTAATTGATATGTAACGATGACTGTTGGGGGGAAGGGGGGAATCTCCATGCGCTCCGAGCTAGAAACAAAGTGAAGAACGAGGCTTGAAATATTTCCGTGGTGTGCGGAATGATCAACGTTGATAGCACGAGTTTTTCCGGTTCGATCATGGAGTGAGCTAGCGTGTACTTGGAAATATCGTAGTTGTTGATGATAATTTAAGAGAGACATGTGTAGCCTAGGATCTCCCTTCAAACTAGACAGCGTGGTATACAGCTGGCCAAGCTTCGCGGTGTACGTCAGGTAAGTAGCATATGGCAGTTACATGTGTTCGCCCTGAGTTGCCTTTATAACGAAACCCATCATTTTTCACTTACTCGAACTCCCTTTTTATCTTGAACCACCAGCATGAGCGATTTCGCCGGTCATCAACTCAATTGTAGAAAACGAAAACTCAAGAACGACAACGAGGATGAACAGATATCAGATTCAAAATCGAGTTCAAAAGACGATACTAATCCTTCCAGTATCATGATACTAGACCCAACTTATGCTCCTCGTCAACCACCACCTTCAATATCGACAGACCAAGCCGCACGTGCTGTATGGCCATCAGAACCGAATTCTCCCATTCCAACAGAGACGAGAGCTAACAAGCGCCCAAGAGTCGATACCCACAATCTACAATCTTTTAAATCTCATAGGCGTTCAGCTATTAAGACTCCTTCATCACCTCTTACTCCCTGGCGAACTTCCTTCAGAAAAACGGAATCACGCCCTAATCATCTAGACCCTCATTGTACTGCTATCGATTGTTCTCCTCTGCCTGTACACCCTCCAGTCGACCTATCGTCACCTCATATCCCCGCAATGCACCCCCTCATCAATAGACAGACACTCAAAGAACTTGATCTCGACTCTATCCTCCGTAATCCCCAACTTCGTCAGTTTTTATTATCAATTCAACTTATCATATATCTAATATATATGTCCAATAGGACACGATCTTCTCTTTGACGCTGGTCTCCAGTTTCGTCCAACATCTGGTCGACGTAAACGTGATCTATCTGACAAATATTGGTCCGCTATCGCACAAGAACTCCAGACAGGCTGCACCTGCGTTTCCTTTGATCTTCAATGGAAACCCCACGACCTCCTCTGCGTTTGCGCCCAAGGCCCCATACCTCAAGTACCCAGCCTCACCTACTGCTCCCCTCTCCGAGCACTCACACTCCGCATGCCCTCCCGCATTCGTCACCTCCTCACAGAATTTCTCGAAGTCTTACTCTTTGTTATACAACCCCTTACAAGCATATGCGGCACCTACGCCAATCCTGCAACTCTCCAGACGCAAATCGAGCAACACGCAGCTCAGGCCGCCCATCTCAGATCCCTCTTTGATCCGGAGCTTATTCAGCAAGAGCTTCACCACCAACTTTTCGATCCATCAGGACTCTTCATCGTCATTGGCCAGACTCTCAAAAGCCATTGTGCTCCCATGCGCGATCGTCTCGTCGACGCTATGGTAGATGCAGCCAAAGCTTGCGCCCCAGGCTGCGGTGGCAGTAAGGCGGACGCGGTCAAGGCCGTTCGCATGTGCCTCGATATATTGGAACTCATGAAACTGGCAAGTCTCTCCCAATCATTTTTCTTCCCTGTCCTGAAGGCTTTCTGCTTTAGGATATTGCGAACCACCAATTACAAACCCTCCGCCCATTCCTCATAGAAACCGCGGGTCAATACGAGCTCAAGGCGTTCAAAGGCCGAAAGGGGGCAGGTGCCTCACTCGACCTCACCCGGAAATGGATACGAACGGCATACCACCACCTCATGTCCTCGTCCCACCCAATCTCACTCTTACTTCCCCATCCGTCCCACCCTTCCAACACCATAACTCTAAATTATCGCCAACTCCCACAAACGCAACAAATATACCTAAGCGTGCTCAGAGCGCTCACGGACCTCGTTTTTGAGCCCCCTTGTGGCCCATCCCCCACGCCCGTTCCGCATTCCCACTCCCTCCAACGCGAACGCGTGTCGAAATCGAGCATACCGTATCTCCCTTTATACCCCGAAACCACGTATTTGGACGGCGCGCGTCTCTTGGTGTTATCTGGCGAAGCGGCAGACGCTACTGCTATGTACATGTTCCTTCTTTTGTTCCGGCAGTTGGCATTTAGCGATCCTGACTCCAATGCTTGCGGCGATCCCAGCTCCAGGGTGGTTGTGACAGATGTCCAACTCGCTTCGCTTAAAAAGGAAATCCGAGACATCTCTTCGGGGCATCTTGGACATTGTTTTGCGCAAGTGAAAGGAGATGGTGATGGTGAGAGATGGGCAAAGATCAGAGAGGATATTGTCTTGCAGATTGCTATGCGAGCGAAAGAGGCTCGTTCGTCTTCCACACCTTTGTCGGGTTCACCACAGACACGAAACCCAGAATCAGCATCAGAACCAGGGTCGGATTCTCAACCCCAATCGAGGGTCCTCGCTTCCGCACCAGACGAACGCATGCTCAAACTAGCCGAGCGCTGGTCCGATACGAACATGCGCCCCAACTCGCCGCTGAGCACGCTGCTGCGCAAGAGGATCCGCGATGTTGTGTTTAATCAGGTCGTGTCGCTCACTTTTCCTTCTGCGTCTTCGCGCCATTCTGGCGTGAGCACAAGTACGGGTCTAGGCAAGTCATTAAACTTTACATCCCTCGCCCCTCCTTCTCCATTATCATCGGGCATGGAGCCTCTCGCAGATGAGATCCGCTTACTCTCAGAACGACTCTCGAGGTTGGCACATATCCATCTGGGGGTGTATCTTCCGTTGTATGAACAGGAGGAATTTTCCACGTCTGTTTTTTCTGATTTAGAATCCTGTAGCTAGTCTGTTGTACATTATACATACATACCTCTCCACCACCATCATTGTTTGGTTCCCATCCATCATCCTCCGTTTCTTTCCACATTTCTTTTTTTTTTCATTCTTGACGAGCATTTGGGTCAAGAGACCTACGTACATGATTGATACCTCTGACGAAATTGACGAAAGGAGCAACGAGGAGACGAGGACGACCGCTGTGGCATTACCTTACCCAATTAGCAGTGGATAATACCCCCATCCATCCCATTGTATCCCATCATTCGAGGATCTAATAAATCAATGACAATGACAATGACATGTACTTTTGATTGAATGTACGATGGATTTAGATTCAGAGTTTCCTACGTTTCTTCGAGGGCTGGGTTCTTTCTTCGTCTAGAGTAGATCGTGTGCGCTTCTGTCCATTTCTTCCGACGTTGATGTTGTTAGAATCAATGTTGATGCTGGCGTTGTTGGTGTTCGAGTTGGTGCGACCTGGAGCCGGAAACGGACGCGATTTCTTCTCTTTCTGACTCTGTTTTTTCTGCTTCTTTTCTATCGCTTTCTTTACTGCGCGCTTTCCTCCACTTGATGCGATGGCGTCGTAGCGAGCTTTCATTAGCAATTCTTTTTTCTCGGCTGGATGTGAGGTGATTTGATCAGCATCAGTCGGCGAAGACGAAAGAAAGGGAACGACGCTTACCCGATTTCATCCACCACCCAGCTTTCCCCTTCCTCCTCTTCTGCCTCTCCTCTCTCTCAACCCTCTCCAGTGCCTCCATCTCCACCTTCTCCCTCTTATCCATATTAACACTACTCTCCGCCCTCTTCACCGCAAGCTCCAGTCTCCCGACTTCACGCTCTCGTGCTGCGCGCAGGTCTTTTGGGGAGTTTAAGAGCAACTTTCGCGCGAGGCTGAGATTGGAGCGGAGGGTGCTGAGTTCGGAGGTGTGGAGCGTGGAGAGGAATGTATAATGAGATTTAAACTTTTTGGGGTCATAGGAACCTGTTATGTGCAGGAAGCGGGGATCTCGGGGTACGGGTGCTTTTGTTTCGATTACTGTTCGTCGACGGGTGACGGGGCGTTTGGAGGTTATTTCGGTGGGGCTGTGCGCGATGAGATGAGTATGTGGGTGATGGGAGGGGGTACTTACGCATGCTTGCTTGATCTCTTGGCGAGGTCTTTACGCGGTTTTGGGTTTTTATCTAAATGTTCTTTGTCTTTGTCCTTGTCTGTAGTCCGTTCGTCGTCGGTCGGATATGCGTCTTCTTCTGATGGCGCGTCAGACTCGGACTCTGATTCGGAATCGGTTAGAACGCGGGATTGGGAGAGGGCGTGCTGAGCTTTGCGGAGCATTCCTAGGGGTAGGGAAGACAAATCTAGAGATAGAAATAAAAAATATAAGTAGGATCAGTTGGTTGCACATAGATGAGTGCATGTCCTTCTCGACATGTAATGAAATTCGTACGCACCGTCCTCGAGAGACCGCTTCGAAGCGCAATCAGTAAGTCTGCAAGATGAAAGCAAAACGAGAGCGAACCAGATCTCGAGAGGGTTTTCTTGGGATAACATTAATGTCTTCTGTTTCCCCTTCCGATAGTTCTTCGCTGTTTTCGTCTAGCACATCGGCCCATTGTACTACCCGCGGCGCATCTACGTCGTCCTCATCCTCATCGTCCTCCTGGGCATCATCCGCTCTCCCATCAGAAACGCTCTCCGAGCTGCCATTTGACTCAGATCCCGCTTCAGACTCAGATGCTGAATGCTCGGACTCGTGCTGGTGCTCGTTTTCTGTGAGTGATCCATGATGAACGGGTTTTTGTCGCGTTTGCCGTGAAGTTGATTTTAGTGGTTTGCCAGTGCGGAACTGGAGGTTTGTTGATAATCGTGTATTGTGAGGCATGTCCAGGGTTATCCTTGTACACCTGAGGCTGGGGGAAGTCGGGAGTCGGACGTGGATAGTGCACAGCCACACCCTTGAACTCGGATTTCAAAGCTTGGACTCCTTTCGTCTTTAACGTCATCCAGCAAGTATTGAGCACAATCTACTCGTGCACATCTGCGCCATAATTCAAAGCTACCCACCGCAATACCTCCTTGTATATCGCATTTTTGTTGTTGAGTCTTCCTTGGCTTTTCCCAGACTCAAGATTAGCCTAATTATGACTTCGAGAGTTCGGTGGTACCTTAGTTGTCCTATCTTGATGTTAAATTTGATTGCGGGTCCTCCAAACATCAAGCTGGAGGGCCCCGCTTGCCCTAAACTTACTCCCATTCGCAGTGCAAGTTGATTCAATGGAAAAGCCTAGCGTGGTGACTTCTCCGAGTCCGAAAAGGCTAGACCCGTCACTTCAAGGCTTTGCTTCCGCCGGCAAACTGTATCATGATTTGAACGTTCCGAAGTTCAACTTGAAGCTTGAACCATCACAGATGATATTCAAAGCAACTTCGCCACTAAACTACAAGTTGTCCAGTAAGATCCGAGTACATAGCTATTACATATAGTCCATCGCATTAAAGTTCACTACAAGGAACACGATTACACCTGCGCGCCTTTCGTTCAACGTTCAACATTGGCATTACTTGTTCGTCGCGTGATTGGGTCAGACGTGGTAGGGCACCAATTAAACGCCAATGATAGTGAATTGTGGGCTGTAATTGCCCGAGTCACCGAAGACTACGAGTGATGTTGATTAGCTTGTGCGCACCACTCTGGGATGGAATCATAGACTTACGGACAATCGAGTAACTCTGACCTGTACGCACAAACGGAACTTGAATGGAAACACGACCATCCAAGATGTCGAATCCGACTGCCAAAGGATGGTCTGAGACATTTGTTCAGCCCGAGTCGGATATGAAATGGGAAGATAGGAAGCTTACCCAGATCAATGATGGTGTTGGTAGCTAGATATACTCTGCCGATCCCGTTGGTGATGTTTACGGGTGCATCATTGGTCTCCCTGCATTCGATGATAATGAGATCGACGATAAGCGAAGACAAGAAGCAAGAAGCACTGACCAGGTAACATTGTGATGTTGACCAGCTATCCAGACCACACCAGATTTTGGGTAAATGATCGGAGGGACGAAAACATCTCTGCGCATAGGAGCAGAGAGGGAGAGGCTGAAGAGAGCCAAGAGGGTAAGGATGAAAGTTGTGAATGAGATCATGATGAGTATTCAAAAATTTAACAGAGTGATCGTAAGTTGGTAGTCGTACAACGGAGAAGCTGCTCGATGGGTCTTTAGAAAGTTGGATGAGCTGGTATTTGTACCCATTGGATAGTAGCCGTGTGACACCACGTAAGAAGCTGACTGGTGCGTTACTGGCGGACAGTCGATCTTGGATCAAGACTCGGTTCTCTCTAGTTCGGGTCGTTGTCAGATCTTCTGTGCTGCAGCGCGCAGGCGGCAATTCAACTTTGAAACTTTGCGTTGCACGAACTTCGAGACAACTTCGAGGTGTTAATTATTTGGAAGCGCTTTCGGTGTGACGGCGGCTTAAACATCACGATGTGCCTAAGATAATGACTTCATGCTCTCATTTCAGAGTCACAATCAGCTGTTACATCAATGCATATGCGTGATCGGAAGAGGGGGGGCTGCAGAAGCTTTACCAGTACAGTTATTTAGTACTTATCGGTACCTTGGACTTTTCATTTGTGGAGTCATCGGAAGCCGCAGGTTTCCATCGGACTAAATCTCGAAGTTATCATCAGTACACTTAAATTGGCTCATTGCTCGCACCTTCTTCCGCTATGAATGTCAGCGGAAGTTCTTGCAGAAATCCTCCAACTGATTGTGAGGGTAATCCTCATCTGGATTCTTCTGCCTCGTGTTATCACGTTATCTGGATAAGCCATTACCACTTTCTCCTGTTACCTGCGCACCTGGGCAAGGTACTACCCACCTCCATGATATTTCGGTCCAGCATCCCCAATTCCACTATTATCGTCCGCTATGAACTAGACCGGTTTACAAGCTGGTCTCAGCTTCTGACTAAAATTCGCAAGGCGGCGTCTGCAAATATATTGTCTTGTTTTGAGTGTCGAACAACGTTGAAAACGCGTGGTGCCTTCTCCAAATGTATCTGCCAGGATAGTGAAGATAACTGGATACAGCTGCTGCCTCAAGCGGGACAGCCCCTCTGTTGTTCGGTCTCGAGACGGTCTTGTATGACCTTTGGGTTTAGGCCAGGCCGTGTTTCCCATGACACGATGCCAAACAGGTGCAAATATTGCACGCGACGCGTAAATTGGCGCGTTTAATTGCAATTATTTTAATATTTGGGTCGCGCTTAGTTTTCGGATACAGACCACGACGTTGACCTTCGCCAACATCTGCCACCTTCAATTAACGTCGTAGTAACTACTATCGACATGGTGGTATTAACTAGTTTGCCTACACCACCTGCAACGTCTCATAGAGACAAGGAAATAACCAGCTTTCCTGGCTCTCGTGTCGCTTGGACTCAACAGAACCAATACCACATTCTTACGAGTCCAAAAGGTCAAGTTCCCTTACCACCAACCGCCTCACGCCAGTGTCCCACAAAGTCTATTCTGAAGAGATCAACCCCAAAGCTCCTCACCGTGTCAGAGCAGGGACAACGGGAGGTAACTCCAGAACCAGAAGACCCGCTTGTAAACTTGTCGTATCTTACGAGACCTGTCTCCCAAATTCTTGCATCAGAAACATCCTTTACCGACCTCATCGATGCTTATGCCGTCCTCGCTGCCCGCATTAGGTCGGCAGTGGCGGGCACAACCGACGCGGATGCTTCTTGGCCTCTGTTTCAACCACTTCGTAAGAATACGCAGCTATTCACTGATGTGGTATGTCGCGACCTGGGTAAAGCGCTTGTGGAGCCGAAGTCTCCTGAACTTGAAAGCGAAAGCGAAGATTTTCCATTTGCTCATGAGGAAGAGGAAGAACTTCCTTCCCTCCTACCTTCTCCGAAAAAGAGTCCCAAGAAGAAAAAACGCGGTATGTCTGCTGGGCAGGCAAAATACGCGCGTGACCTCTGCACTACCTCGCACGCCGTCATGAGGTTGCTTGGATCGATCTTCACCCTTCCTGCCGTCTACCGCATCTTTACAGGTGCGTTTCTATAACGTTCTGAAGCATATAGCCTGACATTTTGCAAGATGCGCAATTAGGCGAAATGTTGACCGCCGTTTTGTCTATTCCCATGGCCGATGTGCTCCCGACTCCTAATGCCCGGAAAACATGTGCACTGTCAATATGGCTTCTGCAAGTTCAGCGCCTACCAGAGGAGGTCCTCGTACCAGCAAAAGACAGAATTGCTTTTGCTCTGCGCCGAGGTATGGAAGGTGAACTAGGCAAAGAAGGCAAAAAAGGATCCGCCTGCGACGGCCTAAAGGTCAACAAAGTTATTCTGGCCTCTGTTCGGTGCTTACTCTATGCTACAGGCTATACATGATCTTTCCATGTATCAACCCTCAACTTTCGTACCTGCATTTACAGAGTTACTCCCGTCTATACTGGCAAACTTGCTTGCGCCAACTTTGCTTCTGCGCACCCAAGCTTGTCACGCGCTCGGAGGTTTCGTCCTAGCTTGCGTCTCTATCCCGCAATCGTCATTGCACGTTCGTATCTCCAAAGCAGTAGCTACTTTCCTTACAACAACTCAACGGTCCCCGTCTCCGCGTAAGACGCCAACGAAGCCATCCTCAGACCCGATAATCGTTCGTACGCTCCGCACGACGCTGAACGCGCTAGAGCCCCAACATGCAGCACAAGGACCTGTCTGGGCCCTTAGCGTCATCGCCAGCTTCATCGTTTTGTTGGGGCCGGCAGTGTATCTGGATGTTCGATTGACGCGTATAATCTCGGCGCTGCTACAACTCGCAGTCCGCAATAAGAAGAGCTCAGTACGAGGTCTTGCTTGTGTTACGTGGCGTTGTGTCGCTTGGTCCTATTTCCGTCCACCCCCATCGTCAGCCTCCAATGACAAGGATGATGTCCAAGAAGTGAACGAGGACGTCGAGCTTCTTCGCGAGAACTACTGGAAACTTCTCAAATCCATTACCGACATGGGTGCCGGTGTCTCAACGGTAGCCGCTCTTTTGGGCGATGATTCCGGAGATGAGGATCGCCTGCGGAAGACCCTGACCCTCGTCAAAGCCATGATCAAGAAGGGCGGTCAAACCTGTGGCGACGGAATGGAGATTGCGAGGATCTTAGTGAGCTTCGAAAATGTCGGAGAGAATTGGGCCATGAACAAGCTTCTTCCGCATTCCCTTTTCTCATCAAATCCGGGGCTTCTTACAGCGGAATACAAGACTTTGGCTAGCGCCGTGAGGCCAATATTGGAGGAATGTCCTCAGATGAGCGATGTTCGGTCCCTGACGAGGGATGAACTGTCTTGCAGCTGGGTGTTTGACGACCTCATTGAGATATGGAGATCTGGACTTGGGTGCCTTGAGCTGCCAGAGGATAGTGGAACGCCGGTCAGTTGCACGCCGGATTTTTGTTTGCACGACTGACATCCAACATAGGGCGATGTCTTGTCAATTTGGGAAGGCCTTCTGAAGGCCAACGTGGCAGTCTTGCAAGGTGAGCATTGGCCGGCGGTTCATTCGTTCAATATTCATACTAGCTTTAGATGACAACGATGACAATGGAACTATTGACTTCGCGTCCAAAGCTGCCGCAATCCTCGTAGACATTCTTCGTGATCCTAAGCTCGACCTGTCGGCCAAGTTTGGACCTCCTCCATCTCAGCGAGTCAGCAGTCCTATCGGTGGAGTCAGAGTTTCCCCCAGGCGAACCTCGATACCGTCTCGGTCCAATGCTGCTCTTAAACTAGTCGTCACCAGAGACTTATGGACCGTGGTACGAACCACTTTCCCCAATAATGTACTTCATTCTGCTGGTGCGAGGCTCCTTGCGTGTTTGATAGAGGACGAAGCCGACCTCGTCTGGGAAACGGATTCTCCGGACGATGCTAGGAAACAATGGGCCTACCTCTGCGCAGAAGTTCTAGTGGTCTGCGAAGCCGACGATTTGCGAGAATTCTGGGCAAAGAGATCGTGGGCTATGGCTATGATGTCCTATGAGCCAGGAGTTCAGAGCATCGTGTGGGGCTGCTTCGTCGAGAAGTGGACCGAGGACACCGAGGGGTCTTGGGAAGGAGCCGCCTTGTTACTCGGTATTCCTTTCGGGTATGCATCATCGTTATCTTGTATCTTTTAGAAGATCTGACCTGTTTGCAGGAAATCAAGCGCATGGGATATGACTAACGACGAATTCGAGACCTGGGATAACTTCCTGCAGCATGCAGTCAATAAAGCCCTCGATTACTGGCATCGATGCTTCCACCGTGCTCGATCGTGTTGCAGAGATCGTTTCTGAGAACCCATGCCCCGCCTATGCATCGTCGACTCGCGTTGCTGATCTACTGCTCACGCACCTTGATATGGCTGATGCCCGCCAGCTTCCCTCGTACATTTTCGACTTTGTCAACGATACTCTGCAGTCCACATATCCGCCTGAGCCTCGGAACAAAGTGACGTCGATCTGGATGATACGATCACTGATCCGCGTAGTTGACGCGTGTCCTGCTGAACTTCGACTGAATCTTTTGGATACGCTTCAAGAGGGCATTAGCCTTTGGATATCGGATGAATTTCACGTGTTCAATGAAGATGAATATGCTGGGGATTTGCTCCCGCTGTATCAAACTTCTTTACTGGGTATGCAAGAACTTCCGAGGGATGTTTATGTGCTCGACACGCTATCAGCACTTATCGAATCTGTGTTTTACGGTCGTGGAGACAAGCCTTCGATTGCATATGAATCGTTTGAAGAATTCTGGCAGTCGACTTTCGCTAGCCACGAAGAGCCAGAAGGAGGGTGGCCCAAGAGGATTCAAGCCTGCGTCAAGTGGTTCTCCAAGCCGTGTGCAGCGGAGGAGGAAGTGGCTGTAGAAGTTTCCGAGACTGTTCCTCAGATAGAAGAACCCGAGTCAGGATCTTCGTCCGATAGCCTAGGCAGCGATGATTATCAATACCCCAGCTCTCATACGACTCCCGAGCTTGATTCGCCATTCGTGTCCGACCAAAATGACTTGCCCTCTTCAGGCCACCTCACTAATGTCTCACCATTCGTCGGTCGGCTCGGACCCGCACTCTTTTCCCCTTATGAAACTTTAGGATCTGACTCTCCGCTATTCCCCTCTATCTTCTTTCCGACGACGCCGACGCAACGTCAAAGCCGTGCTGAGACACCCCCCCGCCCCCAAAAACCCTCAACCACCCCAGAATCATTCCATTCGCTCTTGCTTCGTTCACCCGCTTCGACATTACCATTGCCCTCAGTTCCTCCATCGACCCCGCGGAGATTACCAGCCAAGTCAGAAAAGTCGCCATGCAGTGCGTCACCAGGCAAACGGCGGATGCTCGAAGACAAGGAAAACATGTCACCTGTTCGGTCGGTCATGCAACGTATTGCGAATAGTTCTCCGAGCAAGGAAACTGCCTCTTTATCCGTGCTTGGACAACGAAAACAGCTTGATGGCCCTCTTGACGATATCACTATGAAAGGGAGAGCATGTGGAACATTCATTCGTTCTTCAATCGAGTTTCCATACGTTGATGGAGATAGTGATCTCGAGGACGAACTGGTTGTGGCGAGCCTTCTCTCCCCGAGTAGATCATCGACGTCGAATCTCTTTCCAACTCCAGTTGCTAATGTCTGCAAGAAGCGGAAACGCGTGCTCATGGATGCTGTGGTTCTCCCTCCCCTTGAAGAAGTTCGTCTTCGGTGGCAGATGCAGCGTCGGGCTAGCATTGAGCAACCGTTTGTTATGTCTACGCCCAGCAAAGGCATGCGACGCACGCGTTCTTTGCCTTCAGTACTCTCGGACGCTGAGATAGAGATAGATGAGTCTAATAGTCGCCAGAAGAGAATGAGGCTCTGGGACGATTCGGACTCCAATACTTTGGAGGAACAACTGTCTTCTTCGCCCCTGAGGGCTCTGGAGGACATACAGATGGCGGGTAGTGGTAAGTGTAAATATGACTTCGATCATCACATGTGACTAATCATTCTGATCAGATGATTCTATCATGCTCACTGGGCCTACACGTGCGCCATCCGAAGGATCAGATGATGATCTTCATGCCCTTGAGGTTCCTCCCCAACATCTGGTATCACCAGCTCCACGAAAAATGGCGCATGACCTATCCAGCGACCCCCCTTCGAGTCCATCCAGAGAAATACTCGCTCGTCGGAAACATCGCATGTTGTCACTTTCTGAGAAGCCAAGTTTGTCAGTCTGATTTGCATTATATTCACTGCACACATACCACCAATATTCGACTCATACATGTTATATGTATCATTAACTGTCTCACTGTTTCTATTGTAGCTGTCATGGATTTGTCATTATCGTAATTACAGGAAATTGTACTGCCAATCAAATGAAATATGGTATCATGACACCAGACTCCGAGTCGCAGAACTTCAAGTTGATTATTGATATGAACGAACCACCGTCTTCTTGCGCTGCCAGTGGCGGGCTTCTGATAATCCCGATCGACAGTCGCCCGGTGTGTTCCCCGTCGCAAGATTCTGTCCCTCGCCCTGTCCATGTATTGTTCTCGGCATTCGAAGGTATTATATGACTTACAAGGTCATCGTAAGATGAAACGATCAAGTCCTCGACCATCATTAATTATAACGAGTAAATTCAAGCCATCGGTGTCGATTCCGATCCGACGAAGACAACGACGATTCAGTGGGACCATCAACGATGCATATCCATAGATCTTAATTAATGCGAGTGACTAGAGCTCCAGGTTTGCCAGATCTATGCATACAATCAACGTTATTTAGTCAAGATCGTGATCCTCAGTTTTTACTCTTCGTCGCAGATAGTGCTGTTAATATCTGCTAAAGGACGCACTGCGGGCAGCAAGGTTTCGGGGATTGTGGCGGCCATCCGTTTCCTATGGATCTGATTGGCGTTTTTTTGTGTGATAAATCATGGAAGGGGAAACGTCATTTTGATTGACTGACTTCGCATTACGGATACAAATCGCCGTTTCTTCTAGATGTACCCGGGTGTTCGTGCGTTTTGACAGTTTCACGTATTGCTCTCGACCCACAAACACAAAACAAAATATCGGATAGTCATTGATAAATAGATTACATCAGGAAACCCACAGCCGAGCAAAAGTGATTGTAGCACAGCGCTTCTTTCCAATTAATTGACTGTAAGATAGGCCTCACTCAAACACCACTAACATCACGTGGTGTGACAGTGGTGTGACCGTCTACTCAAATTTCGTAGCATGCACTACTAGTAATTATAAGTAACAGTTGGGGAAGGGTATATATGCTGATATGAAGTAGATATAGAGGTATATAGTGTTTAAATTGAGCCCATTAAGATCATTTGCGAGATTGGCATTTCTCGCAGTCCGTTTGTGGGCCATAGCTATGGTGTGCGTCACTTAGGCACCACCAATTGTGTGCTAATGTCCTGCCATCTTGAAAAAATGTCAGAATTTTAATTCCTCTTACAAAAATGTTCCTTTTGATGAGATGAACAAAACTGTAAGAGCAATTTTCAATCTGATCAAATTTGATGGAGATAAAAATTTTGTTGGCAGTCAGATTGACCACTTGTTATCTACCCTACTGACAGTCAATCAAAAAGTTGTGCTACAGTCTCTGGAACTCTTCGGTGGGACTTGTACTTGGTTGAACTGAACTGCTGGACCTTCAGCTGTGCATCTTTGGTCCCAAGCCCCGACCGATAGGCATCCAACCACCTGTGAGTCCAATGCTCCCATAACTGGATAGTCTGCAATGAAACAGATGCCAATGCTCATGGCATGTTAGCCTTCAACCCATTGAATGTGCAGTCACAGTGTTTATGAAGGTATCTCTTGACCTTTCCCCAGAAGAACTCGATAAAGTTCAGCTTGCAATGGAACTTTGGTAAGAATATGCAAAGATGACTGGCATTCTCGATGATCTCCCAAATGAGTGAATGTTGCTCCTGAAAGTCAGGCTGCAATTCCAGTATGCGCTTGTTGCAGCAATGAGTAGCATCTGCCTCGCACTTTGATTTGCATTTCTCGTGCCGGCCCCGCTCGTACAAGTCACGTTCAGTCAGAATGGCCTTGACACCCTTTGGTTCGCCAGGATGTTCCAGATGGTCAGGTGGGAATGACATTTCCTGCTTGACTCATATGCCATCTTGGATAAACCACCCATTCTGCATGCTGGCCTGTTTCCTCCCTGGATGGATATTCATTCGGCTGACAAGAAGCACATCCTCGGCATATGTGGAATGTCCTTGAGAGTTGTCAATGAGAAATAGTGCTTGATATCCAGGACCATGAGCACGCTCAAATGTGGGGATGATTTTCTCAGTAAGCTGGGAGTGAACAAATGAGACATTTTCATACAGGCACAGCGATTATGATGAACCTGAGTGCAGAAATTCTCACCGCACCAATAGCCTTTGTGGTTCTTGCCATATTTCATTGTTTCTCCCACTTCGACCAAATGACCAACCGTGGAGCAGATGACATCACTTCGGTGAAGTCCACGACCTGCTTCCTTTTTCCGCAGATGGAATTCATCCTCAAAAACCCAATACTGGCCAACTGCATCATTGGCTTGTGCTGTCATTTCGTCGTGTGCACAGAGAACTAAACAACGTTCAACATAATTTGACAGATTGGCTGGCACTTCAGTATCAATGTTGCCAACAGCAAATTGAACCAATCTGGATTTGCAGGCCTTTATAAATGGCAAGAACTGTTGTTGGTGATAGTGGATTACATCTGGACAGTCATGCCCATCAAAATAAAGACCCTTCCAGTGTTTGAGGAAATGAAAACCTTCACATTGAAGCCATTGACGAGCGGTGCTCAGTGAGATGCCTTGGCCAACCTTCAGATGGTTACAGGAAATATTTCAAGCTCCATGTACTTCTTCAGACCACACAGCATCTCCTCCTCAACAAGGTTTTGCATGTATTTTGTGGCTTCAGCAGGGATAAGCTTATCTTGTGAGAGTTGAATGAGCTTTTCTGGATTTACGACCCATTTGTTTGAGCAGACATATGCATGCAGCTCGGTGGCAATCATGGGATCACTGAGAAGGGAGTACACCTTCGCATGTCGACCTTGTAAAGATTCGGGGAGTTTGCAATCTGCCACCCACAGCCTGGTCCAGCTGCGCACTTGGCGGCCACCCCAGTTTGCAGCAAATCCATGACTTTCCACTGCCCTCTGTGATGCATCAATGGAGAGCTGTTTCATCTTGATGACCATTGTGAGGTAACTCTGGATCGAGTGTGCACATTTTGCCTGCAACCCATTTGGACCTCCAACAAACACCATTTTTTTCGCCTTCAAAAGCTTTTCTATCGAAGTTAATGCCTTCTTCATCTAGTTTCCTTCACCAGCCTTCTCTGCTCACAGTAAGGTACATTGAGCTTGCACCATTTCAATGGCGGAACAGCTGGCTGATCACTGTCGCTATCATCACCATCAGATTCTGTCCCATCATCTGACTCGTTGGAGAGGTACACAATCCATGACTGGCTAACTCAAAGTCAGGTAAGTTCAAATTCTGGGGCTGACAAGATGGGGAGGGTGCATGAAATCTGGGTTGTCCAAACATTTTGCGCATAAGCATAACTTGTGGATCATCTCTGATGAACAGTGAGTAACTCAGATGTTATTCAATGTTCAAACCTCAAAACTCACAATGTTTTCCTCTTTTCACGGTACTCTGCAAGCTCTCTTGCAGCCTTGTCATGCCTCCTCTTTGTTCGGCTCGAGTGGCCATTATATCCAAGTGCCCTGTTCTGTTCTGCCTTCTCCCATTCTACTACTGTCTTCTTCTTGAACATGGGAACGGTTGGCATTGGGTGACCATGAAGACTTTCAGCCTCGGCTCTGAGAGCAGCCAAGTTTTCCTCCAAATCATCGCCCCCAAATTCACAAAGGCTTTTGTTGTCAGACCATTCACTCTATGACATGTCCAGTTTGTATTCTGAATCACTGCCTGAGTAATCTGCATTGGCACCACCCAGGTATCCACAGTCAGACTCTGAGTTGTCATCCGAGTCAATTTATATCGGGACATGTGCTGCACTGTGTAACCTCATGTCATGTGCACTTGAGCCTTCATGTTCAGCATTAACGATGAGGCTATGCTCTGCTTGTGAACGAGACGGAGAAGTGGGCTTATTGGGCCAACGAGCTGCACGAGCCTGAGTAGCTTTGATATTGTTATTTCTTTTGATTATTGTACCAGTAAAATGTGGATTTGAAAGCGCCAGTCACTCCGTGCCATATGCAAATCATATTTTGTACTTAGGTTGAATCCTATGACAACAATATTGAAGCAGATTCTCCATCCTCTGCGTCGACTTTGGCAGTGGCTTGTAGAGGTTACCATAATAGGCTAGGGGTTAGGGTTAGGTTTACAAACTTTGAGTCAATTTGGCCTCTGCACACAATTGGTGGTGCCTAAGTGATGCGCACCATAGCAAGGCAAGCCTGGCTTAGTCAGCAAGACTGTACACAAATCTTCTTATTGCATTGATTCATGGATAGTTGTTGCAAATCTGCTTCCTGTGAATGGTGAGGAGGTCATATGGGCTGTTGCGCCCGGAAGCCAATTACTATCTAATGTAGTGTAGCCTCTGAAATAAGCAAATGTCACACTTTTCTGCCTCAAAATTGCAGTGGTGTGACTAAATACATCATGTGACGTTGGTAGTGACTGAATGAGGCCTATCTTAGCATCCTATAGCATCAGAATAAAGGCTCCATTAGTGCTTGGGGAATTTTGAAAGTGTCATAATGCCCAATAAGCAATCTATGTATTGAATCCGAAAGGTCAAGCAACTCGAGCCAATTCATTATAATGCTAAGAAACAAAACCAACAGTAACAAACTGAAATGGATTATGAAAATGCTAACATAAGTCTTTTTGGGTAAGAAACCTCTTTGGTTTGATAGACTGAAACACATCTTCAAGCTCTGAAGGGAGATAAGCATGAGCTGAGATTCCCAGAGTTTAGGAGTGAAACGACGCAACTAGCACATGCTTGCCTCCAAAAGATAGTCGTAAAGCGAGAGACTCATGTGTCAACGGACTGGTGGCATTGCATAATGAGTAAAGGGCTCTAGGATGGGGCTATCATGCAGATATGGGGCCATGACAATGGCATGTTGCTGCAGGTACCTGAGAAATGCATCCCCACTCCAATGACCCATTGACTTCACAGTCTCAAAGGTACACCCCACTGTAGATACTCTAGTGTTCCTCCAATGCAGATCTCATGACCTTTCAGAGGCTCCATCCCTAAACAGGAGCATTCACACTCCAACCTTCACAGAAACTCGGAATGAGTCAATGGCCAAAGTCCATTGTGATGGCACCAGCTGAAAAGTGCACTATCTGATGTGGGAGTGTTGATGTGGAGGTGAGTCTGTAATGCCCACTGAGGATCTATCTCTCCAGATTGAGGCACAAAATATAGATCCTCTCCATCCATAGACATCTTTGAATGAGGTAAGCAAAGTACAGTGACTTTCAAGCCATGCTGATCTTCCACATAGTGAATGTCAGACACTGTAATGTTAAAAGCGGTGTAGAAAGCTGATTCCTGCTGGGCTCAGCAGAAATCGTACTACCTAGACAACAAATATTTAGGTAGATCTTAGCACAACCTAGTCTGCTATACTTGCAGAGCAAGTGCGTTTGATCCTATAGGGGTAGCTGTTTGGTATTAGTTTAGATAGTTAGTTATCAGTGATAGGAAGATAATCCGAAGCTAAGAACTACTTGTTCAAAGGGAAACTGTCGGGTCTGAAAATATCTGAGTTGGGTCGGGCGTCGGACTATGTGACGGACTGTCGGGAATGTGTCGGACGGTGAAGGAATGTGTTGGAAGTGTGTTGGAATGTCGGTCAAATGAGTGTTGGATGTGTCGGAGTGTTTCAGAGAAAAAGAGCGGATAGATATTTCGCAATACAATAAAGTACTACTAATATCCAATGACTTCCATCCTACTACTGAGTAGGGAAAAGTAAGTAGTGCAATAGGGAGGAAGTACTAGATATTAAATAGTGACTATGTAGAAATTCGGAGTGCTATAGGCGAGAGTAGTAGCAATATTTTGGGTCCGAAATCCTATGTAATAGGACATGTGGTACTGCGGACCATGAGAAAACATGTAATAACACTGTATACAATGCTTAGCAAGTCAAAAGGAGTAAATGTGCACCTAGTGGGAATAGATGCGACTGGACAGGACATAGGGAGGACTGGTCTGATGCGCGGGAATGTCGGGTCAGGATCGGACATATGTTGGACTGTCAGAATCGGACTGTCGGGGTAGTCGGAAGTGCGTTGGACAAATACTGTTTGACATCAGTATCAAAATAGCTAGTTCCGAGCCCAGCATCGCGACCATCGTTACAGCGGGATCAAAGGTGCTCAATAAGTGCACTGTTAATTCACCTAAACGAGCTTAGGTAAAAAATGTGGTAACAAGGCAAGTGTAGACGGCAGCATCAAACAGAGCTGAAAGATCTAGTGCAGAATGTAGTGAAATGCTGATGTTCACAGTGAAGGGTTGACATTTAGGACATTTGGAGGGTGAAGGAGCCAACCATGTAGCACCTTTCAGTGCAGACAAGATCTCTTCCAAGCTCCCGAGCCATGTGAGTCCGTGTAGAAGATGTCAAGCTCTGACACCATAGACATATTTCTCTAGTATCTTCCTAGAGTACATACCTGCATAATTCACAATGAAACTGAGGAGCAGTAAATGAGATGCAGGACCACACTGGTCCTCAGAGATTTGATGAGCATCACAGAAAACATGATAAACTAACAATCCCAAACTGTAAGCTTCTTTAGTTCCAGAGGCAAGTGAATGCCCAATAACAGTGAGGATACAGTTCAGATCATGATCCGACAATGGTAGTGCAACACCATTGTGATCGGAGATGGTACAACTCTGCTAAGGATGCCATAGACACAAATAATCCTTTACAAGACAATGGGGTCTCAGTGAGCAAGACAGAGGTGTAAGTGCACCAATATAAGACTGAGGTTGCACAGATAACTCATCAGCATAGGAGAGTGGTGCTGCAGCTGCAAAATGTGACACTATTCATCTCAACCATCTTGGAACTTCCACAGCTCTTCTCCATAGTCACATTCTGCTGCCCCATCATCCAATGAGAGGTGCATCATTGAGATAGTCGACAAAGTTGTCATAGGTGTTGGAGGCATCTCAAATGAAGTGAGAGAGCATAGTAGGAAGCTCAATGGGGGGAAGGAGCAAACATGCTAAGGGAAACTTTCCTCGAAATGGACCATCTGTGGGGTTGTACATGCTGTGGATGTAAGAGACATGGAAGGATGTGTTGTGTCCAAATAGTTCAAGTAGAGTGAGGATTTGCCAAAATACGCTGTTGGTTGCCCAATTCCTACTCTGTCCATTTTTCCACCCTTCAATGACCCCGGGATTGTCACAATGGACTCAAAAGTGTTTTCCTAAGGTGGAAATTCTGAGACAGATGATGCAGCAGATGAGCAGTTTGAAACTGACTGCCTTGGTCCATCCAATGTCTTTTGCTCCATCGAGTATGTGCCATCCTGGTAACAGCAACCAAGCATGCCAAAAACCATGGATAACAACTGCAATTCTAATACCTGAGCTGGCATTGGAGTAACTATGGGCATCAAAGAGGTGCAAAGGTTGTGGGATGTCACGATGGAGTGAGGGGTTGGAGAGTTGCGTAGTCCGCCATGCAAGATCAGCAGTGAGATGTTGGACAGAGTGATGTGGCATGAAAGGATGTGCACTGGAGATACTGTGCATTGATTTCATCAAGGTAGGTAAGCTTATCCCTAGGGAACCACAAGACAGGTGTGGAGCAATTTTCCATACAAACATTGTGCTTCAATAAGCACATGAGTTAGTTGTGAGAGCCAGGAAGTGATAGCTGCAAGGTATTTTGTCCTCTTTGTATCGGCCAGTGCAATAGTGAGGTGGATGAAGTTCCACAGAAGTCTGATAAAAAGAACTTTGTAATCAAAAGGCATGTCTTTGTTGGGTTCCCAGGGAATTTCCATATCAATGGAGGACCTGTTGATGTCACTAAAGGCATAAGAAAAATGTTGATGATCATCAGAGCGAGAAGATATGTGTGAAAGATCCAGTATTGGAAATCAATAATCTTCAGCAAAGATTTCAGATGTGCCGTTGTCAAAGACACATCCTTCAAACCAAAGTCTACCACCAGTCTGAGAAAATGTACTAAGAGATGTGGAGATTACGAGCGGAGGGCTAGAACAAAAGGTATGATCTCAGTGTTTGGACAAACAACTCTTAATATTAATTAGTACCTAGAACAAAAGGTACACTATTGTTTTGGTTAGCATCTCGCTAACATATACAAAATGGTAAGTACTTACATCTCAGTGTTTGGACAAACAACTGAGATGTTTGCTTGAAGGCTCATTGGCTTTATAGATGGTAAGTAAGGAATGGAATAGAGGGGAAATTTTCGACATATATTGGATGGCACAACATCATGTCAAGAGGGTGCAGCCTATTGGCTGCGCCTGGACTGCGCTCGGACCAGGTCATACTTTCGGCTTCTCTACCTCCGAGACTTTGGGGTTCCTTCCTTCCGCATCCTCTCTCTCGTCGGTGACTTCGGACTTCAACAAGAGATAGAGCAGTATGTACTGAATGACAATAACAATTATAGCTAGAGAGATGTTGACGCTCAATACAAAAGAAAATATGGTCATCCACCCATTTGGTGAGAGGACCAATGCCAGCCACTTGGAGTAAATCTGCCCCAGCATCGGCCACATATCCATAAGCTCCAGCTAAAGGTCCCATTCCAAATGAGGTGCAGGTATTGACACAAAAGACATCATCATCAATGCAAATGACCATTGCAGGCCATTGAGAGGGAAAAGAGGAATGGTGCAATACACTTTAGTGACATCACAAGTTGCTGCTTGTGAACCAGGAGGTAAGTGTTGAATGATGGAACACACAGTGTCAAAGATACCCTAAGTACAAGGAAAATCGTCAGAATCTACACATGAGTTGATAGACATGCAAGGATTGGAGAGTGAGGGAGACAAGGGAAATGAAAAAATTTTGGATGACATGAAATTTTTCGGGCTTGCCAATTTTTGGTATGATGGAGACAGGAGAAGTTTGAAACTCTCCCAGCAGAGAGTGTAAATGTTTGCAAGTGAATGGCCCAATGTAACACCCTATTTTGAACTCTCGCTTGATGATGACCTCAAAGGCTTCACAATGTTGCATAAGTGATTGTTACAAGAACATCTAGATGCTTGGGCCCCTACCATTTTTCTCCTCATCCTCCTTGTCTCAGCCCTCGCATCATACCCTTACCCTGACCTTACTCTCGTCATCCTGGTCATACTCGCATTCCTCTTCGCCTTCTACCTGTCGCTGCAGCAGAGCCAGTACGTTTGGCCGGATCCTTTTGCTGATGAAGCATACCCATGCTCCGTCCCACCACCCGACTGATCCTATGGACAGTCCCCTTACCCTTACCGTCCGGACGGTAACCTATGATACGATGCACGACGCATCCCCTTTACCCTTTTCCCTTTCTTGATCTATGACTCGGTGCGCAGTCGCACATGCGCATGTATACTTAGCTCCGCAGTTGCACGATCGTGCACCTGCGCGTTTCACTTCCTATTCCAATATTTGACTCACTTTCTTATCTGCACGTTCAGATTCACTCATGTTTCACCTCGAACGTGCCTTCCTTTTATGGTCTTATCCTTCACCACTTACTCTTCTTGGTAGTACGAGTTATCACCCACTAATACGCTTCCTGTCCTCTATATAAACTCGCTACCATGTATTATATTCCCTAACTTGAATCTACTTGGTTCTTGACCTCCTACTCTCACAAGAGTGATTCCTTCTGCCTAGCCAGCAGTCTATATTCTATTTTCTTATCTGCTCATCGCGGATAAGTCCTTAGTCTCGATCTTTACTCATCGACTTTGTCGACGAGCAAAGCCCCCTGTTAACTAGTCGGACTTCTGCCCTTCTAATTAACGACGATCTTACAATTAACCTTCGGGTGTCGTAAGCCTTGGCAGATACTGCTTATCGTCTAGCATCCGCTTGACATAAGCTACCCGATTTGGACATAGGCATCAAATCTTACTTGCCGAAGCCTCGCCAAGTAAGACCCCTAACCTTGGGCTAGCCCAAGGACGTCCTTGACCGTTGACGACACATGCTCTGTTTGAGCGTCGCCAACAGATACCATCCAAGTCGTAACAGTGATGGATGGTTAGGTGGAATCTGCAAAATACTAAGTCGAGGTATGTGTAGATTGAAACCAGACCAAAAACCTGTGGGAATCTTGTGGTATCGCTCTGCAAGCCCATTGTAGAAAGCAGATTCCTGCTGGGCTCAGCAGAAATGGTACTACCTAGATGACAATATTTAGGTAGATCTTTGGCATGACCTATGCTACTATACTTGCAAGGCAAGTGCATTCAATCCTATAGGGGTAGCTGTTTGGTGTTAGTTTAGATAGTTAATAGTTAATTTTCAATAATAGAAAGATAATCTGAAGGTGTATACTACGTGTCTGAAGGGAATTTGTTGGATCTGAAAATATCGGAGTCAGGTTGTGCGTTGGACTATGCATTGGACTGTCAGGAATACGTCAGATGGTAAAGGAATGTGTCGGAAGTGTGTTGGATTGTTGGTCAAATGAGTGTTGGATGTTTCAGAATGTTTCGGAGAAAAAGAGCAGATAGATATTTCACAATACAATCAAGTACTACTAATATCCAATGACTTCCATCCTACTACTGAGTAGGGAAAAGTAAGTAATCTCATAGGTAGGAAGTACTAGATATTATATAGTAACTATGTAGAAATTCGGAGTGCTATAGGCGAGAGTAGTAGCAATATTTTGGGTGTGAAATCCTATGTAATAGAACATGTGGTACTGCGGACTATAAGAAAACATATAATAACACTGTATACAATGCTTAGCAAGTCAAAATGAGTAAATGCACACCTAGTGGGGATAGATGTGACTGGACAGAACATAGGGAGGACTGGTCTGATGTGCAGGAATGTTGGGTCGGGCATTGGGTTGGGACCAGACATCTGTTGGACTGTCAGAAAGTGCATTGGGTCGGGATCGGACATGCATTGGACTGTCGGACTTGGATCAGGGTAGTCGGAAGTGCATCGGACAAATACTGTTTGACATCAGTATGAAAATAGCTGGTTCCGAGCCCAGCACCATGACCATTGTTACATCGGAATCAAAGGCCATGCACACAGAATATACTGAACTTTTTTCTTCCAAACAACACAAATGTCAATAAGGTCATCTGCACAAGACTCAAGGTGGAAAGACATCACTGGATCGGCCACTACAAAGTCATTAAATATTATTCATAACACATTGCATGCCAACGCACCTGCTTCATGCAAGGCAGCTTGTATACTGTCCCACTCTGCCAACATCTATTCTTGGATGACAGTCCTCTCCCGCATCAGTCGAGCTTCCTCCTCATTGCACCAATCAACTTCCAGTTGCAGCCAGATACCATTCCTAACCGTGTTGTCTGATAGCCATGCTAGGGGATTCAAAGTGTCATCATCAAGCCCAATGTCTTGCCAGATGTCATCATCAACATCAAGCTGAAAGATACCATCACGCTAGATGATATGGCAGAAGGAGGTGCCTGCTGCTGTCGTATAAAAGATTGTAGTTGAGGATACAGACTGTTGTATGCAGACACTAATTCGAGGATGCCAGGTTCTTGGTATTTGATTGAGTGCTGGGTATTCACATGAAGCTTATGCTCAGCTGGAAAATTGTAAGATATGCATCAGTGCAGTCAAAATATCAATGCACCATTTCTTTTGAGTCTCTCCAATTCAAACTTTTGTTGACAAAGGCAATCATGAATGCAAGTTTTGATTGCACAAGCATTCAAGCGAACTGTAAGATATGTGTCCTTCTTCATCCTCTCCAGGTTGACCTTGTCATCCATTCCAAGTGCAGCTTGTTGACAGTGGAGGATATCAGCGGTTTTCCTATGCTGAGATTGAGTATCTACAAGCTGCAGATTGACTTCCCCAATGTTAGGGATGCGGTCACTATGGAGCTGCATCTCAAGTTCGTGTATGCAGGTTTCCTAGACTTTTTGCATCTTCTCCAGTGCTAGGATGTCCTTGCAATGATTTTGAGTCTAAGTGACAAATTTGTGTATTAAGGACAAAAAGTCATTGATTGGACTTCACCAAGAGAGTGAGATTCATAGAATGACTGGAATAGAGTACATGTACCCCTAAAACATGCAAGGAAGGGATGAGAGGCTTGAGGAAACTCCATAATCATTCACATCCTTCACCATCAGACCAGTCAAATCCTTCTTGTTTCCTGGGGTGGTAGATGACTTGACATGGCCACTGGTGATCATAAGCATGGAATATAGCAATAGCAAATGCGATGCAAGATAGGATAGAGTCATCCATGAATTTCCACTTGCAACAGCTCTGTTTGAGCTGGCATGCGATGTTATATAAAAGCCCGATGGTCATCTGAGTAGGAATATGTTTGAACAACTGGTCCAAGAGAGCAAGTGCATAATGTTGCTTTTCTCCTGTGGATGTCAGATTCACAATCCATAGGACATGGTCATGTCTACAAACCAGTGTCATGAGGCCAATATCAGTAAAGAAATAAGTACTTGCCTTCTGCCGCTTTTCATCTGCAGCAATGAAGGAGTCACCACATCCATTCAGAACAGATACTGGTATGTACATGCTATCTTCATAGCCATCTTTATCTGGCTCCGACCTTGAGGTCCTTGCTTGACATTTTTCTCTGTGACACCTTTTGACAAAATCTTCCATTGCTTTTACATTGCCTATTGGTAGAAAGAAGGATGGTGTCAGGTTGGGAGGATCACTACCAGTAGCCCTGCGAGGATTTGCAGAACATTTTTGTGTAAAGCACATGTCAATACAAACAATAATATCTGGCCTAGAAATAATTAGCCAATGTAGTAGAATCATAGAAAATAAATAATGCACATAAGAAAAGAATCTCTTGGTGTAGAGACTCACATCTCCACAAACACTTCTCTCCAAATTCTCCCACATTTCCTACAGACTCCAGTTCTAATCCATAGGATACATCTTGCACATTTGGTGCACATATTTGATTTTGCAGGTTTCACACATGGCCTCTCACATTTGCATGCATTGCATGACCATACTCATTGTCTGCACACACCCGTCCATCCTTCCCATGTCCTTAGAAGTCCATTGGTACGTTTTCCCATCATATTTCCATTCTGTCTAATTGTTTTCCATCACTAATGCTTGGCTTTGTGCACAGCTGAGACCCTATTACTTACTTCACGTACTATTTATATCCTGTTTGGCTCGTCACATCAGACCTGTGCACCTAGTGGCGGTTAGCTATTTTACTTATACCCTCCCTATTACTTATGTTCTGGGTTGATTTTCCACCCACTTTCTCTGTGTACTTAGCTACAGGAGAATTTTACTCATTGTTGCAGTGACTATCTAAGTCTCACGCGCTAGTTGTCCACTCTTCGCCTTATCATCAGCCAACCTTAGTTGGGGTGATATCAGTTGTCTTGCCTTGTCTCTCTTTAGTCTCAATCACTGATTCGCATTTTGCACTTTGTACTTTGCTCTCGCTTGTATGTGCTACTTTTGCATTGCATATCTCACATTTTGCCTTTTGCACTTGCATATCATCACGTGCATCTGTATATTGTTTCCTGCATCACTCTCATCTTGCACTTTGTGCTTTCCTTAGTCCTATTACCCTAGTAGTAGTTTGGTGTCCCTTTTTTTACAAGAGAGCTTTCCTTTGACTCAGACAGCTGCCCTTGGGTTGATATTTTACTCACACCTGGGACTATCTGTGCTTTCTTGGTTTAGCACCAACTTTCCCACAGTTTAGATTCCTCATCTTCACTGGACATACAACAAATAAATCAGAGGGGAGGAAAATGTGTTGTGAATATGTTTGAAATACCTTCAAAAATAAGCAAATTTATCACACTGAGAAATAACATACTTTGCTATTGTGTCATTGGAGCATTGAAAGTGTTCACCAAGATGGCGAACAGAGAGTCCTGTGATGCATGCATACAAGAAGATGACAAGCTGCTCCTCAAGCATGTCATGTTTTGAATTCCTACACCCTGAATTGTGAAGTAGATTCAATAGTACATAGAACATATGCTAAGTTTGCATCATATGCAGTCTGGATGTCCTGTGAGGAGTTCATTGACCCACACTATTCCAAACAGGGCTGAAGTATGATAGGGCTGCTTGTTGTAGTAAGTTTGTGAGTGACCTTGGAGTACTTGCCTAGCAGCATCAGCAAAAGCCATTGCTACATGAGCAGCACCATGGAACATCTTATCTATCCAGTGCAGCTCATTTACATCCAGCTGGTCAGAGTCTACTGCATCAGCACAATTGGAATCTTCATTTACACTGTCTGTAATGTCAATATCATCTTTGTCTAGTGGGTCTAATGGGTCTAGTAGATCAAATTTGGTGTTAAGGTCATTGGGATGCATTGTGTTGTACAATAGGCTCAGTGACTGCTATCATATTGATATCAGTATGATCAGTGTGACATTATTTTTGGTCTCCGACTATTTGGTCTTGTATGTGCTACATTGGCATTTCAAAGTTGGGTTGGCAAAAAATGTTGTCCAAACAGACTCTAAGGTGTTGCAAGCCTACAATAGTGCAAATCTCTACACCGATGCTCGTTATATAGTTTCCGACCTATTTTTGTGAAGTTCAAAAGTCTGAAATATTGGACTTCACACTTTGGCATCAGACATCAATAAAATATCTTCGGACATCAGATAAGTACCCTCGTACATCATCAGATTACCATCAGACATCATTTCATAGCTTCGGACAATCATTATTTGCATTACTAACACATTTATACTACTAATACCATATAGTAACCCCTATATAATCGAATACACTTGTCCTACAAGTATAGCAGACTAGGTCGTACAGAAGATCTACCTAAATATTGTTGCTTAGGTAGCACTACTACTTGCAGAGCCCAGCAAATATATTCTTCCTATACTGGTTTCTGTTGGCTCTCATTTGACAGATGGTAGAACACAGCTGGCTACTTATATCCATGAGACAACCCCAGATAACATTGTCATCAATGATTGGTACATATTTTTAGAAATCATTAGCAGAAATGAAAACTACCTTAAGCTTGTGGATGCCATTAGAGATCTGAAAATATTAGCCAATGAGAAGGTTAGTGTCACTTGGTGCAGTTTTTTAATTTTCTGACTTATATGTTCAACAGCCTATTCCAGAGTGACACTAAGATTTGCCTACCTGGGCTGACTGGTCTTGGAATGGCATTTATCTTTACAAGGACATTCACATCTTTTATGCTGTATTATTGGACAGTTTGAAAAAACTATAGACATGTCCAATCTCAGGAGTGCTATCTGCAATACCTATAATTCTAGAAATTGGGCTCCTCTAAAGAGAGTCTAAGCAAGTTATAGAGTATGAGGAAGATGAGGCTAATCCCAATACACCTTTCTACCTACCTCAGTCTGCTATTAATCTATAGTTCTCAGTTGTGCTGAATAATGATGTCTGGAAAGTCCTATTCCTCAGTTGTGGCTCACATTGAGAGGCTGACAAAAGAGGGACTTATTGATGAGAATGAGGAGATGAGGAATGCAGATGATGTTGGAAGCAAGAAGTCGAGAATAGTGGTAGAAGTAGTGATGGAGAAGAAAAGATATGAGATCAGACAGAAGGATGTCGAGTCAGAGGAGAATATAGTTGTGGAAGAAGAACAGCAGGAGGTTGAAGAGATGGTGAAAGGGAGGAAAAGAAGGATTCATAATGCTTTATCAAAGTAAGTCCAAAAAGCCTAGGACTGAACCTATTGAGTCCAACCAGAGGAGGGCTTATTAATCTCCAAAACAAACTGATACAATAAGCAGCAATATGAAAAGTGAGAAGTAGAAGAACTTACAGTACTGCTCACTGCTAGGATAGTAAAAGGATGAGTTAGAAGGAGATTGGAGTCAACCAGATCCTGCTTTAGCTTATAATCTGAAGCTTCTGAGTATGTGGTTGTTCTGCATATTAAGATGATGTTTGTGTATAACATTTGAATGAAAATATCATGATCAACTTTTGCAAGCAGAATGTATTGATTTAGAACCAGCAAGATAGTGGCAATCATGTATCTCAACTGTAGTCTTGTCTATATTGTTGATAGTGATTTTGGAATCATCCAATATAGCAACAGGCTGTTTTGCTACCCTCAGGCTATTGTTAAGGTATAAGTGAATCTCCAACTCTATCCTTAGAAAATCTAGGTCCATGTCATTTTTGGCTGGACTAGAGTTAGAGGGTGGCTTCATAGCTAAGACTTTTTGAGCAATTGTATAAAATGTATTGATTGCATCCACATAAAAGTATGTAAAGCCGTGATACTTCATTCAAGTTTGACATTTTATAGTTTTTAATTAGAGTAGTCATTATTAACTACTTATTATCCATAACAAAATATGACTACTGATAAGTCTTTGGACCCCATATATGGATCTCAAATATAAGAATCTTTTATAATTTAAAAATACACATAGGCCATTATTATACTATATGAAAGTAGAAATTTGAGTTTATCTATCAGATATAACTGTAATCTATTTTTTTATATCAAATGAAATACATTCAAGTTAGAGCTTTTAGATATTGAAATAACTTATAGCAATCCACTGTGGGTAGTAAATCCAATGAATTTCATTAGGTGATTTCAGAGAACGATCCTTTAAAACTCAAAGCATTAATTGCTCATTTATAATATCATCTTAATTTTGACTTGTCTTATACTACATACTAATAGGGCATTGTCTTTCAAAAAATTCAGTTCACTACTACAAATACAATTTGTTCTTACACATAATATCTATGGCTCTCTTGTCTTAACAATTTCGCTATAACAAACTCTTTTCAGCCAAACTTTCTGATGGTACACTGGTTGTATACCTGTATGATATCAGAACCTGATAAGAAATCAAAGGAGAAATTAGTGTCCTGTGGAATTTTGTCCATAAATGGAAACAGAACAGTTGATCTACACATGTCATCCTTGTGACATGAGTTTTGTTATCATTTTTTGACTGTCCTCAATATAACTGACAAAGGAAATGTCATTATCAAAACGAAGATGGCAGTAATGACTGGTGGCACATTTATATAAAAATCTCTACCTCCTTGGAAAATTGGTGTACAAATCACATAACCAGCAGCATACACATACACAGTCATAATGACACTATCCAGGACAGCTTTTGAATCTTACAGCCCTCCTCTCAAAGAAGGATCTTAGGAGCTAGAGAGTATTGAAACCAAGCACAAAATATAGGGCACAAGGATAGACATTTGTATCTGTCTAAGAAGACAACATTAATATTCAAAATATACAACATAGTAAACAAGAAAAAGAGTTGATAAATGATATCTTCTTAGACAAATCATTTATAAATAAACATCTATAAAATCAAATATCTCCATAGTTAGTGATTCAGACAAATACCAATGACTAATAATATAGTTATTCAAGGGTAGCTATTTATGCTATATTCAAGCTACTATTACAACTAATCATATATGAGTCAGATTCAAATCTAATTAGTACATATATGTACTAGTTATTAAAAGATCTAGGTATACCCTAGTGCTTTTGTATACTTTATGAAGATCAAAAAAAAAATTGTTTTTGCAACTATAGATATCTAGTATTCTGAAGGCTTTTAGCTTTTGACCTGCTTTTCTATAACTCATATAATTCTTTTTGGATTGTTTCTTCAAAGAATGTAATTGAGATCAAATATTCTTATTACTATTCTTTCCTAGCTGCAGAATTTTTCAGTGTTATAATCATGAGAGGCCAAACAACATTAGTCCAAGCATAGAATGGTCTTTATTATTACTTTAAACATTTGCTACTATATAAATCACAGTAAATCCAATTGCTCTTCTATATCTTAGAATATGATAAGTTCAACAACTATGCGCTATAGTTACTCATGAAACACAGACAATATACTATAGAATTGAAAGTAATTTACAGACTATAACATGTGGCTATCAAGTGAGTTCAATAGAATCAGTATTAGTAATTGTGATGTTTTTGGCAAGTTATTATAACTTAGTAAGAGTTATGAGTCAGCTGCTCTCAATAACTAAATTATAATCATATAAGAAATTGATGATGTAATATATAAATTGTATTCATTCTGATGTTGTTTAGAGCAAATCAGAATATCTAGCTTCATACTTAAAGATTCTACATATATTTTGATAATATTTATAAGGTAAAACTTGCAAAATATATAATATATAATATATTACCAGTCTCTAAAAATCTGAAAATAAAATATGTAAGGTAACCAAAACAGAGGAGCCTTGTAATCACTATAGGACTATTTTATTTTTGTTAGTTTTTTTTCAGAAATAATAACTATATAAACATACAAGCTAAACAAATAATCATAAGCACATGTATATCAATAAAGATGATGAGGTGTTAGTTTAATAAGCTATGATGAGGTGATGTCTGCTAAGCCAGGTTAACCTTCTGGATTTTGATCCTAGAGGGAAGCTTGAATATGTGAGCACATTTATGCTTGAAGCCCTTAATGACTTTTTTTTTCTCATTTTTCTCCTGCAAATTGACATAAGAGGTATTATTACCACTTTTAGTCTTAAAAACCAATCTATTCTAGGTGAGATAGTGCTTGTAGGCAGTAATATCCAAAGCAGACATAATTTGTTTCAAGGCAGTACCCCAGTCCCAGTTAAATAAGGATGTGATACAGTCGATGTTAGATACAATCTACTTTTGGAAAATGACAAGAGAATCCTTGATCTTGACTAACCCTCATTCAAGCATCTGCATGACAGTGTCCATATCTATCATAGACACCAGAGTCTATATCAAATCTGTCACATCAATTCAAAAGGTTGAAAATAACTGAAAACTTATACTATATACCACATATGCAGGATTATTAGAATATATATTTATCAGAGTCTCATTATCTTTTCTCATCCACACAAAGTATTTGACTAAAGCGAGATGGCACCAAGTGTGACTGGCAACAACAAGGGGTTTACTAGATGAATGTGGCATGGTGCATAGATTGATAAATGACTTCAGATTAAGGGGTTGCAGGTTACTGTTAGTGTCATCACACAGGGTATCTGATATGATGGAATCTATAATCAAAGCGGTGAAGAAGAATCATCTCAGCTCCTGGTCTAATGAATAAATCAAGGGGAGGACACAAGAAGCTGATATAGTGACCTAGTGCGATGCCTAGTCTGCTATGCTTGCAGGGACAAGCATGTTCGATCCAAGGGGAAGCAAAGAAAACAAATCCACAGTCGCGCAGCGGCTGTGCAAGGTGAGCGATGTAAGCGCAAAGTGCAGGAAACTCGCGCGCGATTAGTGCGAGAGCGCAGAAACATGAAATGCGAAAGTGTGAAAATGCGAAATAAGACTAGCAATAGACAAGGGCTCAATGAATGACAACTAAAAGTACAGCTGATATCTTCTGACTCTAGCTATAGACATGATGAGGGAACTCCACTAGGGTAAGGTGTGGTTTTTGTAAAGGGTGAAAAATGCAGTCCTATATATGTATCTTGCTAAGTGAGCCGAGTAGGAGATAATGTATGTAATAATGTATGTGAGTCAGGGTCCATGCTATAATATGGTGCCATATTGAATAAATTGTGAAAATATGTACCAGTGAGGTTACAGGAAGATATCCTAAAATTAATATGGTCTTTTTTAACTTAAAAAAGTACGTTAAACATACCTTTCTTAGTCTTATCCCTAGTCGGGAGGTGAGCAGCAGATCGCTAACACTTTTTGCAGATCCCTTTCATCACAAGTCTCAAGTGGCTTCGCCATGTCGACTTGTTCCTTCACGTATTTTTTTGAAAATATTTTGGAGGTTCTGGGATGTTTCACTGGAAATTATTCATCACGTGACTATCACATGACAAGTTCTCACAAATGTGTTGCATCTAAGTTTAGCTTTTTCAGGGGGACCCGAAGAGATGTGAGAAACTAAAGATGTTCCTCGGAACCAGCACTCTGACCTTGGGGTTAGGGTTTAGATAGCTGGAAGATAAAGACCATCAGACCGACCTTCGGGTACATCCCTGTGGAGGCCAGAATGGGTGATTCCTTCTGGTTGGTCCCATGGGAAGCCTGTGCTTTAATTAGCGTGGGTTTGATGGTTAGCCTTTCTTTATCATCTTTGTGGTACCTGATTCTTCTGAGAGGAACCTTGATTTAGCTAATCTATGACAGTGTGGTAGTCCATAACAATGGCTTCTATGAATAGTCCATGACAGCGGGAAGCCGATGTCATCTGTGACATGTGAAATGATTCTAAGTATAGGATACATGCGTTTAACCTATTTATGCACTGTGATGGGCGATAGGAAACAAGTCTTCTTTGGGATCCCGCGGTACAACTCACAACTAACCTCTTCCCAGGTTAGACAGATGGTGGAAAGTACTCACACGTACACAGCCCCCATTCCTCACTATTTAATACCTTCAAAATTTTGCTGATGAGCTATAGCGAAATTTGCCCACTTCTTACTAGCATAGGAAGGCCTATTCAAGATTTCAAAATACTCAGCAATTACCACCCTCAACCACTGTTGGTGCAGTCGCCCCTCCCCCAACAGTGGATGGATGCTCCTGGATGATAGGGCGATGCAAGGGCATCACAAGGCATGGGAAAGTTGCATGACATGAGAAAGTGTCGCCTGATGTGAAAATAGCTGGAGAAAGGTCAGGGAATGATGCTGAAGTTGGTGCTGCAAACACGGGTGGTATGAACTGAAGTCTAATGTGTTGCTAGCCTGTAATAGTGCGAATCTCTACACCACTTTGTTATTCACAGCTGATATGACCAGTACATGCATGTGCATCAAATCTTGCACAATTGCAACTAAGTCACTGCGCTTGCATTTTTCAGCTCTTTTCAAATTGTCATCACCTACTCAGCTATGACTTCCTTCATTAATCTATCCAGAGCAGAATTAAGCTGTTGTGAAATGGCTCAAAATATTGAAACTGGATCAGTAATGTCATGATGCTGCCACTTCCAACATTCATTGATATTTATTATTGTTTATTATTGGCATTTAGTCTGTCAGATTTTCTTGGGTAGCGCATATGACCTTGCAAGCAAGGTGTGGCGACAGCTCAAAGTGGAAACACCTGAGGTGAAGACACAATAGCAAACACTTAAGATGATCAAGCAATATCACCAGGTAATAGCTTAGTTGTAAGAACACCAACTGTACATATCTAACTACTGGGTCTTTTATAGGCTTTTCTGTAAGGTAACATGTGAAATAAGTAGGGTAAAGGGTATGGAGGCATGGGGTGCCATAATTACTCAGAACTGTAAAGTAGATTCAGAAAAATATAGGTGAAATACGATAATCACATGATACTCTTGAGGGTCTGGGCTGAGTGGCCGTGTAGACACCACATACCCTCCTCCAGGGTTCGCCAAACCCCTTACTTTTTGCATCCTTTGCCCTTTCTGTTGGCTGATCCCTCCTTCTCCCCTCGCTTGATCTGGGTCTCAATAGCCTCCATCTGTACATCGCCGTCTGGGATGGTTAGGGTGCCGGCTTGGCTGGAACTGGCTGCATGTGGGGCAAGAAGGTGCATTAGGATGAGAAGTGGTGCGGGTACAGGTATGATTGGTATGATAACCTTCGAAATTCCTCGCCTTTCCTTACGAGCCTTAATAGCCTCATCATGCTGGTGGGAATACTCAAGCATGTCCCACAACGTATTGTCAATGAGCTCAGGCCTTATGTGTGTCCAACCAGCAACCATCACCAGGGTCGCGTGGGGCTTCGACAGCCAGTTGGACGACATCTGGAGTGATGACGGGCTCTTTGTCAGTCGCCTACCAGGAACGAGGCGGTCACAGGTGGGTCCGTTGACCTTGATAGAGCCATCTGGGGCAGTGGTGGTGAACTTAACAATGATGTCAGGTTCATTGAAGTTAAAAATGAAGGCAAACTTGTCATAGCTGAGGCTAGTGCGATGTCTTCGCCAGAATGCAACTTGGCATCGTACTGGACAAAGGACTTGACCTGGTCTCGGGATATGATGTACTGATGAGGTGGGACGTGCATGTTCAAGAACGTGTACATTCCTGGTCCCGCTAGGAGGAAGTTATGGAAAGGGGGGTTATGCATAGGTGGTGAACGGTGTGGGAGAAAGGAGGATCCAGGGAGCAATGGTATTTGTAGGGGGGGTGAGACATAGGTGCCCTAAAAACACCTGAGGAGAGTCAACCAGTACCTCCCCATCACCATCTGCCAGCTCACTGATCATGTCAATACCAACCAATGCAAAATAGTCCTTCAGGGCATTCAGGTGTTTGACTTGGCTGTAAGGCAGCCAAGTCCTGTCTCTAGACTTCCAAAGGATTTTGAAGTCTGTATTGTATTTGGTACCTCAGTGAGATAGCACCTTATCCATGGTCCATTCCCGGTCAACATGATTGTCGAACTCAGTGATTTGCATCTCGAGCCTTCCAGGAAACTTCCAGTCATCATTAGGCACATGAATTCATAAGTACAAAGAATGGAACACGGGATGTACCCCACACTGCTTTAACCTGTTTGGTAGGTCTATTTTGTACAAGTTGTTCTTATAATCCTTGATGATCTTGTATGGTCGAACATACTTAGGTATGAACTTTCTTACTAATCCCTTAGGGAAGCTGATATTCTTAGAGGATATATATACCAGATCTTCAACAATGAAGGAACAGACCCTTCGGTGCTTATTCACTTCCTTAGTTTGTTTCACACAAGCGGCCAAGATGACATCATATATGGTGAGAATCATTGTCTTCATCCTTTGCGCGTATACTCTAACACCCAGGTACTCATTCGTGTCAGGACTCTCCCAAATCATGGGTCATGGCATTTACCCAGTGTTGACAAAGAATGATGAGTATGTTGTTGTCTCATTCTGTGCCAGGTTGATGGCAAACTCAATTGCAGGCAATCTTCCTACCCAATCCATTTGGTTGGGGGCTATGGTGCTCCTGATCATCTGTCCTATGGTTCAGTTTGCTCGTTTGGTTGAACCATCGGTCTCTGGGTGGTAAGCACTCAACATTTTCTGTTTAATGCCTATCAACTGATTCAGTCGTGTCCAGAACCCACTTGTAAACAATACATCTCGGTCACTGATGATAGACTTAGGTAGGCCATAATGTTTGTATACCTTGGCAAACATTAACTCAGCCACTTCCTTTGCACTGTAGTTCATCTGGCTAGGCACCAGGTGTACCATGCCAGAGAACAAGTCGATGATGATGGTAATGCTATCAAACTCTCCATCCCAATTGGTCAACAAGGGTAATGGACCAATGAAGTCCATCCCGATCACCTCCCATGGCCTAGAAGGAACCTTTGGTGAGTGCAATAAGCCATAGGGCTTCTGATTGGGCAGTTTACTCCTCTGACATGTTTTGCAGGATGCACAGAATGCTTGTACATCAGTTATAAGGGTCTTCCACCAAACATACTCTCTTAGATAGGACTGTGTCTTCCAGGCGCCAAGGTGAGCTAATAGTGAGTGTGCTTGGTCTATTAAGGTCTCACACAGCTTCCTTTCCCCAACTAGGATATCCGAGATACACAGCAGTTCTCTGTCCTGTAGCTTTAGCCTCAGGAATCTATCCTGGAACTCAAAGTTCTTGTAGAATGCTGGTGCATCTAATATTGTTTTGAAAAACAGATCTTTCACATATCTCCCTTTTATTTCAGACAGTATTGCCTCCTTTTCAGGGTATGTTATTGGGACCTTTGCCGGTTGGTACTCCAGTTCTGTTAACCCTTCCTGCAGGTTATCTATTTCCTCTCTCGTCATTTGGGACTTGTCTGGGTGCATTTTCCCCGCTTGGTCTGATGCAGGCGCAGTGTTCTCAGTAGGGTTCTTTAGGTGTTTCCCCCCTTCCTTTCATTTGACTGGGCCCTTCAGGACAAAATGATCCCTCATCCTCCTTGCAAACTCAGTGGACATCTCAGGCCTCCCCATCTCCGCCAGTTGCTATGGCCTGCCAACCCCACCTTGTCTTTTGGACAGGTTTCCTGACTACAGAGCTATGTGGGCCCACAGAAACACTGGTTAATCCTGGGTCCATGGAAACTCTGGTCGATGATATTCTCCAACCTGGTTCGCGGTTGCCCAGGTCTGAGGCGATGTCCATACCACCAGCAAGAGGGAATTCCCGTCTGGCAGCCATATGCACACTATGCCTGGGGTTCTGAGCCACGGCCTCCAGCCCCACCATTACTAGCATCGTGACCAGGCCAGCAATTGGAGGTGAGATGATGTCACCATCCAGCCCCACATACTCACTAGAGGCCTTCACTATGCCAGGCTCATCAAACTCATACATATGAGATAGCACATCCAGCAGGACATTTTCCTCCCCAGGGAGGTATTCAATGTCAAAATTAAATTCCCTGTTGTCTCCTGCCAACACACCTGTCGTCCTGACAGGTTCTTCTGCTTCAAGAAATGTGTCAGACTCTTATGGTTCATCAGTCAGGTAAACATCACACCTTACAAGATGTCCCTATGTCTAACCATAGTTTCAATTCCAGCTAACAGTTCCTGTTCATGAACAGGATAGTTTCACTGAGCTGAGGACATTTTTGCCAAGTAGAACGTGGCCACCCTTGCCATCCACCAGTTGTCGCCCTGTGTGATGATGCCGCCCACGCCTGTTGTGCTGGCATTGGTCATCATCCAGATCCTGGGGTGCCCAGGTGAGTAATCCAATGGCATCCTACTATGGGATGCATATGCCAAAATGTAATGCTTCACTTCCTGGAAGGCGCATTGCTCCATGCAGTCCAACAAAAAGGCACACTGTCGGCAGATGCCTCGGAAAGGACACCCAGAGGTAAGTGGACCTTGTGGATGTCATCTGCTAAGTACCCGACTGACCCTATGAATCCTTTGCATAGCATACAATTCGTAGGCACCTTCCAAGACAGTATTTTGTCCACTTTCACAAGGTCCATGCGGATCCCATCCTTCCCAACAACACAACTGAGGATCTTGATCTCGTCACACAGGAATTGGATCTTCTTTTCACTAAGGTAGAGTTTTTCATGCTCTAAAATGGCCAGTATTTTCTTAATGTGGCCTATGTGCTCCTCCAGTGTATCTGAGTACATAATAATATCATCTATGTTATACTTTTATTCCCTCAGGTTAAACACCATACACAACTGGTCTGATTCCCGGTTTCTTCAAGAATAACATGGGCACCATGTTCCTGGCACTTGTCACCTGCCAATGCCCAGACTTAAGGTAAGCGGCCCTATTTTTAGCCCATTGTGGTCTCATAGCCTCCAAGCATCATGATGGGCACCAGGGGTATATCTTTGACTCATCTATTAGTGGGATTGTGTGATCTATAGCTTCACAAAGGCAGTAGGTTCATATCCAATGCTTTGATACACAGCAGTTTTGCTAATAAGTTGAGGTACTCCCACACCTTGTCCAACTCCTCCACATAGACATCCACTGCACTAGATTCCAGCACCAAAACCTCATCGCCCTTCATGGGCATAGGCACATTGCTACCAACAATCACCCTAGGTGAGTTAAAGCCCATGGACACTTTATGTTGATACAAAAATGGTGTCCCTAATATCAGGTCATAGTTTTGCAGGTTGATAACATTAAAGTAATGTTCACTATTGATGCCTTAATACTGCAGGTGAGCCTGCGCACCATAATTGACCTTGGAGTATGAGCCTTGAACAGCTAATTGTATGGTGAAAGGCTTTGTTAATTGGGATAAAGGTATTCTCAATTGTTTCGCTAATGTTAACAACATAAAGTCCGCTAATGACCCTGTATCTATCAAGGCTCAGGCGGGATGACCATTGATGTGCATGACCACAACAATCAGTTTTGGTAACATACACATGAAATTGTGCATCTGAGCTGTGTTGTGTTGAAGTGCCAGGTACGTCCCAGCAGGTATTGCCACCCTGTTGAGCTCAATGATGTACATCAAGTCCCCAACACATTTGATACTCATTGGTGGTATAGGCTGCACAAGGTACTTAGCCAGTTTATCCAGTTGGCATTCCATTGCAGACAAAGGACCCCTTTCCAGTAAGCGAAACACATCCCACTCACTCATCCATTACTCCATGGCATCCTGCAAGGCGTGATAGCCCTTGGTGAGTCTTTTTGCATACCAATTTGCGATATTGAACTTATTATTCATTAGTAGTTCCTTGGACACGGCCACAGCAAATGACAGCGCAGTGTTATACACTTCATAGAGCCCACGGCCTATGAAGTTACATTCGAACCTCCTTGCCACCCTGTAGGCAGGTGCATCGTTCGGATAACTTGATCAAGTATCCAACAGGAACCTTGTCTGTTCTGTCAGCCCATCCCTCAGTGGTCCAGACCTCCAGGTACGTTGTCTTTCAGAATCTCGTAGTTTCCTTTCGCTAAACCCTCTGTGCAGGCCCACATGGCACCAATACCAATGGTCAATCTCAAAGCATGGATTGGTAAGTAGGGCGATCAGTATGGTAAGTTCTGGATCCATATGGCAGAATACATTGATGATGACATACTCTGATGCAGATACTTGATATGGGTAGAAATAGTCTGCCACAAGTGAATCCAGGCAGTCCTGCATGTTGCCTGGGTACTGAACTTCCGACAACAAGATGCAAGCCCATTCTCCCAAGGGATCACTCATGTGATCAAGTATCACTCTGTCAGTCATATGGGGATGAGGTGTCATGTCCATGAGCACCATTGCCCCTACAAACACCCTGTTCCCTACCTCGGTGGTATCTGCCAAGTCTCTCAACTGATCAACCTCCCCAAGCTCAATGTGTACTCCATAGCTCGGTACACCTGGAGGGTTCCTAGGTGAGCTGGATAAGACATTGTTTTTCTCAGGACAATGACGAGACTGGTGTCCAGGTTGCTTACAGCAGAAGCACCTGCCTTCTGCAGCCAATTGATCATGCTCCTCCTTCAGGAGGGGTTCAAATCTTTTAGTGGTTGAGCCCTGGGTTTTAGTGCCACCCTCCAGTTTCTTTCTGCTCTGATCCTTGGGTTTATCTCATTACTGTTTGCACTTATGCACATCTTTGCCCTCTTGCTTCCCTTCCGGTGTCACAGATGA